ATTGCTTTCATATTATATAATTCTTTTTAACAAATGACAAAAACCAACTGTAACTGTTTTTTATTTGGTCGACAGATAAACACATGCAATGGCTTTTATTGTGAGAATTTCAAACCAAACTCGGACAATAAGCCGAAAATGTGGACAGAGAACTGGACTGGTTGGTAAGTCACACAACACAATTGTCCCTTCCAAAAATATTACTATTCAATACAAATCTTTAAGACCCAAAAATAAAAATTTAATGGATCTTTTATTTTTGTAAGAAATAATTTTTTTTGTGTGTGAATCTGCAAATAATTTACCAGGTTCACAGAGTTTGGAGGTGCGGTACCATACAGACCAGCCGAAGACATTGCCTTATCCGTGGCTCGCTTCATACAGAACGGTGGCTCCTTCATCAACTACTATATGGTAACTTCATTCATCTTCTCTATAGTTGAAATCATAAATACAAGATTTGATTATTCATAGAGTGAGGAAATGTTGTTAAACAGTACCATGGAGGAACCAACTTCGACAGAACAGCCGGTGAATTCATCGCCACCAGCTATGACTATGATGCTCCTCTTGATGAATACGGTATTTTAACTCTCATCACCTGCATAACATAATGATAACAAACGATATAGAACCATCATCTAAAACTTTTTTTGGTTTATTTGTTCAAAAGGGTTACCGAGAGAACCCAAGTATAGTCACTTGAAAAGGCTACATAAGGTCATCAAGCTTTGCGAACCGGCATTGGTCTCTGCTGATCCTACAGTCACATCGCTCGGTGATAAACAAGAAGTAATGGATGCAATGCATAGCAATACACATGAGAAGAGAAGAAAATTTTTCAAAAAAAGTTATTTACCTTTTCGTTGGCGTGTTTTGTTTTTCAGGCTCATGTGTTCAAGTCTCAGTCATCTTGCGCTGCTTTTCTCTCAAACTACAACACTAGTTCTGCTGCAAGAGTCTTGTTCGGCGGATCTACATATGATCTGCCTCCTTGGTCTGTCAGTATTCTACCCGACTGCAAAACTGAGTATTACAATACTGCAAAGGTATATCAACTTAAGGAAAAAAACTTATCAAACACATTACCTTGTTGATATGTTAAGGGTGATGGTATCACTGAAATTGACCTCTGTGTTACAAGGTACAGGTCCGTACATCAAGCATACACATGAAGATGGTTCCTACAAACACACCATTCTCTTGGGGATCATACAACGAAGAGATTCCTTCTGCAAATGACAATGGTACCTTTTCACAAGATGGGCTTGTGGAACAGATAAGCATCACCAGAGACAAGACAGACTATTTCTGGTATCTGACAGAGTGAGTAGTACTTGAAAACTCTTGACTTGCTGAAATCTCACTATCTACCTTACTGTATCAACGAGAGAAGTCACGGTTGGTTTTGTCTACGTATATAAATCAGCATTACGATCAGTCCTGATGAAAAGTTCCTGACTGGTGAAGACCCTCTTCTTACTATTGGGTCAGCTGGGCATGCTCTTCATGTATTCGTTAATGGTCAGCTTGCAGGTAACATTAAGATAGGCCAAACTCATCCTCATGGTAGCTTGTATTTCTCTTCTGTTAAACTTTTCTTTGTTTCAGGAACTGCTTATGGATCACTGGAGAAGCCAAAGCTAACATTTAGTCAGAAGATCAAATTACATGCAGGGGTCAACAAACTTGCTCTATTGAGTATTGCAGCGGGTCTGCCGGTTAGTTCCCTCCATCTAGTTTATCACTGCGATTTTTTCCCATTCACTGATTACGTTCTAAGCTTCCTGGTCCTTCATTACTCACAGAACGTTGGTGTGCATTATGAGACTTGGAATACTGGAGTTCTTGGCCCAGTGACACTGAAGGGAGTTAACTCCGGAACATGGGACATGTCTCAATGGAAATGGTCTTACAAGGTCCTCCTGAAATTCAAGAGAAACGAGTTTGACTTATGAACCATCATAACAATGAAATAAACATGAGTGTTCCTTTGTGTTTCAAGCAGATTGGTACAAAGGGTGAAGCTCTGAGCATTCATACCTTAACCGGGAGTTCCACCGTGGAATGGAAAGAAGGATCATTGGTGGCCAAAAAGCAACCGTTGACCTGGTACAAGGTAATAGAAACAAAAGAATCAATGAATCATGCCCACCAACAAAGTTTAGATCAATATAATGAAAACAGAAAACCACAGGGCAGGATTCTTACCATCTCTTTTTTTGCAGTCTACCTTTGACACACCAACAGGCAATGAACCATTGGCTTTAGACATGAACACAATGGGGAAAGGTCAAATGTGGATAAACGGGCAGAACATCGGACGTCACTGGCCGGCATATACAGCTCGTGGGAAATGCGAACGCTGCAGCTACGCCGGGACTTTCACCGAGAAGAAATGTTTGAGTAACTGTGGAGAAGCTTCACAAAGATGGTGAGTAAAACTACCTAATCTCTAACTCCTATCTTATTCTTCTTCTTTAGTCCAAATTTGATTCAAAGAGTTTGAACTTTATCTTGTTTTCAGGTATCATGTGCCTCGTTCATGGCTGAAGCCAACTAATAACCTTGTCATTGTACTTGAAGAATGGGGTGGTGAACCCAATGGGATCTCTCTTGTTAAAAGAAGAGCCAAATAATAGCTTTTTGACTCCATTTTTTCAGGATAAAAGAAGTTTCTTTGTGTCTCTGCTTTGACAAATTTAAGGTTCTCTGCAAGTGATTGATAGAAGATGGATTAAATGTACATATATAATGGGAATTATTGGCTCATATAGATGATAATTATCTCTATTTTGCATATTAATATACTCACTGCAAGTGTATAATTGTAATATTTACAGAATAAAAAACAAAGCTTTTGAATTCCATTTTTATTTTCTTCTCTATCTTCATCTCTCTAAGTCCTGTGAATGCGTAAACAATGTGATATCTAAGTATACACTACAGTAGTTTGATAGAAGATCATAAGACAAGACAAATTGATCTCCATCAAATATTCAATAATCAAGAAAAGCTATAAGAGATTTTACAAAATAACAAAAATAAGAAAACACTGACCTGAAGTGCCTTGAAGCCGATTAGACCAGAAGCTCAACTCCAGAATCATCGCCGATGTCCAGAGACCAGAGTCAGAGAACGGTTAAAAGCTCCGATTTCGCGTTGCTCTCTTTTTCACTATCAGAAATCTGTTGGGTCTTTGGGCCTCTCACAATAAAGCCCATGTAAAAAAAAAAAGGCTAAGCTACCGTTTTTTTCGGTTTCGGTAGACTTTGGACTAACGACGATATGGTCAAAGTCAAATAAAACACTAGTTTAATTGCATGATGATGTGAATCTTTATGTTTTAATTTGTGGATCTGATCTTAGCAAGGCCTAATCCCAGGTCATGCAATGCACGAGTTCTGAAAATAGCATCTCCAAGCTTTTTTTCTTCTGAAATTCTAAATAAAAAAACTTATTGTTCTTCTTAATTATCTACGATCGTTTATTACTAATATCTCATTGATGGACATTAAAGTATTCTTGGTCACTTTCAAAATTATCAGTAGTGGACATTACTTAGCAGTGTTCTTTGTCTCTTTGGGCAAGTTCATTATCAGCAACTTTGTCGTTAATTATATCTTCATTGCAACATTAGCTACTATACGACTCAAAAAGAGAGAGTTGTGATATTATTTTAATCGTTTGACCACCCACACAAGTAATGCTTCAAGTTGCTTGATCACCATGTCGTTTCTTTAATCCCAACTTGACTTTTTGGAAAGATTAAAAAGCTTGAAGATCCTCTCCTCCACTTGAAGAGCTGCATCGACATGTAGAAGACAAACACACACACACGATGTCTCTCTTGCTTTCTTTTTTTCCTTCACTTTCTTCACTTTTTTTTTAAAATCTTTTATTGTTTGTTTTTTCCTCTTTTGTGTCTTTTTATTTCTTTCTCACACCTGTTTTTCGTTAACATATAAAATAATTCAAAGAAATCGATACATTAAAAAATATATGACAATCACTTAGCCAATTTTCTAATACCGAAAATTCAAACACGTTCTTACGATTATCTGTAAATATGCATAAGAGTAAAGATGTAACAATTGTTGCATGATCGAAATATAAAGCTTATAAGTTACTGTGAAACAGCGAACACCACTATCTAACAATTATTCATTGTAGCCAAGCTATAAAAAATTTAGGCTTATCATGTTATATTCTTAGATGTGTTGTTTAATATCTATAACTGATATCATTTATAGTACAAGTCCCTGTGATTATTAGTTATTTTAGGTTTGTCAACTATGTTGGTTTTATATCCATTAACAAAAAACAAAACAAAAACTAGATTTGTTTTAATTTGCAAATGCAAGTGTTTAAAGTATCTTTAAACAGAAACTAAAAGTGTAAAGACAATGAATAAAAGCTCAAGGAATGAGACAGGAAAAAATGTAAAGGATGATTTATGTAAAAGTAAGCAATTTTAAAAATAGAAAAAAAGAAATATAACTAAAACATGTGATATTAGAAAACTATAATATTGTCAAAAGAAAAATGTGGGCTCGGGGTAGAGGATCATTGTGAGCCGATGAGACGATGGAGTCACGGGGTTAAACCTTGGTTCTATGGGGTCAATGTAAGAGTTTTGTAGCCATTTATCTCTATAGTTCAATCATCAAAGACTAGACGTGCATATATAAAATTAATGTAATTAGAAAACATTGAACCTATTAGGATTAAAATTAATTTACTTAAATTATCTGTTAGAAATAGATTTAACTATTTCAAATGGATGATTATCTTCTCTACACAGCTACTAAACTAGACGATTTAACTGATATTACGTTAATACCAAACATATATACTGTTTAATATCTGACTTTGTTAGAAAAAGACAAATTAATAAAAAAAAACAAAGACCCATACAACAAACCTAACGCAAGGTCATTAATGAATAACCAAGACAAAAATATCTCTAATATAAATATTATCCACTACAATGCATTGTTCACTCTGCGACACACAACAACAATGGAGCTACTCACAAGCTTGACCAACTGGTTAACTCCGACGACTCTCTTCCTCCTCCTCAACTTCACGATCGGCACTATCTTCATCACCAACCGGTTCAGTTCCGGTTCAAGAAAACACAACCCGAATCAAGATGGTTTCGGGTCGGGTCATGACCAAAATCATGCACGGTTTGGCAGACCTCCTTCGCTCATAGACAGAGTCAAGTCCATCAACTTCCATCTCTACAATTCTCCTTCACCAGAATCCGAGATCCACTTCTCCGGGTCGGATCCTAACCAGAATCCACCTCCTTCTCTATTGCAACGGGTCAAATCCATCAACGTGCCTTACTTCAAGTTCCCACAGCATAATTCTGAAGGAGATTACGCTGCTTACGAGCTCATGACCCGACCCGAAGAGACTAACCGGGTCGACCCGATCGACAAGATCCCGGAAGATGACGTCATGACCGAACCTAGATTCGGAGCTCCATCACTCTTGCAGCGGGTAAAATCCATAAAGCTTCCTTCTTTATACAGATCCGACCCAGATCCAACCCCAGAAGAGCAAACACCGGCGAGGACGAAGTCGGAGTCGAGTAAACCGGCGACGAAGAAGAAGAAGAAAGCTACAAAGAAGATGATGAAATCTGCTAGCGAGAGACACATCGGCCGGGAAGAGGAGACAGTTGAGGCCGTGGAGAAGAGAAGGCCGGAGACGATGAGAGTTGAAAGAACGACGTCGATCGGAGACGGAGGAGAAGAAGGTGTCGACGATAAAGCTTCAAATTTCATCAACAAGTTTAAGCAGCAACTTAAGCTACAGAGGCTAGATTCGTTTCTAAGGTACAGAGAGATGCTCAAGAACGAGTAAGTGGAGATTACGGTTTTACCCTTATTCGGAATCGTCTTTCCCCGGCTTTCCAGTTTGGAGTTTCGTGGTAAATAGGCCCTGAATCTGAAGGGCTTTTAGGTCATTTTGGATCGTATTTTCTAGTTTGTGTCTAGATTTGGTGATGACTGGATGACAAAACTAGTTTGTGTCGTGTGCGTAATTGCTGGATCTGGACGTCTGAGTTCCATTGCACTTTTTTGTTTTTACTCGATGGTAAAAGTAGTTTTATGCTGTTTTTATGTGGAAAAAATATCCTAATAATAGTAGGTTCTTAAAGTATTCGATAGTTGCGACAGAAGAAAAACATTCATCGATGATGGTTCTCTAATCTCTAGTCAGATTCTAGTAATATTTATATCTTAATGTTTGTTTAATATACTAAATTGTTGTGATTAAGAACAGTATACTACAGTAAAAAGTGAATATTGTTAATGTCAACAGGATTAGTTGGTCTATCTGTTACTTTCTTATGGCATGGAGCCACTAATGACAACGACGGTTCTCACTCTCATGAAACGTGCTTATATGTCAACATACATTTTATGAAGCTATTAATCATCTGCCAAAATATCTTGTGAGTGGATAATTACAAGAATATTTGTACTATTAGATTGAATTTAGAAGACGTATTAGAATTTAGAAGACGTTAGATATCATGGTAATTAAGGAAAAAGACATTGCTATTTTTCAGTTTGTCATTATTCATGATTTTGTATGTTTTTTTTTAAAAAAGTCTTCAGTTATTATCATGAAGTTTGTTTAAAGCAAGAAACTACTAAAAGGAATAATTTGAGATATGACTACAATGTCTAATCACGGTCGACGAAGATATTTTTCAAGAGTATGGGCAAATATGAAATATCTCAAATTAGAAAGAGTGTTTTTTTTTTTTTTTTTCATCTATTTTTATTAGAATTATCAAGAAAACATACAAGTCAAGAGACATACAGAAGCCGGCGGATAAAACACTATCCCCAGAGACAAAGCCCAAAAGAGGGAAACCTAAGCCCTAAGAAACAGGGAACCAAATTACCAAAAACGGTAAAGACAACAAGATAAACTCGCTAAAGGAAGAAATTGGGACCAATGCACTACAGCTGCCCAACTGTTCCAAAGAAGCTCCAACTAAACATTCCCAAAGAACCATGTGTAAGTCGGATAGCAGCAATAAGACCGGTAATGCCACAAAAATAAGACATCCTTCCGAAGTCGAACCGCTAGGAACGAAAGCAAGAACCAAATGAAACCAAAGAGACAACAACCACAACAATCACGCCATACCAAAGCACACGAGGAGAAGGAAATAAAACTAGGACCAAGGGAGACCCTTGAGATTCGCCACAAGACAAGCCATATAAGACAAACACCTCTTGCACGCGGGCATTCGCCGACCCAGTTTCAGCCACCTACAGCCATAAAACCAGTGACAACACCGCCAGAGAAGAAGAGAAGGCCGATTCCATTGCTTCGCCTATAACCCAAAACCACAACCACAAAGGAGCCACGGAAGAAAGCTTGTAGATGACTTCGCAACAAAACACCAAATGAATGGCAAGCAAACATAACGAAAACTAGCAACAACAACTCCTTGAAACTCTTAAATGACCCAAAAACGTAGAAGAGCAAAGGTCACAGTCACGATCCAAAGCAGAAGGAAATGACTCGCGCATAACACGCAGCCATCGACCAAGAGACCCTCTGAGCAAGCCAAATCCAAAAAAACAAAGCCGCACAAACAACTACCCCTAAGGGAAGGAAACTAAAACCAGACCATCTAGTCCAAGAAAAGCGGAAAAGAAACCAGACCCGAAGGTCGACAAATCGAACTGAAGCCAAAACGACACCACAACCAAGAACTGACAAAACCTGAGAATCTGAAAACGTAACTTAAATCAGAGACTCACAAACGACTCTCACCGGAGAAGGTGGCCGTCGAGCAAGCCAAAAGGCCCTCCACAAGGTGTCGCCGTCTCAGCCCAACGAAATTCCTCACCACGAAAACCTGGAGCTAGATAGATCGGGACCAAAAGCAACGGATCCAGAAACTAGAGAGCAAAAGGGCCCTCTCACAGTAGCGGCGATGAGCGCCGACCACCGGAAAGGGCCAACGGAAGGCTGAAGAGACTACGGCGGCTGCTAGGGTTTTTGAGAGAGAAAAAAGGGGTCTCGTGTAATGATTAGAAAGAGTGTTATATGACTATAATAGTTGAAATGATCCATATGTTTCAGTTGACATGCCTCCTTTATTTTACTTTCACTTTCTAGTTAATGTACATAGTCAAATTACTAGTTTATAAGCAACGCAATTATATGACTATGATTGTATGAACATACATTATTCCGTTAAAACTTACGTACCGATTTTATAAACACACTATATGTGAATGTTTTTTTTCTCTTTGATAAATATTATATATGAATGTTTGTACGAACGTGCAAGATATTTAGTACACAAGCTAAGGTAATCATAGCTTCACGACGATACTAAATCATTCATGACATTTTATGGTATGTGACTTAGATGGGTGGGTAATCTAATTTGCAAAAATTTTGGTTCTTAAAGCCCGACACAGGAAGGTACTTAGGCACCGGTTCCCCACCAATGCCTTTTTGTGTCGAAAATCTTGGTTGAAACTTCATTCAACTGTGTGAAAGGAGTACTATCAAAACCCTAATTTAATGACAAATAGAAAAGTGACAAGTGTCCTTCAGGTCACTGTCTCTAAGATTCAAAATCAGTTGTACTTGATGCTCCTTGCATTCGACTGTCGGTAGTTGCAGCCCTAGAACCTAAAGGGATTTGTCTCTGTCCTAAGTTTTGAAGAATGGTTTGTTCACGTGAAGGGAATTTAAAAGTCACGTGATTCTCACATGGTTTGAGAGTCTCTTTTTGAGTTAGAGTGTCTTTTCTGTCTTCTATAAGGCACCATTGGATCGTTTGTCTTATTCGGTTTTGTGGTGGAACAGAGGACTGCTGCGGTGATGTTCTGAATGAATGACCAACCTCGAAAATAATTGTATGCTATTTAGATTTTTAAACATATTAACACTCCAACTTTATGAATAAAATCGTCAGTTATTAGAATGAGATTTATAGTATCACACTAAAACAATCTCTTGAGTGAACAAGCCGATCACAAAAACGTATATCATTGGATTAAAAAATTACTACATTTGTTTGAAACGCACTTGGAGCTAGAATCCATATGATGCAAAGTGAGACGAAAAACAGAGATAATAACAAATATGAAAAAGATATATGTACATGTGATAAGACAAAACATAGGGATGGCCAAAAATCTTATTTCGTTTCAATTTATTTGAAACTAACAAAGATATGAGACATCATTTTTAGTTGCGGATATGATTTACTATCCCCTAATCCCCACTCCCGCAAGGTCGTTTCAAAAAATCCCGTTTGTCCACCCTTAGGCGCCGATGAGAGAGTTTTCTATTAGACCTCATCGCAGAGGTTGGTTTCGCTGTGGAAGACTTTCCAAGTTCCTCCTTGTCCTCACTAAAGGTCTTCATCAGAGTTTCTTGTAGTTCCAAGTATCTTTGCTTCTTCTGTAACCGTTTCTCAGGAGTATCTTCTTCTATACTAGCAAGATGATTCAAGTCCTCGGTGTCCATAAAGTGATCAAGCGAACAACGTCTGAAGTAGCGTTTCCCCAGTTCCACTGATGATACAAATTCAAGAAATAAACATCATTTCTTTGTTGGTTAGAAAAGATATGACATATAGGAATCAATCCATACCGGTTTTACAAAGTGCTCTTAGTCTACTCAAATGCTTCTCATGGATTTGGAAAGGCGCCATATTTAGGTCCAGTGATGTCCGCTTTTCACCAATGTGATGATCAGGCTCGAGACTAGAAGCTGTAAACTCGCATGTTTCGTCCAATTTGGCAATATCCTGTACAATTTCAGATTCCACTGGAAAGAGAAGTCGAGCAAGTGCAACTGAACATTATAGGTCATAGTTATCATTAGTTCCACTCAGTTTCCTATCCGAAATTCGATTTTCAAGTGAAGGAAGAAACCATACCTCGATTTTCATAATAGAGCAACATCATCCGCAACTCCTCGGGAGTCACTGGAAGAGAAAGTGAAGCTTCTCTAGGCAACACATATTCTAGTTTTTGTTCATGCTTAAGTACCTCTATGCATAATCCGCCTTTCAGAGAATGTGTACCGTCCTCCATACTAGTTTTGTAGTCATCCGTTTTAGTTAGTCGTTTTGCAATCACGAGAGCGGTTCTACCATCCAATGTTGTATCTAATACATTTGCCCCTTTCATTAACAAAGATACTATCAGCTTTGGCTCCTTCCGCATCGCAGCAACATGAAGAACAGTGTATCCCCTCGGATTTCTATGGTTAACATCCGCAAGCTCAAGCTCAAGGAGATCATATGCAGTCTTCACATCGCAATGCGCGATAGCAAAATGAAGAGCATACGCCATATCAAGATTGGTGTGTCCCTCTATCAAAAGCATCTTGATAAGCTCAACATCATCTGAGTCTAGTGCCTTATATAAGTTCTTGACATGTTTTTGTAGTTCAGGTGGCTCTAGACCAAGCGCTTTGCGGATGCCAGTGATTTGCTTGACGAAGTGTTGAGGCAAAGACTTCTCAAGACTAACTAGTTCTATATCAGACTTGACGATAATCTCTATGCATCTATCCAAAAGCTTCTTGTATGTTTTACCACATAGAGTATCAAGCTTGAATATAACCAAGATGTCTTCGACCACAACTTTGTCTACAATTTCCAAGAATTGTCTCTGAAATGCAAACAGAGAAGACTTAAAATGAAATTGCTCTTATGAATCAATGAGAATTTAGTGGACTATGTTTTACCTCATAAAGAGTAACTAATTCTTGAATCTGGAAAACGAAAGCCAAATAAAGAACTTCGATCATGAAGTCCACCTTTGGCCGGCAAGCCACGTGGCAGCAATCGTCGTCTACGCAATCAGAAGCTCCTTTTGGTGGAGGCCTCACTCTGCCGCTATAAACATACGCCAAAACCGCCGCCACCGAATCAAAGCCGACTTCGTAATCTGCGGCGATCTTCTTCAGCTCGAGCTTCACGGTGGTGGATTTTTGTTCCTTCACGGTGGCTAACGCGATTTTGAAGACAGGAATTCTCGCCGAGAGAATACAACGGTGGAAAGAAACTTCCCGGCCGCCAGAGAGAACTAGCTTAGCGTCGCTGTAGAAATTTTCCGGTGAATCAAAAACAGACTCAAGGCAATTTGAGAGAAGCTGAAGCGCTGATACCTCCGGTGGTGTGAGAAATTCCGCCGGGTAATCAATCGATGACTCGGCGGCGAAGAAACTATTACCGCTTGTGTTGCTAAATTCGTAAGAATCAGAGAATCTAACGGTGGTGGTGGTGGTGGTAGCCATCATCACAAAAAATTCGAGATCGGCGGGAAACAGAGTCAGAGACTCAGAGGCTAATTACAGTGGAATTTCAAGAAACAACGACCGAATCGTTTCATTACCAAATAAAGAAACTTATTATCAACAACGGTCTTACTCGAGCACCTTTTGTAAATTTCTTGGAAACTAGAACTTGTGTTTATAAACGGAATATAAGTTAAATACTCTGAAAGGTAAACGAAGCGGTTTTTTGTTTTTTCCTCTCTCCTGAATCCTGATTATGATGGGTCCCCTCTTTAGCATGTCTCCAATTTACCGAACAGTGTTACGACTTTGGTTTTTTTCATAAGACCAAACTCAACAAACGAGAAGTATTTTAAGCTAGTTTCTAACTTCTAAGTATGTCACAATTTGGCTCTAATGAGGCATTAAACTTATGGATTATTTGACTAGACCAAATTGTGGATGTTCAGAACCTCAGTTATAATAGATAATTATAATTTGGTCAAATTAAGCATATTATTCTCATCCATCATACGGGTGAACTGATTTTGACAGATTTTGACTTGACTAATAATATGGTCATAGTCCAATTATTCATCTTTTTAGAATGGACCGCAACATAATTGTTAACATTGAAAATCGAAAGACAGTAAACAAGAGAATAATGATCATTCCCACTACCCCATAGGAACAAATAATAATGGTTAATGAAACCTTTCTTTCGTCGACAAAGTTTAGAAAGCTAAGAAAAAATACCCAACTAAACAAAAGTACATGTTTGTTTCTACAAATTCAACTCCATGTTACATAATAACATTTGTCCCTTCCCAACAAACAAAGAACAAAACAATGAAGTAGTGATGGCAGAGACTAAGAAGGGGATGGTGATTCATTGATTCATAAATTAAACACCAAGGTTTACTAATAAAGTGATTTAGAGAAAATAAACACACCAATAGAAAAATGATCAAAACTCCTACGAGCATCATCAATATGGAGATAGATTTAACTTTAAAAAAAAACCCAAAACTTTTTCTCAATCGTCAATCTTGATAAACAGAAATATATTTTCACGCAGTCCTTGTTTGGCAGAGCGTAGAGATTACTGTTGCTTGCATTCGGGTGGCCTCTCACCTTGTTCTTTATCACCAACTATCTGAGATCTCCCTCCTTTCTGCAGTCCAAGCGGAAAAAAGAAGAAGCAGATGATTCTCACATTTATGATTTATCACAAACATAGACACTGATTGCTACTATAGGAATGAAATGAATTCATGAGAATGATTATGCTCTCGTACTGCCCATGCCATGATTAAAGATCTTGTTAAGTCTCTGCTGTGTCATTCATCTATCCTTCTCAGAGTCTTATACCTCGTTACTGACTCATGCTTTTTAGGCTTGCTCGGTGACTTTCAGCAATCTGTATGATTAATGGGCTTCTAGAGCCTACACATTTCCTATATTTATTCTAAGGTATCATGACCATGCTCAGCCTAAAACTTCTTGTGTTTGATTATTTGAAGTTTGGGGTTCCAATCAAATAAACTTTTAGAAGTGAAAAGTGACGGTTACATACCTTGTTTCTGATTGATGGCTGCAAAAAGAAATTAAAACGATTTCATAGGATTAGTAAAACCTAACGTGGCAGGAAGAATTAAAAAACAAATGAAACAACTATACTTGGGGCACTTTATACCTTCTTTTTGGTCTTGCTTTCTTCTTCATCCTCCTCATCCTCATCATCATCATCGTCCTCCTCATCATCTTCGTCTTCCTCATCCTCTTCATCATCCTCATCAATGTCATCTTCCTCATCGTCACCTATTTCAAAATCCTCCGCTTCCATAGCCTCACCAGTAAACCATGACACAGCACGAGGAATAATCTTGTCCCGAATAGTAGATCTGCAGAAAGCAAAAGGTGCTTGTGATCAGATAATGAAAGGATAACCACCTAGTTTGCAGTGATAAAGTAGATCCATGACTCAAAAGCAAACCCATAACTCAACAGAGAAAGTGTGTTAAGAAAAAGACGAACCCAATGTCATAATCTTGTTCCATCAGATTTTGAAGATCCTCAGCCTGCATCAAAAATCGGGGAAGAATTACTAAATACGTTAACTAAATATGATGACAGGTTTTCCTAAAGACCGTTATCTTACTCTTTCCTCGTCGATATCTTCATCTTCATCCGGAACTTCTGGAGGACTAAAGAAGTTGAAGAAGCTTTCACAGTCTTCGGTTTTGATGATTGGTTTAGCATTCTTTGATCCTTTCTTAGGCTTCTTCTTAAGAATCTTCTGAGTTAGACACTTTCCAGGATACCAATCAATTTCTGTCCTGAAAATGTATGGAAAGAGTAAGAATCCATTTGTAATTTAAGTGAAGCAAAAAATTCTACAGCTCAATGCAATCAGCTAAGCAGAATATACTGAAAAGTATACAACAATTGCAAGAGAGCATAAGCAGTTACCCCGTAGCCTTCTCAAGCAGTGGCTCATCTTCATCAATCATGTGATAAGACTTTGTCAAGACAGTGTTCTTAAAATACGGATTCGTGTCAAAGAAAAACTCAAGTTTGAATCCTTTAGGTTCTTCAATCCTGCACCACTTTATATCTTTGAGATATTTGAGAGCCCCTTCATCACGCTCTGTGACCTGACATAAATGACAATAAGCTATGCTCATATTCGATGGTTATGATTGGAGTGTTTATAAAATGAACACCAAAACCGCTGATAGGCTACCTCCTCGGAAATAACATCATTGTTTTTCAGGGCTGTCAGCCAGAAACTTGGAACTCCTTTCTCTGCAATGAAATACATAGAAACATGTTAAATCGTTTTTGTTTTTCCAAAACGATTAAAAACAAACAAAGACATAGTGCTTCATCAAGTTACCTTCTGCAGTTTTTTCCTCTCCTTGGTCCACCTTAATATCCTCTGGAGCCGGTTCAACATCAGTAGTTCCATTCACAATCTCATAACGCTGTCCATTACAAGATGCCAAGTAGAATTCATTAGGAATTTTTAGATACATATATAACTAACACTACTGCAGATAAGTAAACATAAGCAAAAAGAGTAGACACAGATCTCCATTGATTTAAGTAAACTGGTTTGTGATTTAAGAGATGAAATAACAGAAAATAAAACTTTCTCACTAAAACAATTACCTTGGTATACAAAGGCTGATACAACTTTTGATACTTGGCTTCAAGAATAGCTCTCTCTTCACGGAATTTTGCCTCTAGTTCATCATGTTGGCTCTGCGTAAAAGAAGTCATCAGTAATCATTTAATCATAACGCACTTTGAAACTTTATATTCAGATAAGCAAGGAGAGAATATTCTCACAAAACAAAACAAAACCCCATTAAAGGATATAGCACAAATAGTTTAATAAAATGTGAAGGAAATTTCTCTAACCTGTATATCCCTCAAAGCATCGACACGCTTTCTCACAGCGGGAGTCAGATTCTCGAGCACATCAGAACGTTGACCAGCCAGATTCTGCAGCTTGTTCTGTGAAGTAACACATATTAACAAATCTCCAAGGAATCTATAAACTATCATTACATTGAAACCAAGACACCAAACCAATGTACGCTTTATTATAGTGTCTAAACAACAAGACAGATACTCTAAGAGAAAAGAGACTCAAAATCCTTCAATAGCAATGCTTACGGGAATTTAATTTTCAGAAGGAAAAAAAAAAACGGACCTTTAGAGCATTGACAAGGTCAGCTCGATCCCCATCTTTAAGAGCTGCAAAAGAAAGAACAAGAGTAAGAAAGTAGTGATAATAGAGCAAATTAGGGTTTAAGCAGATATGGCTTAAGAGGCGGAGAAATAGATAAGAGTAATCGGAGTTGGGAAATTTTGACCAGCAGTAAGATCGGAGACGTTGAAGTTGTCCTTGTCGTTGCTCATCTTCTGAGGATTTGATGAAGAAATTGAGAGATTCGAGAGATTTGAGGAAGAAGAAGCAGAAGAGACGAGGGTTTTTGGGGAGGCGACTCTTAACCCTTAAATCCTCTTTTTTTTTCTCTCCCACCTTTTCACACCAAAATTATAAAACCTAGCAACTGCCAAATTAGTTTATTTTCTCGTTTTATAATACTATACATGTAATTTTCTTTCTCTAAATATTAAAAAATGATATTTCTTGATTATCAAAAACTAATTAATGTTTATTAAATCAAATTCATTACATGCAAGACTTTATTTTTAGTTATATAAAAATAATCAGTTCTCATTATCAAAGGATTTTGAACTTTAGGAAACCAAAAATATATGAAGTTCGAGTTGTTAAATTAAGCTACATATAAATAAAGGTTTGTTACAGTTACATATAATTTGTAACATTCACAGACCAAGGTTGCTGAATTACTCACTCTTTCTTGTCCGGTTGTCCCTGTTCCTATGTTTCATTACACTGGTAACAAACCCTTCCTTAACTGAAAATACCGAATTTAACGCCCAACCTATAATCATAGAATTAGAAACTTACTACACCTTTGCAAATAACCAACTAAGATTGAATTTACTACTACACCTTGACTTGATTCTTCACCAAATACAAGAATCTGAACTTCAATGGGATCAAATAGAAGATTTCTGAATCTTTTGTTACTAAGGCCCATCCCAAGAATGAGCCTTACAAGCCCAATACACTGATTACTTTTTTGTTCACATACACACTAAAAACAAAAAACAGTCCATAACAAAAAAGTCACATCCCAAAGGCCCAAAGATCTTTAGTTTGGTTTAAGCTCATCCTAAGTTCAAACGAATTAAACGTACTCTAATCTAAGATTAGCTCATCACGACAATCTCAATTTGAAGTTTCAACCTTTTGCATGGTCTGACCAGAAACACAATAAAGACAAATTCAAGCTAATCAGATAACTGTAAAAAATTTCATTCATCCTATTAAAAGCAGAAAAGAAAAGCTTTTTTACCTCCACGACTCCCACTTAGGAGAAACATTTTGTAGAGCTTTCAAGTCACGCTTAGCAAACACACCTGGTCATACTTTTTGTATCTTGTAATGATTACAAGAATCAAATAAATTTGTCCTATTTAAAAGCAACGAAATGAAACTCTCAAAAAAATCCAAACAGTTGTAAGTGTGCTTCCTCAAACTCTAAAGTAAACCGGTTAACTCTAAAACTAGTTTTAGGTTGCTTGGATTTGGCTCAAATAGTAGTGTTTATGTAGATTTAAAGATGATTCACCCTATCCGTTTTATAGATGATTTGCACACATTTATTTCTTACTATCTCTGCTTGTCAGTATCATTAGAATCTTTTATGAACTGTTGTGAGATCTGATAAATCAATTTCAGACGATTTTCATAATGTAGTAAAGTCTTTAACTAACTAATAGAACTCTAGTAAACTCGCATTTTACATGGTGTCATTGTTTTTCCATTGTTTTTGGTTAGTTATTGACTCAATTCAAATAGTGGCGTTTATGCATTTAAAGATAATTTATCGTATCCGTTCCGTAGATATTTGAATAAATTTCATTAAAAGTGTTTATCCTTGTTTGTCGAAATCATTAGATTGTTTTTATCTACTATCAAGGGATCTTATCTGCCTATAATTTCACACGAATTCTAGAATGAAATTAAGGTTTGGATGATTAAGTGAGCGGTTTAGTTAACCGATTAGTAACCGAAGCACAGCAACAAAACCGGTCTGATGGTGAATAAGATTTTTACATTACTCGCAACTGCAAGGAAAGAGGAGAAAAAAAAAAAAACGGGAAAACGGCCAAATCCCCCCCGAACTTAGTTGCTTTATCGTATTCATACACAGAACTTTGGTTCGTGCCTATAACTACATGAACTCAACTAAAATTTGAATTTCCTACATAAACAATCGAAATCTGGCCAAAACCATCAAATTGACTAACGGTGTTACTGTTCCGTTAATAAATGCTGACTAGGATGACACATGGACTACGAAACGACGTCGTTTTATTTAATTTAGAAAGAAATAAAAAACTGAGACAAACATTACGATTACAGAATCGAACCCATGACCTTGGCTGCCCGCAATCAAACCAACAACCAACTGAGCAACTGAAACTTTTGTAAACTTTGCATTCAGAATTATATAAATATATATAACGCAATAAATTAAAAATGGCAAAATCTTGGATTGAGTCAACGCAGCCTTTGAGTGAATCAGGGTAAATGAGTTTCTCGTGGATTGAGGATTCTGGGTTTTCGGTGGTTGTTGTAGGGGTATTGGAGAAATTGGGAAAATCTGGGGATTTGAAGAGTGATGAAGATGAAGATGAAGATGAAGATGAAGTGTGGGAAAATTGTGGTGAAAGGAAGGGAAAGAGGAAGAGGGAAAAGAGAGGGCTTCTTGTTGCATTGGCCAATAGACATCTCACATTACATGAAATCTCTCTATGAAGCTAAGTGATGATGAAAGGATATGAGTAGAACAGAGTGTGATTCGAAGTTGGTCATGGAGGAGAAGAATGGTCATGGCTCATTACGTTATATACGTATAAATACATATTTCTGAATAAATGTTAACGAGAGTTAATGTTAACGAGAGTTTCCATGGCTCATTGGTTCTGAGACTTATTTCTGGTACCATAGCCCATAGGTCATGGGTTCGATTCCTTGCTTAGCTATGTTTTCAATAATTAATTTTTTTTTTTTAAGTGAAACGACGTCGTTTCGTAGTCCATGTGGCATCTCAGACTGCAAACGTGGCATCCTAGTCAGCATTTATTAACGGAACAGTAACACCGTTAGTCAATTTGATGGTTTTGCCCGGATTTCGATTGTTCATGTAGGAAATTCAAATTTTCGTTGAGTTCATGTAGTTATAGGCACGAACCAAAGTTCTGTGTATGAATACGATAAAGCAACTAAGTTCGGGGGGGATTTGGCCGTTTTCCCAAAAAAAAACCCAAACTTTGAGAAAAACATCCTCATCGTTTTCTGTCCATCGAAGCTCTTTTTTTTTCTTTATCTTCGTATTCAATTCTTGAGAGGAGAGAGAGAGAAGCATCCCAGAAAACGACATTCTGTTCTAATGGAGTTTTTCACCAGATCGAGAGCACGAGGAAGATGATTACTGGGTTTTGATTCGTATATTCACCTCTAGTCGGCGAAAAATCTGTTTTCTATTCCGTAATCTCATTGTTCGTGATCTCTGGGTTGTTTCTGGATTTTTGGTGCGGCTGATTCTGGTCCCGAAGGATCGTTTTTGGGCCATTCTTCCTTCCTTTTGAATCTGAGTTTGGGATTAGGGTTTCGTGGTTATTGATGGAACCTCGTGTGGGGAACAAGTTTCGGCTCGGACGAAAGATCGGTAGTGGTTCGTTTGGGGAGATCTATCTCGGTTCGTCACTCTCTCAATCTTTTCTAATTTTATGGGTTCTCGAATTCGTCACATTGGTGCATTTCGCATCTTTAACATTTTTGTTAACCTGTGATTTTCAGGTACTAATATTCATACGAATGAAGAAGTGGCTATTAAGCTTGTGAGTTCTTTGTTTCCGAGTTTTTGAGTTCATCCCATTTTAATAATTTGATCCATTTTAATAGAGTAACATTGTCACAACATGTTTTGTTTGATCAAGTTTAGTATGTTGAAAGCTGAGATTTTTGATTCTCTTTGTTTTTTTTTTTCCCAGGAAAGTGTGAAGACAAAACATCCGCAGCTGCTCTATGAATCAAAGTTGTACAGGATTCTACAAGGGGGAAGTAATGATTCTTGTCTTCTGAAATCTTGATGTCTGATTATGTAAAGTTTGTGATTCTTATGACCTTTCTTTTGCCTTGACTTTGGTAGCTGGTGTTCCAAATGTCAAATGGTTTGGTGTTGAAGGGGACTATAATGTTTTGGTCATGGATCTACTCGGACCAAGTCTTGAAGATCTCTTCAATTTTTGTAGCAGGAAACTTTCCTTGAAGTCAGTCCTCATGCTTGCTGATCAAATGGTATACTTCTTCATGCGATGCCTTTCTTTCATTTGCTCGTCTATGTTTCAGGAAATACTGACTTGTTTCTTCCTTTGGTTTTTGTGATAAGATCAACCGTGTTGAGTATTTTCATTCAAAATCTTTCCTTCACCGAGATCTCAAGCCAGACAATTTCCTAATGGGCCTTGGAAGGCGTGCAAACCAGGTTTATCATCTTATGTCCTTACTATATCCTTTTGGAGACATCATTGTACTGACTAAGTTTAATCCTTCTCTAAGGTATACATCATTGACTTTGGTCTTGCTAAGAAGTACAGGGACAGTACAACACATCAGCACATTCCCTACAGGTGAGGCGATTATTATATCAGCTCTTGAATGTTCTTCCGTTGAGCATGCTGCCGTTGTTATGTGATGATTGGAAACGCTAATCTTCCCATGATTATCATTTTCAGGGAAAATAAGAACCTGACAGGAACTGCGAGATATGCTAGTATGAACACTCACTTGGGAATTGGTAAGCTCGACAAGACCTGCTTCATGTTAATGTGTTACAGTCGCTCTCCTTATGTGTTTTAGTATCAAGGTTTCACACTCATCTGCTGTTATTTGTTTTCTGGCATTGTGAACTTGAAGAACAAAGCCGAAGGGATGATCTTGAGTCTCTTGGTTACATCCTTATGTATTTCCTCAAAGGAAGGTGAGATATACTGCATGTCTCGCTTCACTTTATTTCCCTAACTCCTTCATTTTGATGACGTATGGAATATCTTGGTTTTAGTCTTCCATGGCAAGGACTGAAAGCTGGAACCAAAAAACAAAAGTATGAAAGGATTAGCGAAAAGAAAGTTTCTACATCCATTGAGGTAAGTCCTTTTCACAAGTATGCTGCTTTTTGACTCAGAATTTTGTTTTCCTCAGTCTGATTCTTATATGATCGCCTTGCACTTGCAGGCATTATGTCGTGGTTACCCGTCCGAATTTGCATCATATTTCCACTACTGTCGGTCGCTTCGTTTTGATGATAAACCAGATTATGCTTATCTCAAAAGAATATTTCGAGATCTCTTTATCCGTGAAGGTTTGAGATTTCCTTCCCTTTGAACGAGCCTGTCCACAATTTTTTTTTGTCTAATTCATGTTTCTAACTGGATTTCATTTGTCTGTTGCAGGGTTTCAATTTGATTACGTGTTTGACTGGACAATCTTGAAGTATCAACAATCACAACTAACAGCTCCCCCATCTCGTGGCCTCGTAAGTAAAATTTGAGTTCTTGGTTAATCTACCTCTTTTGGCTGGACATTTTCTGATGGAGTCTCTTCTGCTGCAGAATCCTGCTGTTGGAACTAGCGCCGCGTTGCCTCCGGGCATTTCCAACATCGATAGATACACAGGTAAGTTTCCCTGATAACTTAAAAGTTATTCTCATTTCTCTGCACAGAAGTTATCATCATTCACATTGTTTGTTGTTAATTGTTGCATCCAAGGCGAGGAAGAAGGGCGACCGCACATGGAATCATCTCGACGGAGAGTTTCAGGTGCTCTTGAGAACTCGGGGAATATTTCGAACCAACAGACATCCTCAAGTGCTAGAGACTCCATGGTATGAATCGCTCTACATTTGTTATCTCTCTCTCACATTCAAACATGAGTTGGGAAAAGATGTGATTTTGTGGCTTTTGTATGCAGATCCCGAGCTCCTCGTTGTTTGCACAATCAGCAGGATCATCGAGGAGAGTAACGGCGGTAAGTGGCAGCCGGGACAATTATCCAGGCAGCGAGGAGTTGTTGCAGAGAAGCCGTACAGGTGACGTCAGCCGTGGCGTGATCCCCAGGAACTCTCCGGTGGAGGTTGGGAAGAGGTCTTCTTCCTCCACAAGAAGACACTACGAATCAGCGGTTAAAGGCATCGATAATCTTCAAGTCTCAGACGAACACCACCCCCACTGAATTGATACATTAATTGTACTACTAGGTCAATGGACCTTTTATTCCTTTTTCCTTTTATTACACTACGGAAATTTGAAAATACAATTTGATTGATCCACATGAAATTTGGTCTTCACTCTTCACTCTTCACTAATCACATTTATGAATATTGGGGCTCAGACGCAATAATTAAAAATAAAGATGCAAAATTCTTCTTCGTCCGATCCGGTTTTGCAATTTAATTTGATCCGGTTCAGCTCAATTCTTCACAGTCTTCGTCTAGCTTCTCTCAATCTAAAGTGACGACGATTCTCAGAATTGTTGCAGAGAGCTAAAAAAACTTGTTCTTCTTCACGGACCGGAGTCGGAGCTTGTATTTGGAGTTTCTATTCGACGATAAACGGTGAGTTTCATTAGCCGTGAGATCTATTTGATCACCGAGAGTTTGGTTTTTATGAATTCTCTTGCCTTTATAGAATAATAACGAATTCACAGAGATAGAAAGCTCAGATAATCTCTAGTTTTGTGGTCTAGTCGTAGCTAACTATATGCATTGATGACTTGACTGGAACAACCTTCCTGCTACTTATGAATGGACATATTTGTACAGAGTGCTCTTAAGCTCTCATATCAATTTGGAACAAACCGCGGTAAATAACAAAGCTCTTTGTTTGGTTCATCTTTTTCCAGTGCATTCCACCATTTCTCCTCACAATAAACTGTTGGCATGTTCGTCTCCTGAAATGGCAGTTTCTTAACTTTGGGGCAGTTTGTGATAACTAAAGTTTCGATCTTTTGGAAAGAAAATCGAGATGGGAGGATGCTCTTTAGTTCTGGGAGATCCCTAGTTGTCAAGGTCTTCAGGCTTGGGAACAATGTTGGATCTTCAACGGATGGACTCTCGTGTTCACTTATCAATTCCTCTAGCTCTCTGCAGTCGAACAAGTCAATCACCTCTAGCTTTGGGAGTTTCGGAACCCATGACACATTCTTCAGCTTGTTGCAGTGTGAAATATTTATGCAACGGATATTCCGCAGACACTCTTGGCTTACAGGATTTCCCCACACTCTGCTTAATTTGTGAAGGCTGTGTAATGTCAGAACCTCTAGACTTGGAAGCCAATCATTTTCAACATCTATGGATGTGACCAGATACTCCAAGTCATGGCAACTTTTAATGCTAAGCCTTCTCAGGTTCCTGCCATGGTTGGTGAGTGATGGGAGATTGAAGTAGAGGAGACCATTGCACTCTTCAACGTGGAGATGCTGTATATGTTTATGCAAGGCCCCGAACTCGTAGAGAGTTTGTAAGGTCTCCGATGAGAGAACAGTGATACCAAGTGTGGTTAGGTTTTCCAAGTATTCCAAGTCATCAAATCCGAGTTCTTCTACATCATCTTCTCCAAAGCTCTGCAGTTCCCAACCCGCGTAACTGTAGTATAAGTTCAGAACCTCGAGCTTGCTCACCCAACATATGGCATCTCGTGGGATCGTCTGAAGAAACTGAGTTCTTTGTAGGTCCAGATGCTTCAGCTTTCTAAGATTCCCAAGCTCCTGGGGCAATACACTTATCTTTGTTCCTGACATAGACAGGTGATACAACTCCACCAAATTCTTAATAGACAACGGAATCTCAGTGATACTTGTGAAAGACAAGTCCAAGACCCTGAGAATAGGCATATGCATGAAAAATCCTGTTGGAATCTTCTTCAAAGAGCTGTTCTGTTGGAGCATCAGTGTTGTCAGTTTCGGGCATATGGGGTTTTCAGGCAAGGTCTGGATTCTGTTATCTATCAGTGAAATCACCAACGCTTGTCGCCAGTTTTCTGCTTTAGGAGCTTCAGTATGTCCCATGTTAGGCTCAACTAGGATCAGCTCCTTATAAGTCCCCTGTTCAGATGCCATCCACAGAGCAAAGCTTCTGACCACATTATGCATCTTCACCTGTGTTTTCTCATCTCCGGTTTCCAACAAACATGCCGCTTTCAGATCTCCAATCAGAAAATGTCCCTTGTAAATGGTGTTAACGCCATGGGAACTGGTTAGAAACCCTTCGCCGACCCAATACTCAACAAGCTGTTCTATCTCTATAGAATGTTCTTCTGGGAATAAAGCGCAGTACAAGAAACAAGACCGAAGCAGATCACTCTCGAGATTGTCGTAGCTGAATTTTAAAAGGGCAAATACATAGTTTATACCCTTCATCTCTGCTGGAAATCTAGTCAGAACTTCACTAGCGTGGATCCACTCTTCTTCGGTCTCTCTGTGAGCCATGGCTCCTCCTAAAGTGATCAACGCTAGCGGCAATCCTCCACATTTACTCACTATAATCTCAGCAAGCCGGCGAATTGATGATGATTCCAAGAGTTCTTTTCTCCCTACCTTACTACAGAACAGCTCCCACGCATATTTCTTCTCCAGAAACTCCACTCTCAACTTGTATTCCGCACCCATATTGCTGCATAATGCCATAGACCGTGTCGTGAACATCATCTTGCATTTGTTTTCCCTGTCAGGTCGAGGAACTCCAGTTTTCTCCAAGTCTATCTCTTCCCAGACATCATCTAGCAACAACAAGAAACGTTTCTGTCTCAAAGCTCTGTATATCTTCAAAGCTCTATTTTCGCCGGTCTCCTTCTCGTCCCAAGATAAACCCAACCGCGCTCCAACAGCTTGCTGAATTGTACACTCGCCGAATTCTCGGGACATTTGAACCCAAATCAGTACATCATACTGATGTCCTTTTGTGATCAGCTCGTTGTTAATACTCTGCATTAACGTTGTCTTCCCAACCCCACCAGGTCCATAAACCCCGATGATTCCTCTTTCTTCTTCTTCACTGAGAAAGTCCATAACCCGTTCCATCATCGTGGTATTTCCGACCACGGACTTGATGGGTATCTCCGTACATGTTTGTTGAATTGACCCGCCATCTGTTTTAATATCTTCAGAGCGTTCTCTCAGCTCATCAATGCTCTTCAATGTCGCACAAACCTTATTGCACAGTTTGTAGTCGGCACAGCCGAAACAACCGAGGCATCTCCTCCGCATTCTGGTCCTCTGTTCCCGACGCCTACACCTCACTAAAATTGAGGCTGCTTTAGTCTCTGTTGCTTGCACCGCGCTAAGCCACACACTGACACGATTTGAGCAGCTTCGTCCCTCTAGATTGTCTTGTTGGATCCGTAAAGACAGGTCATCACGTATGGCCTTCAAGTCACCGATGGCTGTTTCGAGATCAGTGATGGCTTGTCTAAGATCAGTGTTATGTCCTCTTCTGTCCGCCATATTCATAGATTCACACAACACCTGAGCAAAGCCCACGATTAGAGATGAGATGAAATCCATTTCGATGATTTTTTCGCTCTTCTTTGCTTGTCTGAGCAAACTAACTATTATTAGTTGTTAATTCGCTTCTCATAGAGATTGAGGTGTTGACTCGTAAAGTCAAGTCAACTGTAATAAAGCTGTCTTGTGTGGCTTTGTCCAAGAAACGAGTAGCTTTTTGAACCTTGCTTAATCATTTCCTCGAACTGTTGTTTGCATGTTGTATCTCCACTGGCCGAGTCAAGGCCCGATAACAGATTGGCCCTCTAAGAGTCTTTAAATTCATGGGCTTTTTTTCTGGGGGTCCACAAAAGTATGTGTTGTATTGTATGTTGCATATTAAAGACTCATCAAGCAGTATGTTTCACCAAAAATGGGAGGCATCGAGAACTTTGAATTGATGTAATCATACACCACTTTACACTTAATTTATTTATTAATGGTAATATAGGTACCGGTCTTTTGAATTAGTTATGTTTTTATTACGAGTTGAACAACCAGAGTACTTCCATTAACCACTTTGCCCGCAATCGCAAGGAAAGCTAACAATTAAATTTGAAGTATCGCACATAAAAAAATTAAAAAAAAATTCCTACTTTTGTGTAATAATTTGTAAAAAAAAAGAGTAGAGATTGGTTCATTGTATTTGAGGTGGCTTGGGTATTTTGTCTGTTGCCCATAATCCAAAGCCCACTTTCACACATTTCCAATTTGAATAACATATCATTACACATTGTCCAAAGAACACAGCACAAGTGGCATCTAACATATGGAACTGAATAAATACTTCTGTTGACGAATAAATATTAAATAATTGTTTGAGATATTAGAGAAAATAGAATAATGAGGAGAGAACAAAAAAAAAAGAGAGAGAGTTTAAAGACAAGATATTTACGGAATTTAATGGGACGAAAGAAAATAAAGAATTTAAAAGGAGCTGTCTTTGTCAGTGCAATGAACCTTTTTTTCGTCTATAAAATCTCTCCCGCCACCCAACTAACACATCTTAAACCGTACACGTCACCCTCTCTCCTTCCCAAAACCGGACTTTTTCTTCGCCTACGTGTCGCTCATCCACCGGTTTTTTCTGCTAATCGTGGGACCTATTATTATTCACATTTTTATTTTTTATTAAAATATTGGACGGATTCTTTCATGTTCTTTGGGTCGTTGGATAATTATGTCCATGAGTCTATCCATCAAAATACCTTCGGAATCATCTTCTTTTTATTTTATATATATTGCGACATCAATAATTATGTGTTTTGTACTATTTTTTTGTTTCCATTTCTCTGGTCAATAAAAAAGACTCAAAATTTTGGTCGAATTAATGGAACCTTAAACTCTTCTATTCCCTTTGGACAAATTGAGAAGAAAATTATGTATTGGAAAAGCTTTATATGATTTTAACGTATTTTTATAATTGCACGATCAATCTCTTTTCTTAATGTTTGTATGAAACTATAAAGACCATTTTTTAAAGAACTAAGATTCAAAATTTTATTTTTGTCAAATGAATAAATGAAGCGACTACTGCATAATGGTTTTGGTTTTCTATGATTAACAAATACAAATAATGGTTTTGGTTTTATGTTTGACCAAAAATGGTTTTGAAGATAAATAATTTTAAATTATTAGACGAATAATGAAACGATTCCCCTTAAATAATAATTATTTAGATATTTTACCGGTGGTCTTTCATTTTTTCAGAATATGAAAACATTCAATTCTTACTTATCTTTTCTATGGATAAAGTATTGTTCTTATTCTGAAAATGACAGAAAATTTTAAAATTTATTTTAATCTATTAATATCTAGATGGTATATTATGTTTTTTTTTAGTCCAATGATTAGAAATTACGAATAATGTTTTGGTATTTAAAACTCTGTTTATGCAGATTTGAAGTGTATATGACAAATAAAATAATTGCAAGAAATACAAGATTTAACTCCGACTACGACACGTCATTTAATGAAAGTCATCTTTAAGAAAATATAAAATTCATTAAACCGATGACCTAACTAAAGTTAAAAGCAAACATATTTTGTTTGACAAACAAATAAAGAAATATTTTATTTTGTTAAAAAACATAAATGATAAAAAAAAAAAAAAATTGTTGAACATAAGAAGTTCGAAGCAACTGTCTTTCTATCATTTTATGATTTAAATTTTTAAAAATTTCAAGAACGAAACATCGCCCCTTATAACAAAAAATAAACAAGCCAAAAAAAAGATCACTTTTATAATGTAACAAATAAAGTAAAATCTATATAAGTATACATAAATAGTAGATTCGAAGCAATTGCTGCATTAGCCTACCCATTTCCTCTTTCTTTCTCTTTTATCTGTGAACAAGCCACAACAAGTTTTAGAAGAAGAAAGAACTCTTCTTTCAACTTTTAGGTGTATATAGATGAATCTAGACATAGTTTTAGTTGGAAATTAATTGAAGAGAGAGATATTATTTCACAAATCTTCTCAAGAGGTCCTAACGAATTACCCACAATCAAGGAAACCCTTATTGAAATTCAATTCAATTTTATTTTTTTGCTTTCTGTGTAGTGATTTTCCCGGGAATTTTTTTGGGTATATCTCTCTCTGTTTTTGCTTTCCTTTTTGAGAGGACTCATGTGTTTCTTGTCTTCCTAGCTTCTAATAAAGTCTCTTCTCTTCAATTTCTGTAGAAATCTGTCGAATTTTCATTTTTGTTCCATTGGAGCTATCTTTTATAGATCACAACCATCTTTACCTCAGAGAGAGAAAAAAAGATCAAAGCTTTACCTAATTTCTCAGTCAATGGAGGAAGTATCTCCGGCGATCGCAGGTCCTTTCAGGCCATTCTCCGAAACCCAGATGGATTTCACAGGGATCAGATTGAGTAAAGGTTACTGCAATAATAACCAATACTCAACTCAAGATTCCGAGAACGGAGATCTAATGGTTTCGTTACCGGAGAGTTCATGCTCTGTTTCTGGGTCACATGGTTCTGAATCTAGGAAAGTTTTGATTTCTCGGATCAATTCTCCTAATTTAAACATGAAGGAATCAGCAGCTGCTGATATAGTCGTTGATATCTCCGCCGGAGATGAGATCAACGGCTCAGATGTTCCGAGCGAGAAGAAGATGATCAGCAGAACAGAGAGTAGGAGTCTGTTCGAATTCAAGAGTGTGCCTTTGTATGGATTTACTTCGATTTGTGGAAGAAGACCTGAGATGGAAGATGCTGTTTCGACAATACCAAGATTCCTTCAATCTTCCTCTGGTTTGATGTTAGATGGTCGGTTTGATCCTCAATCAACCGCTCATTTCTTCGGTGTTTACGACGGCCATGGCGGTTCTCAGGTAAGATCCATTGCTGTAAAAGATTCGATCTTTCGATTTGGGTTTTTGTAATTTGCAGAATCTGATTTTGTTCTTGGTGTTGCTGTTGTTGTGTAGGTAGCGAACTATTGTAAAGAGAGGATGCATTTGGCTTTAGCGGAGGAGATAGCTAAGGAGAAACCGATGCTCTGCGACGGTGATACGTGGCTGGAGAAGTGGAAGAAAGCTCTTTTCAACTCGTTCCTGAGAGTTGACTCGGAGATCGAGTCTGTCGCGCCGGAGACGGTTGGGTCAACGTCGGTGGTTGCTGTTGTTTTCCCGACTCACATCTTTGTTGCCAACTGCGGTGACTCCAGAGCTGTTCTTTGCCGTGGCAAAACTGCACTCCCATTATCCGTTGACCATAAAGTAAGCATATATAGACTCAAGATCTATAGTTGGATCGGTTGTGATAGGTTTTTGATCCTCAATTTGTGCTCAAGATGTTGTTGAATTTGAGAGTTTTATGAATTAATTTTCTGATGTATGTTTTGTTTATGTGTGTAGCCGGATAGAGAAGATGAGGCGGCGAGGATTGAAGCCGCAGGAGGGAAAGTGATCCAGTGGAATGGAGCTCGTGTTTTCGGTGTTCTCGCCATGTCGAGATCCATTGGTAAGCTTTCTTTCTATTTCTTCCTAAAGATTCTCAATGGTTCTTCAAATATAAACCTTTTTCTTACAAACATGTATCATTTTGATAGGCGATAGATACTTGAAACCATCCATCATTCCTGATCCGGAAGTGACGGCTGTGAAGAGAGTTAAAGAAGATGACTGTCTGATTCTTGCGAGTGATGGGGTTTGGGATGTAATGACGGATGAGGAAGCGTGTGAGATGGCGAGGAAGCGGATTCTCTTGTGGCACAAGAAGAACGCAGTGGCTGGGGATGCATCGTTGCTCTCGGATGAGCGGAGAAAGGAAGGGAAAGATCCCGCAGCGATGTCTGCGGCTGAGTATTTGTCAAAGCTGGCAATACAGAGAGGAAGCAAAGACAACATAAGTGTTGTGGTGGTTGATTTGAAGCCTCGGAGGAAACTCAAGAGCAAACCCTTGAACTGAGGCAGAGAGGGTCCTTTTTCTTAATTTTTAAATGAATATGGGTCTCTCCAAGAAAAAAAGTATTTACTATTATTACTTTGTGCTTATTATTTTTTTTAACTAACAAGTTATAACCATATGAGATAATGTAGCTTAATGTGTTAAGCTCTTTTGTCTTGACAACGTTCTAAAAAGCCCCTTGTATTTTCTTCCCGGGCTAATTGTAATATGGTTACAACAACATACATTAAGATGTAGTATTATTGTTTATGCAAATTGCAAATACTTTTCAAAACTTTACATACGAAAATGGAAAGATTTTTTACAGTCTGAAAACCAAATTATGAATTACAATTTATAAGCTGAGTTTAAATATATCCACTAGCAGAGAAACATATTTGATAGATGTGTGTAATGTATAATAGTGATATGAAAGTACACAAGTAAATCAAATTTTGTAGACTAGTCTCTCAAGTCATAACATCTGGTAGATTTATCTTTCACAAAATCTCTTCTAGTGGATATGAAGTAATAACTTGGTAGTAAAAGGATTGTTCAAACTCGGTTCTAGTAATTAGCAAGTGGAGGAATCAAAGATCCTGCGTCGGTGAAGTAAGCAGAGAGATTCATATCCGAATCTTCAAACATGTTAACAAACTTGTGTTCCTATTCACCATGATGGAACCAAAAAAGAAAGTCGTTAAAAGTAGTCCGAGACAGTACAAGAAGAAAGACACAGAGTATTATATGATTACGCACCAGAAGTTCCTGTGCTGATTTTCTGTCCCTTGGTTCTTTTTGTACACTACACAAGTTAAAGCATCATTTCAAATGCCTACTCGGTACGGGAAAAAATTAATGAAGCGGTGCGAAGAATATGTCTCACCATTGCGAGATGAAGGAGCAAAACTCTGGAGAAAAGAGATGGGAAGGTGCACAAGGAGGCGGGTTTTCAACAATGGCGTCCACAAGCTCGTACACGCTACTCCATCCCTTCTTGTGTTCTGGAGGAATATACGGGAATTTACCCGTTGCACATTCGAGCAAAAACCAGTCCCAAGCTCCAGATATCGCTCTTGTTACTGTACAAACTCCCGCTAATTCTCTCTGGCTGCAAAACATGATAATATCGGTAAAACCTTTTAGGAACTGAGTATGTGTGTATAATGAGTGTTAAGAGGTGAGTGGAGGATACTCACAGACATATAGGGGTATGTGCCCACGAAAGAATTAGCTAGACTACTTGTGCTTGTCAAGATCTTGCTAACACCAAAGTCAGTGATCTTGACTTCACCTCTATGATTGATTAGCAAGTTCGAAGGCTTTAAGTCCCGATGAATGATTCGCCTCTCATGGTGAATATAGCAAAGGCCTCGGAGCACCTGCGTTTAGTAGAGACGAAAGAGCTTTGTTATGTGTTTTCTTAGAGAAAATAAACTAGAAACAAGTAGAGATGTATAAAGATTTTGCGTAGAGTACTCGCTTGCAGATGGCAGCGAGCATGTTTTCAGGAACTTTTTCGACTTTCTTTAACAAGTCCGCAAGGGATCCACCATCCATGAACTCCAATATGATTGAAACAAGACCGTTATGGTAGAAAGACTGATAACATGAGACTAGATATGGACATTGTGAGCTCAAGTTTATTCTCAGCTCCTGAGAAATCGCCCGACATGTTGATTCTTCTGTGTTCAATTGAATGACCTGAAAATGATATTATGCATCTTTTGTTCAACCAAAGGAAAGAAAACACTCTTAAAAAGAAGCAACATAGATAAACAAAAACAGAATGGAATCTGACCTTAAGAGCGAAAAACTGTTGAGTGAGTTTGTGTTTCACCAACTGGACATTACCACTGCATCCTTTGCCAATGACTTTGATCACTTCTAGATCTGCCAAACTCAATTGGTTGTCCAATGGCTCAATAGGAGGTGGCTGCAAACAACCAAAAACATAATGTAAGAAAGTATAGCGAGATCTCGAATTCAAGTAAGCATGAAATAAACAAAGTTACAGCTCCTGGCTCGGACTGAGACACGATCTGGATTCCATCTTTGTTTACTCGAAGATCTCCATCCTTGAACGTTCCACTCTGTGTTCTAATCCAATTTTTCAATGTTAGAAAACTCATCACTTGTGGTATGAACACAAATCCTAAAAAACAGAGAACAGTGAACTCTGATTTGCAGAATAAAACAGAGTAATCACTAGAAACACCAACTATAAATCTAAATCTGAAGAATAAAAACAGAGTAATCACCAGAAACATTTATGGATAATGCCCTAAAAACTGACATTAAAAAGAATCCAGAGAGAGAGATAGAGAAGTAGAATTACAAGAATTTGGAGATGGATTGCTCAAGAGGAGGGAGACAGATGGGATTAGGGCATAAGCCGCCTCTGTTCATGTCTGGTTTTTGGAGATCAAATCGACCAAACACAGTTGCAGATAAACACACAGAGAGAGAGAGAGAGACAGAGACACAAGGTCAGAGATCACAAGGATAAAGCTTTAGAGGAGGAATGACGAACAGTCGACGTCGTGTAGCTAATGACTATGAAGAAGAAGACGAAGACGAAATGGTCGTTGACTTGTCCTTGACTCATCTCTCCTTTGAATATTCTTCCTTTACTTTTTTAATTTAATTGTCAACAATAGTTTGGATCATAATCATTCCATTTTAACCTCCCCACTTCTCAATGTTTTGTTTTTTTTTTTGAAAAAGAAACACCACTTCTCAATGTTCATATTAAGTTCTAATTGTATAGTCTTGTGATTAATTTTCTTCGACGAATGTTCTTCTCTTTTGTTTGTGAAGTAATCTTACATGGATTATTTAATAGCATGTTGATTTTAATTAATACTAATAAATTGTTACACTCGATCGTTGCCGAAATAAAATAAGGTGTCATAATCATTAGATTGATATCACATGTATGGAAGAAATCAACTAAAGTGATCAAATGTGAAGAGTTGGTATATGGTGTCCAGTTGGACTAAAGTTAACATTATTTTTTATCTCTTTTTTGGTCAAGCATTTTTTAAAATATATTACATCATTTTGTTTTATTAAAATAAAACAAGTAACATTTTAAAATAATTATATAGACAGATTCAACTATTGTAAATGGATGATTTGATCCAGAATATCCCCTATATATTAATAGAGAAACATTTTAAAAAAAAAACCTTACCATCATGTGTTATTAACAAGATTGCCACGCTGATGTGTCGCTCTCACAATGATTTGACTTTTATTTAAATAATTACCCAAGATTTATTAGATTATTTACAGAATTTGCCATTAGTCTCATACATCCATATATCCCATTAATAATTAAAAACATACATTTTTTGTTTATCTTATATTACTATATTTTTATATTTATATTTTTCTTTATATACATTTATATAAATTTTCTTTAGCGGATGGGTAAACAATCTTTTTATTTATATTTATATTTATGTTTATATTTAAATAATAAAATATATACATTTGGTTCAAGAATCTCGAATTCAAAACTACAAAATCTTTACATCTTTCATAATTTTTTTACTTAAATAAATAAGATAATCTCCTTTCTATATATGTTACGAATACTTAAAATCCTATTTTTTGGAGGAGTTCTAACTTTTCGAAGAAAAACACTATAACCACATTTGTATATAAACCAAAATCTGGCCACATTATAACCATTTCGTAAATAATTCATTCATAATCTAAGAATCTTTGATTTGGAACACTACAAAATCTTAGCTTGGAAACTATCAAATCTCATCTTTGCTAAATTTTGGATTTCTTATACTTATTAAAAAAAAAAAAATTCTTTTTATACTACGAAATCTTTAAAACATACGGAAAGACATATTGCCATAATTGGTAACATTTCGTCAATACTTTTTTATCACGTTGAAGCTTTATTCAAGGTTCAAATATTTCACGGGTAAAACATATTCTTATATGACATAGTCCCAAATTTGAATAAAACAAAAAAAAATTGTAACATGTTTCGTTTTACACAAACGGATCTTGGATCTCGGATAATAATTTTAATCATAATAATTTTACTTGAATCACTTCATCCCGCACATCGTGCGGGTTATTATCTAGTATGAGATTATGATGGACAAGTTTATAACGATATCTAACTTGTAAGAAAAGAAAGAAAAAACTAAAACTCATAAATAATGAAACAACAATAGATTTAGACCAACTATGTTATCGCTATAATTAAAAGATCTGAATTAGTACTGCTTATTATGTGGTTACTGGTAACGTATCTAAGAATGGTCTAAATCTAACAGTGGAAGCTTTCTGAATTACAAAAAAAACAAATATTACAAAAATAGTGTTGTTGTCTAAGAAAAGTTCGTTAAAAAAAGGTTGGAGAAATCAAAGAGAATTTTTTTCTATTAAATCCATTAATTTTTCCAAAAAAAAAGAAAGATTTTTTTTTTTTGTAATTGTATTTCTTAGAGCCATTTCATTACAAATTATCAGAGTAAAAACATCAACAAACATAGTGTAAGAAATAAATAATACTAGTTGGTACGACAAAAATAAATAAATAAATAATACTAGTTGATTAATTTATTAACAGTATTTAAGTAAAAATAGAAAAGAGAAAAAAAGACTTCAATTTTCATCTTCCGCTCTCTACGCATTTAACACGCTGACGAAGTAGAAGAAGACGAAGCACGACGACTCTCGCGCTTCCAGATTTCTTGATCCGATACTCATTTTTTCTCCTCTCCTTCAATCAATCTCTTCTCGAATTTGTGCTCTTGAAATTATATAATCTAGGTGAGTTATTATTGATCTCCGTCGATTTCCTTTTACTTCCTCGGAGCTTCGTGATGAAAGCTGGATCATTCTACTTGATGGAATTGAAATTCTTATTGTTAGACTTTTCATATATCGCTGATTGCTGCTAGGGTTTAAGCTGAGATCATCTCTGTTTTATAGACTTTGTTCGATTGTTGTATGGTTTTCTTGCTGAAATTCATTCATATTGTTGATGTTCTGTTCTAGGCAATTTGAAGATCTTGTGGTTCACAAACTCATAAGCACGAGGTTATCATTTTCATCATCTACTTGAAGAACGTATGGGGGAAAGTAATCATCTTCCTCCCTTCTTTGATCATATTAGTCCTCAAAAGATATCTGCTTTCTTAGTTCTTGTTACTAGATTAGAGGATCATCTAAATCTGGCAACCAAGTAGTTGACTTTGACTAGCTGGAAGTGATTGTTCATCAACAGTCAAAGATCATGAATTTTTGTTTTAGGAACAAGGGTTCACTGTCTCTTGATTTCCAAGTAGAGTCATGAGTTTTTTTTGCCTCTTTGGATCAATCTTATCTATTGTTTCCAGCTGTTAAAGTGCGCGGTGATGGAAGTGCAGAGCTGGTTAAATCTATGGCTGATAAGCATGTCGGTCTCGTGAGACCAGCGGCTAAATATTACTCTGCAATAAAAGGTACCTACAACCACCATTCTCCACAAGCCTTCTCTTTAGAAGATGTACACCCTTTAGTCTGTTCATGTGTGGAACTCCTGCAATTTGATTTTTTGCACCTTCTCCATGAACTTATAGACAGATTGGCTTTGTATGATAGATGCTATGGTAAGTGGGAAAGGAAGATATACGCTTGTAAAAGACGTGGACGAGGTGGAAAATGGAGTGTATGACAAGCCTCTTCCATGCTTTGGTTGTGGAGTCGGATGGTTCTCGTGAGTTTGGAGTATTGGTTTTTTTAGTTAAGTCCAGGGAGCTTCACTATATCCAGTTCGATTTACCTGCTATCTTTGTTTTGCAGCTTCCTCTTGGGTTTTGTGCTTCCTTTCTTGTGGTACTATGCGACATTTCTATATTTCGGGAACTACTACCGCAAGGATCCTAGAGAAAGAGCCGGTCTTGCTGCTTCCGCAATCGCTGTAATAACTCTTCTTCTCACTTCACCATATCGTTTTTATGGAGAGAATGAAAAATTGAAATCGATCTGGTGATGTTTCAGGCGATGGGATTCTCCCTCATGCTACTGGTGATTGTTGTTTTCAGGTGGTTCTAATGGGTTCTCTGACTTATACGCCATAAATCTTGAGATATATAATGAAAGTCCCATCCTTGTCAAAAGGAAAAGAGGAGGGACTTAGATATATATAAACCCTAAATTACACAGATTATTATACCTCTCTCAATCTCTGTATCATTTTCTTTTCAAAAATCTACAGTTTGTGTACAAAGAACAGAAAGTAAAAAAATAAATGAGTAAATGGTTGTTTCTTTCTTGAGCTCATATGAGAATGTTTTTGCTTCTTAGAGCACCCCCAATGGTGTTTCTTATGGGTTTCTTAAAAAAAATCCTTAAAGTTAAAGTAATTAAAATAAATAAAAACAACAAATAAAGTTAAGGATTGTTAAGAGTTGACTCTAAGAGCATGATTATCAATGAGCTCTTAATAATGGTTCTTAGAAATATTTAAGTAATAAATTTGTAAAAGTGATAGTTAAGAGATTGTATTTTTGGGTTAAGATTTTTTGTGTGTTTAATGGTAGGCTCTTAACATGTGGTTCTTAAAAAAAAAAAATAGTAATACAAAAATAAAATTAAATTAACAATTTTATGTTTAGAAAACTTAATAATTGTTGCAAATTAAAAAATTTAAATCATACATGATATGGTTTTGGTTTATGTGTTTTGGTTTTGTGGAGAAAGGAAGATATGGTTTTGGTTTATGTGTTTTGGTTTTGTGGAGAAAAGGAAGATATGGTTTTGGTTTATGTGTGTTTGGTTTTGTGGAGAAAAAGAAGATATGTGACAAAATAATTGGTGTTTGGTGTATTGGCACAAAGATATACAAGAGATTCATAATAATTACTGTTTTGTGTATTGGGACAAAGAAATAAAAGAAACAAAGTGAATTTGGTGTAATTGGTGTTTAAAGAGTTCATAATCACATCAAACACTATTGTCTAAACATAGTATTTCAAGACTAATAAGACATCAAAAGCGATTTGCCTTTATGATTTCATTATTGACTCCCACTTCTTTTTTTGTTTCTAAACGATTCATATGACTACTAACTAAAAATTAGCACGAAAGTCATTTGCAGTTTGTGGAATAACACACTATATGGAACTCTTTCATGACATGACATGTATAAACCACCGTATTCTTCTCCATCTGATTCCTCTGCAACTACTTCCTTCCTCTTCTCCTCTCCCTTGGCAGCCCTTGAACAAATTCCTGCAACTTCTGTCTTTGAATACCAAGCCGTAACGTATGCTCAAATCATTTATAATACCAATCATTGATCCATCACCCAAAACTTACTTGAACAGAGATTTGTTTCCCTAAAACTGAAGACTTTTCATAAGCACACTATTATAGTTTACATACATGTTTATGTTCAGAGACATGATTGATCAACAAAGTGAAGAACTCTTACCTAAGATCCAATTTCGTATCTCCCACCATTCTGCAAAGTCATTTCATACACCTGAGAAGATTTTCCATTTCTCAATCTCCCACCATTAACACGATTCTCAATCCTCCTCTTACCTCCTTCTTCACCTCTCTCTATCCCCATGACACCAAATCTCTTCCTCACCCTACGACCACGTAGCTTCTTCCCAATTTCTTCATCTTTTACCTCACTCTCTTCACCATCAGAATCACCATCAACAACAGAGGTTGATGATAATCTACCATAAGGTTTGACACTATGAACAACACCTTTAGGAAAAAACTTAGCAGAAGGCAAATCATCAACACTCTCAAACAATTGAGGACCATCTCTATCAGTCCATAGATCAAACTATGAACCCTAATCGAGAATTAAGATGATATATAACGATCAAACTCATATATTGGTCTCCGATCAACGATTAACCAAATCAAATTCAAAGAACAGAGACTAAATTGGGATGGAACGATACAAATCGAAGAAACTGAATAAGAACCCAGAAATTTACCTTGATCACGATTGAGAGATTGATTTTAAGATTTTGAGAAACTGGAAACTGAATTGTGAAGAAGAAGAGGTCAATCGCGAAATCTCCTCCAAGCCAGAGAGGAGAAACGTGAAAGAGAGAAAGAGAGAGGAGGAGAAGAGAGAGAATCTTGACACGTGGCCGCCTCTTAGCATGTGTTTTGACTCTTATATAAGAAACGTTCCTTAGCTTAAATCAATATCTATCATTTAATTTAAATCAAATTAAACCTAAGAATCATCTAAGAATTGCTTAAGAGCTCTGCGTTAAAGATGCTCTAATATAAGGATTGTTAAGAGGTTTAAGGATTGTTAAGAGTCTCATATGTGTCGCTTTCTGATTGGGTCAAAAATATTAATAAAAGACAAACAAAATATGCCTTCAAATCTCAGTAATATGATGGACATTCGAACTCGAGTTCATGATCGGACTATGCATCAACATTTGAAAGCTGATTTTGTTAAGCGTATATTTGTGGCAAAATTTTGGTTTTTTATTTGTATTTTTATATGGTTTTATGTCTTTTATGTTTAAATTTTTTTAGGAAATTGTAATATTTATTAATTTTTATCAAATAAAAATGTTTATAGTTTTCATTTTAAATTTTTTTTTCTTTTAAGAAACCCACTTAAGGACTCTACCATTGGACAAATAAATTTTTAAGGATTCATCACAAACTCTTAACTTTAAAATTATCATAATTTATGATTAAAAAATGTTTAAGAATCCTTTTAAGGATTCAACCATTGATGTTGCTCTTATGAAACCAATGTTTGTCAAGTATTTTGATTAAGAGTGTTCCATTGATTACATCAAGATGATGATTATGACTTCGCTATCCAGTAGAAATTGGATTACCATTAATTAAGGAGGTTTTTTAAAAGTATTTTTGATCACACCAAATTTTGTAAGTATATAAATTAAATTATTTAACAACGTGTATCGGATACGCGCGTCAAAACTGTTACTAATTTCCTGATTTGCCCAAAGCGAAAAAAGAAAAAAAAGCATCGGAGAGACAAAAAGATGAACAATAAATTTGGCGGGAAGAAGCCGACGGGAACACCGTCTCTAGCGTGGTCAACCGTCGTAGTTGTAGCCTCTCTGCTCGCTGGAGCCTCCGTCGTTCACAATATATACAAGCCAGATCTCGTAAGTTGTCTTCCTTTATAAATAAGCACGTAAGGTGTTCGATAAAATGTCTAGCTGAACCAAAAATTTTGTTTTGTCATCACTTCTCAGTAATGATCTGATATTTAGTTCCCTTTTTTTCACTTTGGTTGCAGAGATTACCTCAGATCGAAAGCGATGAAGGAGAGAAGAAGGAGGAGTCTGGAAACAAAGGTTAATTCTATTTTGTGGTTTGGTTAGTTACATTTCTGGCATTGATTTCTCAAACTCCTCTGGGTTTGAGTTATGTCCTCAGACCTTTGTGTTATGCATGAATAAGTTCACTCACTGGTTAGTTACATTTTGATCCATCCAAGATTATAAGTGATTAGTTGCAATAGATTGCTAATTGGGGATTGTCCCCCACACTTTCTAGTGGTTGCAATAGTTGGCTCATTATGGCAAATTTTTGTACTAAATAACTATGACCTTATGTAAAATAATGATAGGGCTATGTAAACTACAGTAAATTGGATTTTGGGAAACCAAAACACCACTTCTTTGCCGGTGAAACATTTGGATGGTTTGGTCTCTCCTCTGATCATCAGGATTCAAACCCATCATCGCATATAGGCCCATATTAGTTCTCGGAAATGGGCTCACACTGGGGCGGAATATGAAAGGTAGTTACGGTGATTAAGCCAGCGAAGGGAAGGAAGGATAGTGGAGTACGATTTTCAAAATGCCATCTTTCGTATTATACATGGACTACACTATTAAGTGTGTCTATATCATACTTTACAAATGTGTTCAACAAAATTTATCTAAAATACAACGAAAAGAGAAAAGCCATAGAAAAGTCTATGATACAGATTTTTGAAAAAACGTATACACATTAATACGATTTAACCCTCACACCAAGCATGCAGAAAACAACGTAAAAAGAACATTAACAATTTAACACTACATGGATATAACAGTGAACTAGAGGTTTGAAATCGTATGTAGAAGATGAAAAAGACAGAACACACCTAAGCTAATACCTTGGAGGAGAGAAATACGCGGAGAGTGGAGACAAAAGGCGTCGCGGGTTGAAGAGGGATACGTGTCGCGGGGAGGCGATTCCATCGATTTGGCGATAATCGGATACATTGATGAAGCCTTCCTTCCCGTCTCCACGGCCAGTTCCTCTCCCCGGAGAAGAGCTCAGGCCGTACTTGACGAACTTACCAATGCCCCACGACTTTTTTTTGGCCGGAGTTTTTTTATAAGACTCGGTCATTTTCTCGCTCATGTACTGCTTCAATGCTTCCAATCCCTGTTCCACCTGTTGCAGCATATCATCAGATTTAAACTATATGTCACAAACGGATGAGCAAGAACAAGACTTTTTAGTTCATATGTCTCTCAAGTTTCTTCCTTTAAGGTCAACTTTTTAGTTTACAATGTTTTCAATTAAAAATCGTATCCGCGTTATATATAACACACTATAAATCAGAATGCGTGTGGAAAATTTTACGTTGCGTACCATAACACTACTTTAGATCATGATCATAATGCTTGTGCAACAAGTTATACTCTATATCATATTAATTTTTGTTCAATGCATTCCTAAACAAAAAAAAATTAGGTTTTGTTACATGTAGACGCCTAATGTGAATAATGATTTGTACATGTTTCCTCTTACTACTGCGCGCATTTAATAGTATGCATATTGTTGACAAAAATAAAAAAAAAATATTTTATCTTGAAAAAAATTTGTACATACCACTTCAAAAGGTGGGGAAATGAGGGGATTACCCTCCACAGAGAGCTTCTGAATCCGGCGAAGACAGCCGAGGGAGTTCGGTAAAACCGTAATTCCGTTATAACTAACGTCAAGCTCGACGAGAGATATCAACAACCCAACGGAGTAAGGTAACGTCGTCAAGTGTTGGAAGTTCTGGCTAACGTTAAGGACCTGAAGGTTCACGAGGTTCTCAAGATCCTCAGGGAGGGAACTAAGGCGGTTTAGCCGCGCGTCGAGGACACGCAGCGACGTCATGTAGCTAACGGAGTTTGGTAACAGAACAAGCTTGTTCGAGTTGACGGAGAGCTTCGTCAGATTCGTTAGCTCGAACCCTATAGCGTCTGGGAGCCTTGTAAGCTCGTTGAAGTTGGCGTTCAGCTCTTCCAGCGATCTGCGTTTTGGTTGCGTTTTGCGTTTTTGTACATTACTTGGAATATAGATACTATGCAAGGAAGTGGTCTTACCTGCAATCTTCGATAGTTTTGGGGAGAAATTGGAGATAATTTCCGGCGACATTAAGAAACTTAAGTTTGGAAAGACATCCAATGGAGTTTGGAAGAGTTTTTAGCTGATTGGATTGCAAATCCAGTGCCCACAAATTTAACATTCTTGCTACTAGAGACTCCGGAATTTTCTGCATCAGAAAGTTGATAAATGAGTGATCAAATTTTAAGTTCTAAGTGATACACACATACATAAATTAGTTTAAGAGTTTCAAAGTGTACCACACTCTCTTATCGCTTCTAGTTGTTATAATTTTTTTTTACCGTTTCATGTCGTTAGTCGAGTCCAAAATTTTATCTTTTGATAAGGGTTATATTTTTTTTTTTTCCTAAGAGTACAGATCCAAAAGAGAGAAGTATGTAAGTATTTATGGATAGTTAATGCTATTCTTTGATATTTTATGTATATAACAACTATGTAACGTAAAAAAACGAACACTTGTGGCTCAATTGCTTATCCCACCCAGACGTTGAGAAAATAAAAACGAATATGCTTTATAAGGTTCGAGTTGACCAAAAGAAATTTTGTGCAAAGTGTTGTCTACATTTATATCATGATACATAGATCCATCACACCTATATATAGCAAATAGTGATGATTTTAAATTTCTGGTAACCTTTTTTTATTGTCTTGTTGCGTTATACATAATAGAAATATAATTAACTTCATCTTTCTTGAAAGAAAACAGGAAGTGGTATAATTCACAGATTAAGGAATACAACATTGACCAACAACATTATCTTCGTTGTTTACTATATATATATATATTGATATATTGATATGGAGTTTGTGTGTGCACATTAATTCATCGTTTAGCAACTTTTTTCCGATTTGATTAATCATGCATATGCAAGAGGAAGTTTCCTTGCTTCATCTTCGCTTACAATCTTTAAAAGTTGTTTATTTTTAGTTAGCAACGATCTCTCATGATTTAATTAGAGCCACAAGGCCATACTTTATTATACTGAATTAGACCAAAAAGGCCCCTATCAAATTGTTATATCCTTGTAAACCTCTGGAGTCTCTGAAAACCCAACAAAAAAAGAAAAAGAAATACCCTCGAGTCTCGAGGAACTCACGTAATTTTTTTTGTCTCAATATATAATTGAAATTTCAAAAGCTATATATATTATTCTCACGTATTTAAAATTGCTAAAGTAATATATTATCGTTTAAAATATATTTATAAGTTAATTATGAAAAGACCATGTGTTTCAAAGGTACTGTGAAAACTGAAAACAATCACTTTCTAGAATTCAAGTACTTTTTAAATAATAAATTCAAGTACTTTAGATATTTTGTAATTAAAGAAAAATCATTTGGGTTTACAGGTTGTTGTTGGGGTTTAATTTTTAAAAATATTAATGAGAAAATGGTTATTTCCATAAGATAAATGAACAAATGTTTTATTTCTAGAATATAATATAGTTATTGAAACCTGAATATTGTTGTTGGAGAGATCGAGTTTGGAGATTGAAGCCAAGTTGATAGAAGAGGCCGAGAGAGAAGCCAAGGACATGCCACTAAGATCAAGAGTCTTGAGATTCCGTCGGCGTTCTCCTTCTCCAGCAGTCGCAGCTGCAGCCGCCGCACCACCATCAATGGCCGACACACTTCTCCTCGTCATTTTGTTATGTGGAGTATTGATCGGACCCCTCTTATTGAAATTCTTCATCATCGCCGTTGTCGTCATTGTCATCTGATTCATCTGCTCGTAACCCATCATATCTTCCTATGTGTATGTGCATATAGTATATACACACAAACTAGAACCCAAAAAACAAAGAGAGAGAGAGAGAGAGCGATGAGAGAGAGAGAGAGAGAGAGGTTATGAAGAAGATGTGTTATAGAAATGATGAGTAGAAACTATATCCTATTTATATATGATTATAAAGATATTGAATATAGGGAGAGTTGAAGATTGAAATGGAGTTGAAGATCGAACTAAGAGATATGTACGGATGATAAGAGAGGGCTTGGCGTTGAAAACTTGAAATGCTCTCTCTCTCTCTATCTCTCTAGATTTTTGTTTGGTTGTATTAATTTACTTACTCTATATATTTATATTATCATCTCTATATATTTATATTATCAATTTACAAGTATATACGGAGTAAAAATGAATCTATCTTTATGGTTATATCATATTTTAAACTATTTTTAGAATACGTATATTAGGATTATATATTTATATGTAATTATAGTTTATTGAAAGATATTAAAATTTCAAAGTATATTAATTGTTTGTTAACATAGTTTATAATCTATTTCAATGAGCGAACTACTTTAATTGAAATATATATAGCCTAATATTCAATTTGATTAGTTGCTTTGAAGTTTTAATTTGATAACTTTTTGGCGCACGAACTAGACCATTGGAATCAAGAAAACATTAAAAAAAAACGTTGATGGCTATACACTTTTTAGACCAAATAATAATTACCATGTGCCAAGTAACTAATGGATTAAGTTGAAAAATACAAACTAAAATAGTCAAATGATTAAATTAAAAAGAGTCACATATTAGTATTGAACTCGTGACACATAAATCAACTCAGAGAATTTACCACACAACAAATTACATACAAACAAAAAAAACTAAAGATTTTATAGGGGTCACCGTACAGGTCACTTGACCCCACTATCTCTAAAGTGACTCCGCCACTATATATGTCTATATTTTTTTTTTTTTTTTTTTTTTTTTTTTTTTTTTTTTTTATTTTTATATATGTCTATATTTATATAACCCCCACCTATGAAATTAGATAACTAATCCTATATAACTAATAACTAATATACTATAGACACAAAACATAAAGTTAAAGATTTGTTAGGAAGATATTTGTTAGAGACTTGTCATCCATTTTGTCGACATTATAATACAAATCAAATTATTACTAAATATTATATGTACGAGAAATACATTAAAAATAAGATAAAAGATATGTCCAAGAAGGGAAGCGAAGGTACGGCCCCGTAAAGCTGTATGCCACGTCATCAATTTGGAAAAAGTCAACTTTTCTCAAAAGGGTTGACTTTGTTTTTTTGTTCATTTTCGTTTGGGTACCCGCGAATCTCGGAAGTCGCCACCTGATTTCCTTCCTTTGTTAATCATATTTTATGAGGTTTTCGTTGCACCGTCTATTCTTAAGTGTTTTTTGTTTTTTAATTGATAATTTAGTAAACAAGCAAGAAGAAACCTATAAATTTTATTGATTAACATGTTTTTTTTTTTTTGAGTTTTGACAACTTCATGTTGCATGATTAGATTTTCTAGATTAATTTACGAAACGTAAAGAGAAACCTCTTTTTTAGGATATAAAGAAGTTTTTTTTTTTCTGGTGGATATTTTGGCCGATTTTAAGATATAGTTTTTAATCTTATACTGTATAAATTGGTGAACACTTTTTAAGATATGTCCACACACAAACACGTATATCGACTATCCAAAAAACAAGTATATTACATGGACATGTCCATACGCCGTCTAAATAACACGTACGTCCACTGGCAGTTATGTTTTCCAGTTGAAGATAATCTTCTTATCTTTCATTTATGTCTTCGTGAATTACGTCAAATTTTGAAATTTGGAATTGAACCATATAAAGTCTCAGTATGACCTCATATTCTGGGACCAAAAGTTTTTTTCAGCAGAGAAATATGGTAGTTTCATAACCTTATCTAATATATGTTTGAAGTTCGAGTTACACATTTCTAACAAGTTGCTTCTTTTTTTTCTCTCTTCCATCACAAGTCTTTATAATTGATCATATCATCAATATGTAATAGACTGTTTACTAGAAACTTCAAAGCTAAAAACATACGATGAAACCTTTAGTTACACCACAAAATATATAATCAACAATAAATAATTAATCCTCGATTTTAGATTTTTTTTCTTTACTTATAATTAAAAATTGGTTTTTGCATAATAAATTTAAGCGCCCACAGAATCTGACGCTCGGAAAATTATTTATGAGCTCACATGGGAAAGGTCCAAGCAGAGCTACCATCAAGTTTTTTTGTTTTCCATAAAAATTAGCTATCCGAAAACAAATTATTTTCTTTTAATTTAACTTATGCTATTTGTTCTTATTCAATTATGATGATCTACTTTGGACCGCAATGTGTTTCCTCCTCGAGAAGATTCCGATTAAAATAATTCGTGACATAATATTCTTCAACAGCTAAGGAAGTTGACCGTAACTTTTTAATATTTACGAACATTTAAAATATTAGAAATTTAACATTTGATAGGAGAGAGAGCTTATATATTATAAATCGCATAATCTAGGCTTATAGCTAAGCTGTTTATCTGTTCTCTTAATCAATAATATTTAATTACCCGTTGTTTATCTGCTACTTGCAACTTTGCAAGTATATTTTGCTTGTAAGACATACCTAGCACAATATCTTTTTAGCTATTGCTTTGTCCTCAAATTAATTAGTTTATAGATAACTTATTTTGATGTCATCTCTAACCTATGATTAATAACCACTTGACAACAATATTAAAGAAACTATTTCGAAATTAAAACGGTATAAATCATGCAGAGCGGATATTTAGTTTTGAGTTTTTATTTTCAACCTTTGTTTTTCTTGAGTTAATATAGTTTTATCTATTCACATCTATCAAACACTTCTGTCCTATCAGTTTGGGCTGGGTATAAAACGATTTTTGTCACTAAAATCTATATAACTCAGTTTGAATTTTGTTTTACCTTTCAAATGTGGAATTTTATTTGTTAAAAAAATTGGAATACAAATATACAAGATATTTAGTTTTGAGTTTTTATTTTCAACCTTTGTTTTTCTTGAGTTAATATAGTTTTATCTATTCACATCTATCAAACACTTCTGTCCTATCAGTTTGGGCTGGGTATAAAACGATTTTTGTCACTAAAATCTATATAACTCAGTTTGAATTTTGTTTTACCTTTCAAATGTGGAATTTTATTTGTTAAAAAAATTGGAATACAAATATACAATAGTGTATATTGAGATAGCTCTACACACTAGTCGGTCATAGATGAAAGCATAGACCATAAACGGTTTAGACAAAGATTAAGATGAATAGGCAATGTTTATATATAGCTAGAAAAAATCCAATGCTTTTACTATACTATCGGTTTCAATTTATTTATAGTTTAATTTTTTTTTGCACACAAATTAAAAAATTACAAAAAAAAAATTTAATGTATCTTTTTACAATTTTTTTTAATTAATTACAACTAATTTAACCAATAAAAACATACTGTAAAATAGAATTGATCAAAAAAATATGAAATACAATTAATTTTTGCAGAGAAAATTAAAAAAAAAACACTGATTTTGCAACAAATTTCTTTTCTTTAAACTACAAATAAATTGAAACAGAAAAAACCAATATTTATTATTTAGGTTATATATTAATGTATTTACAAGAATGTTGAATGTTTTCCTAGCCTAGTGGCATTTAAGTTTGATATATTAATTCAAGAACATTGTTCGATACGCAGTTGTCACACACAATTTTTTAATTTTTAGAAAAACTTAAAATAAAATGTTAAAATTGTAATTTACTTACATGTCATCTTCTTCCTCCAAAACCTAATCCCCGTTAGTTTCTTTGAAATGTTTTTTTTTTCGTCTTCTGGGTTTCCTCATTTTTTTTCTCATAATTAGTTTTTCACTTTTCTTAATCATGAATTACACAAATCTATTATAAATCTACGGATTTTTTACCAAAAAAGTAGAATATTAAGTGACTTCTCAATTTGACTGATTTCTTCATAGCTTATGGCAAAATCATTGCAGTTTACCATCTTCTCTTATGCAGTGTTTAAATGGCCACTAAGACATAATGTTAAAGTATTGGTAGAATACATTATAGATGATACATTTAATGATGAAAGTTAAACACAAACTAAATTATCCATTTTTCCAGTATTGCATATGTTGAATGTTTTACTAGCCTAGTTGCATTTAAGTTTGATATATTGATTCAAGAACACAGTTCGATACGCAGTTGTCACACACAATTGTTTAATTTTTTAGAAAAAACTTAAAATAAAAGGTCAAAATTGTAATTTACTTACATGTCATCTTCTTCCTCCAAAACCCTAATCGCCGCCAGTTTGTTTGAAATGTTTTTTTTCTTCTTCTGGGTTTCCTCATTTTTTCTCATAATTAGCTTTTCATTTTTCTTAATCATGAAATACACAAATCCATTATCTACGGATTTTTTACCAACAAAGTAAAATATTAAGTGACTTCTCAATTTGACTGATTTCTTCATCGCTTATGGCAAAATCACTGCGGTTTACCATCTTCTCTTATGCAGTGTTTAAATGGCCACTAAGACATACTGTTAAAGTATTGGTAGAATACATTATAGATGATACATTTAATGATGAAAGTTAAACACAAACTAAATTATCCATTTTTCCAGGATTGCATATGGCTTTGGTGACTTAAACAGTTTTAAATCATCAGTGAAGATGATGAAGTACAAAAAAAGCTGTTGAAAACAAAGAAACAAAACACTACTATATAAAATTGATGAAAGAAAAAACATTCTTAAAGCCAAATCCTAAATAGATGCTTCTTCACCAAATACATGATGTTGGGAGTTTCATAATCACTTAATTCGTCTCTATTGCCTTCACTTTCTTCTGCAACTTTGTCCTCCAGTTTGATCTTTGTTGATCTTATGAGATTTACCATGGACCTCTTGATGATTTACTTTAAGTCTTTTTTTTCTCCCATCCTTGGTCTCATTCTTCGAATGAACTAACTTTGTATGTGCAGCCAATATTTGTGAAGTATCAAACAAACTGTTGCACTTTAAACATATAAATGGATTGTCTTTCTCATAGGGTAGGCTATATATCCAACCATCATCTTCTTCATAATCAATATCATGAATTTCTTCAAGGACCTCAGTTGGTTTGCGGATATATTTCACCGACCCACCATCTTTATGAACATATTGTTCATGAAGGTGTGTTGGAGACGATGAAAATCTATCTAAAGGCTGACAAAAGAAATCGATGGGTTTGGGTGTGAATGTTTCGTAGTGATTATCAAAACCATTTGGAGGGTGAACTGTAGAGTTCAAAATTGGTGGATAAGAAGGCATGACACGCTTGACATGATCATTATCATTTTGGACAATGACCATATTATTGGTAGGAATAATAGCATGATACCTATTTGTGATAGTGTGAGTGATAGAAACTTGAGAAAAGTTAACAAAACCACTGGGTTGAGCAGCGCAAGGCATACTGAAAGGAGAAACCATGTTGCTTCTTGTTTGAAAAGCCACACGGGTATTGTTGACTCTTAAGGAAGATGAAGAAATTTGTGAAACATGAGAACTAGTCAGAGCAGGAGATGAATATAATAAATTAGCATGGTTTTTGTTGTTAGGAGTAAGGAACATTGATGGTACCATTTTGGAGTGGTGATTCCTCGAACTTGGGTTCATTTGGATGGGAACAAAATCACTATGATTTATAGTACAATCACCATAAGGATTGAACTCATTTGGGATTGAAGACATCTTAAAATGGAGTGTGTGTGTTTTAAAACACTTGCATATCTATCTATTTATATTAGTAAACCTAAGTAAAAGGCTAAATTGGAAATTTCAAAAGAAAAAAATTAATTTATACACATAAGGAAAGGAGGATTTCATTTTGACTGTTATTTAATACTAATATAGATTACTATGTGAAAAAATCTTCAAATATTTATTTCTATATTTTAACTGGAAAACCTCTATTTGGTAATGTTTTTGGCTGTAATTTCAAGATTTTAATTTATTGTTTTTACTTATTTTGAGAGTGTAAGTTGGGAATCATTTGTTATGTCGTTACCCTATTGATTTCCATTTACCTCTCACAAAAAAACAATATTGAAATTAAATTTTAAAAATCTACTTCAACAGCCTTTTATGTTTTAGTCAAAAGTCATATATAGTAACAGAAGTCCACTTAATAAATTTCAGTTAGTATTAAGTTTTGGATTTATACGCTATATATTTTTTGACTTCTTTCTTCCCATGTATACTTCGAATATATTCAAGGAGAAGTAAAAAAGAAAAAAAAAGGTATAATATAATTTATTTTTATTTTTTTGGTAGGCAGGTACTCCATAATATAATTTATGTTCAACGAAACGAGTAGTTTACATTTGATTAGTTTAATAATTGTCAGATATTAGAAAAAGGTTAGTTTATCTCTATCAGCAAAAATTAATCCATTGGAAAAAAATCCGTTCAGAAAATGAAATAACGAGATAGTCTTGACATTCACGTTTTATAAACACTTCGTAGATGTTGCATATTTTGGTGTAAACAAATATGATTCAAAATGAAAATCTGGAGGCAATGTCATATACTTTATGAGTTTTTAAAAAATGAAAAACACAATAGTTAAATAAAAGATAAAACGATTGTGTTCTACTTTTTGTTTGCAATTTAGCACTATTAAAATAAGTTAACTTTTGAAATTTACGCCTTAATTAAGTTTTTTTTTTTTTTTCAGTATTCCCTTGAAAACAAACGATGGCCGTTGGATTAAAGACGTATAGGTGAAGCACAACACGAGCCAGACGATGACATCGACGACACAGAAATGCTCGGCATATTTACCAAAACACCCTTTGAATTCGACACCCATAACTTTTTTTTTTTTTTAAAATTAATCTCCCTCGCCTTTATGCATTCGAAACTCAAAAACTCAAAAGCATGGCGGCAACAAGCGATGAGCAGATGAATTTGCTTCTCTCTAGTTTCGATCAGATCTACGAGGTGATTCTCTCTTCCTATCTCTCCTTCTTCTTCTTCGCTTGCTACTTCCACTATTCTGGTTTCGTTTCTCGATAGGAGAAACCTAAATCTAGCCTCGATTGAATTCGATTACGATTACCTCGTCATCTGGAATCAAATCGATTCGATCTCCTTCTCTAATCGAACAGCTTGAAATAGAAATCTGGAAATTTCGATCTGCTCATGTTGTATTTCTTTCACCGGTAGTGTCAGAAATCATCTGGTATTCAGAAGTTTCTGGGTTACTAGTACTGCAAAATCCATACTGATTTCGAATTGATTTCTCACAAGTTTTTGAAGGATTAGATTGTTAAGAGTAATCGGAACATTCATAGTTCGTTTATGTTTCTCTCAGGATTTTAAAATCGGGTTAAATGAGATCAATGTTTACAGATCTAAGAGCAATGTTGACTCAAGCAGGAGAGAGGTTCTTGAGACTAGTAATAAAAACCTTAAACAAGGTTTGGTTGATTTTTGTTTGATTAGTGTTTAGTTTAGCTTTGTATTCTTTAAGTTTTGCTACTCTGAAGTGGTTTCTTGAGGTATCTGGAACCTGCAGAGAATGAGAGGCTGAAGAAGCTTTATACGGAATCGTTGAACAATTTTGCTGATCAGGTTGTTTCCGTTAGAGTCCGTTCTTTTATTAGTGTTTCTTATTTGCGAGAAAACCAGTAGTAACATAACAACATTCTCTGTTTCTTGTGTTTAATACAGCTTGAGCATCGAACTAAGTGCCACAGCTTGAAAGAAGAACTGAAGAGAGTGATTGATGAAAACAAAAGCAAAGAACTTGTGAGATTTGAGATCTCCCTTCATGTCAATTCTTTGTCAGCATTTTCCTTGTGGTTTGAATCTGAAGATGATGCTTGGATCATTCATAGGCATATAGGCATGAGTGTTAAGATTTACTTCTTAAAACCTATCTGTTTTGATCTGTGGCAGGAACTTGGGAATGCTTTGGAATTGCTTAGGCAGAAGCATGTAACAAAGGTTGAAGAGCTGGAGAATAAAATCAGGTAAAAAGCCCATTCACTACTTTTATACTAACTGATATGTATCTGATCTTTTTGGTTAACAACCACCACTTTACCTTACAGAAGCCTTTTGGTTGAAAAAGCAACAAACGATATGGTAATTGATAGGCTTCGACAAGACTTGACAGCTAACAAATCGCATATTCAAGCAATGTCGAAGAAACTGGATCGAGTAGTTACTGAAGTGGAATGCAAGTGTAAGACTCAACCACCTGACCTTCAATTGTACTTCAGTTTGTGTTTTCATTACGGCATTCACATGGCTTCCTAATGTAATCATCTGATAGATGAGCTCGAGATTCAGGATCTAAAAGACTGCCTTCTGATGGAACAAGAGGAGAAAAACGATATCAGTAACAAACTTCAGAGTCTGCAGAAGGATTGTAAGAGTTTATTAAGACAAATCTATTTTGGTTTCAGGTTTCATTAGCAAGACTAAGAGTTCACATAACTTCTTACGACTATATTGCAAAACTAATTGCATGTCCTTTTTTTAATAATTTGCAGTGCTTATTAGTAGAACGTCAATAGCTGAAAAGCAGAGGGATACAACTTCAAATCGACAGGTCGAGACATTGAAACAGAAGCTAATGAAACTGAGAAAAGAGAATGAGATCCTTAAACGGAAACTATCTTCTTCATAAAACAACCAGGAACCAGACTTTGCTTGCACAAATCACTTGCTGCTCTGTCCCACAACGAGTAAGCTCCATGAACCCAAAGCATTTTCTTCAGAATATTATCGTAGATGATACAGTTGAAAACATACACCAAAACCCATAGTTCTCATCTTAGAACACATATAAAATTGAAAAGGAACCCTGCATGCATATATTGCTGGTCCAAAGGGCGAAGTTCTTGTCGGTTTACAAAGAAATTGGAGTTTTAGAAACGGATTGCTGAGCCATTATTCATTAACCATTGTTATCCAAAACGTCATAGGTTTAAGAAGAGGGTAAGCACACTAAAACAAAAGAAATTAAAACGCCACAGAGCCGAAAAAAGAAGTTAGTATCAAAAACAATATAAAGTCCATGCAACACGCGAATCAATTTTAAGGGAAAAATAAAACATAGATACCGGAACAAAGCACACTTTCCGATTTGATTTGTAAGAAAAAGCAAAACGTAGGATTCCGCTCAGTCTTTAGCTCTCTCCGTTAATAGTTGTAAATAATGTGTAGAAGAATCAACGTCCGTTGTTGAAGACTCTGCAGTTTCTCCTGATCTCTCCAGAACGTCCAGTGAGAACCCGAATGGTGCCCATTTTCACCATTGCTTGGGCAAATCTCTGTCTGAAGAGTGTATTGCTCGATGCAAAACTTGACACAATTCCACGGGTTGATCCATGGAGACCCAAGTTTTGATCAATTCTTAGAATTCCTCTTTGCCTTCGGATCTCTCCATAAATAGCGTTATCCACAGTAAATGGAGTCCTTTGGTCCAAAAAGACTGATGGGTCATTTGGGGCACGACATGTGTTCCTCAACCTAGCATTCAATGACCGGTCCATTGCTGGGTCGGCAAGCCTGTCCTGGAAGAGGCTGCAATGTGCAACACCAACGCTGTGTCCACCACCAATAAGTGTAACCATATCGTTGGTATTCATACCTTGAGCTGCAAACAATTGGATAGATGCGCTAACCGGAATTGTTGGTCCGGGTAAGTTCACATCACCAGGGTTTGACCTTAATCCATCACGTCTTCCTGTTGGTACTGAGAACCTTGGACCGCCGGCTAATGCGACCGAGTCTCTTGTGGCTAGAGTTACAATGTCTGCGCATGAGACGGTTCGGGGACATGCAGCCTCGAGCTGTCTCTTAGCCTCATCAATGATCTCGTAGCCTCTCACACTTGCATTTGGTCCAGTGCTTTTCTCTGATTGCCTTCCCGGTCTTGGGTCGATCAAAAGGGAAGCATCACAACCCTACACAACCATTCAAAACATTGCTTGATCAGTATTTTGTCTAGATATTAGCTAGTATACGATATATATACACACACAAGGAAAAGCTTAATTACGAACCCTGACAAAGCAATCATGAAATTGCATACGAAGCAATGCAGCAGTAATGGTACGGTCACGGCGGAAACGGCTGGCAACAACATTAGCAACGATAGTTTCAGCTCGAGGGCATGAACGGCCGTAGAACCCTTGTCGGAGCTGCGCCAAAGCAGAGGGAGCAACGAAACAGAAAAGGAAAAACAAAGCTGTGATTGCCCTCATTTCGTATGATCAGCGCTTTTACTGCCCTCTCCTACGAAAACTTAGAAATACTTTTGGATTCTGTTATTTCCAAGTTTTGGTGATGAAATTGTTTGTCCCCGTTAAATGCATATTTATATGTAAATGTGGGGGCATGACATTGGAAAAGAGAATGTTTCATTTAGAAGACGTGCATAGGGTAAATGTGGATACATTGGCAATTGATGGTTTAAAGGATTATACATTGTAGTAGTTGTGCTTTATTAATGTCTTTTAAAAAATGTTAAAGTTCGTCCTCCACACGTCAAAATTTTGATTATGGCCAACTTGAAATATATTTGAACAAATTGCGTTCAATATATTCTGTCAATTTCGAAAGAGTATAATTTCAATTTCGAGATGCTGACTATCATTAAGATATGCTATTGTTTTGTGATATACCTTTTTGGATCCGTTTCAGGTTAAATAAAAGGTGTGAAAGAGAATAAAAAGAAATTTTGCAAGAATTGGTTATTGCAGTACACGAAACCAAAATAAGATAGAAAAAGAGTAATGGAAAAGGCAATGAAGATTTGTAGAAGAAAATAGAAAATAATGTTTAATGTTTGATGATTACACTTCATTAAACGGGATTTTTTTTTCCCTTGGTATTCTTACTCAGCGGTGAAAAACCTAGTGAATCATCCTTCTCCAGTTTGTCTTCCATTGATACATAATGTGAAACAATAGCTTATATCACTCCTTATTGTAGTACACTAGGTACCGATTCTACGTGTATATATAATTTACAAGACAAATATAAGTATCTTCTTAAGCTACAGATATCACAGGTGAAGATTTGTGAATCTCGAACTAAACAAAAGCAAAATGTAGTAACCAACCAAACATGTAATGCCATTGCCCAATTTTCTTCTGATCTCAACAAAGCTACTTATGGTCAATTGGCAAAAAGATGCTAGAGAGATTAATATATGGTTAATCATATCTATGGTATTCGAGATTGTTTACATCCGGCTACCCGCGGTAATGATTATTTATAATTAATATATGGTTTTTACTATCTGAAATTTTATTGATTGATGAAGGAAACTGAATCCTCTTGGAATTGAATTATTTCTCATGATAATCCAAGTTTATTGGTGCATGTTAGCTGTGTATACCTTCGAAAACTGGTACTTATTGATGTAGAACCATTTTCTTATCTTAGGTGTCTTAATCTCTTAGGATTATCATGTTTCAGCATAACCTATAGGCGTCTTAATGATTGCATATGGGTATATTGTGGTTTCTTTCATATTTTCACATATGTTATATATTCAAAATGAACCATTTGAATGCAAACTAGCAAATGAAGATGAAAGATCATTCACAAGTATCATAATTATCACATATTATTGAAAGGCTTCTCAGTGTTTGGTAATGCCTAAATTCGGATACCAAACCAAAAAAAATGAAGTAGCTAGTAGCTTACATTTTTGTGCTAGATTTGGACAGGTGATAAGGAAGATATATACACCAATTTAATTTGATGAAACATATCATTTTGCAATATTGATTCGGTTGACAATCTTCCTAAAACCAAACCAATTCAAATTTTACTTAAAGCATCTGAATCAAAAAAAATTATGAAAACCAAGTTTTAAACTATAGAAAATGTACACTATAGAATAAAATGAGTGATCACATTAGATACCAAAGTGCAACTTACAAGTGAATTTTAAGGAAAATACAAAACACGTTACCGAAACACACAAACTTTCGGTTGATTATTTAACGGAGAAAAAACAAACGAAAGATTAAAATGAATAATGCTTTTCAAAAAGTGTAGAAGAATCAACGTCCGTTGTTGAAGACTCTGCAGTTTCTCCTGATCTCTCCAGACCGTCCAGTGAGAACCCTAATGGTGCCCATTTTCACCATTGCTTGGGCAAATCTCTGTCTGAAGAGTGTATTGCTTGATGCAAAACTCGACACAATCCCACGGGTTGATCCAGAGAGACCCAAGTTTTGATCAATTCTTAGAATTCCTCTTTGCCTTCGGATCTCTCCATAAATAGCGTTATCCACAGTAAATGGAGTCCTTTGGTCCAAAAAGACTGATGGGTCATTTGGGGCACGACATGTGTTCCTCAACCTAGCATTCAATGACCGGTCCATTGCTGGGTCGGCAAGCCTGTCCTGGAAGAGGCTGCAATGTGCAACACCAACGCTGTGTCCACCACCAATAAGTGTAACCATATCGTTGGTATTCATACCTTGAGCTGCAAACAATTGGATAGATGCGCTAACCGGAATTGTTGGTCCGGGTAAGTTCACATCACCAGGGTTTGACCTTAATCCATCACGTCTTCCTGTTGGTACTGAGTATCTTGGACCGCCGGCTAATGCGACCGAGTCTCTTGTGGCTAGAGTTACAATGTCTGCGCATGAGACAGTTCGGGGACATGCAGCCTCTAGTTGTCTCTTAGCCTCATCAATGACCTCGTAGCCTCTCACGCTTGCGTTTGGTCCAGTGCTTTTCTCTGATGGCCTTCCAGGTCTTGGGTCGATCAAGAGGGAAGCATCACAACCCTACACAACCATTAAAAACATTGTTTGATCAGTGTTATGTCTAGATGATAACTAGTTTACCATATACATATACACACACAAGAGAAGCTTAATTACGAACCCTGACAAAGCAATCATGAAACTGCATACGAAGAAATGCAGCAGTGATGGAACGGTCACGGCGGAAACGGTTGGCAACAACATTAGCCACGATAGATTCAGCTCGAGGGCATGAACGGCCGTAGAACCCTTGTCGGAGCTGCGCCAAAGCAGAGGGAACAACGAAACAGAAGACGTAAAACAAAGCTGTGATTGCCCTCATTTCGTATGATCAGCGCTTTTACTGCCCTCTCCTACGAAAACTTAGAAATACTTTTGGATTCTGTTATTTCCAAGTTTTGGTGATGAAATTGTTTGTCCCCGTTAAATGCATATTTATATGTAAATGTGGGGGCATGACATTGGAAAAGAGAATGTTTCATTTAGAAGACGTGCATAGGGTAAATGTGGATACATTGGCAATTGATGGTTTAAAGGATTATACATTGTAGTAGTTGTGCTTTATTAATGTCTTTTAAAAAATGTTAAAGTTCGTCCTCCACACGTCAATATTTTGTTTATGGCCACTTGAAATATATTTGAACAAATTGCGTTCAATAAATTCTGTCAATTTCGAAAGAGTATAATTTCAATTTCGAGATGCTGACTATCATTAAGATATGCTATTGTTTTGTGATATACCTTTTTGGATCCGTTTCAGGTTAAATAAAAGGTGTGAAAGAGAATAAAAAGAAATTTTGCAAGAATTGGTTATTGCAGTACACGAAACCAAAATAAGATAGAAAAAGAGTAATGGAAAAGGCAATGAAGATTTGTAGAAGAAAATAGAAAATAATGTTTAATGTTTGATGATTACACTTCATTAAACGGGATTTTTTTTTCCCTTGGTATTCTTACTCAGCGGTGAAAAACCTAGTGAATCATCCTTCTCCAGTTTTTGTCTTCCATTGAATCATAATGTGAAACAATAGTTTATATCACTCCTTATTGTAGTACACTAGGTACCGATTCTACGTGTATATATAATTTACAAGAGAGATCTAAGTATCTTCTTAAGCTAAAGATATTACAGGTGAAGATTTGTGAATCTCGAACTAAACAAAAGCAAAATGTAGTAAGCAACCAAACATGTAATGCCCTTGCCAAATTTTCTTCATTTTCTTATCGTAGGTGTCTTAATCTCTTAGGATTATCATGTTTCAGCATCACCTATAGGCGTCTTAATGATTGCATGGGTATATTGTGGTTTCTTTCATATTTTCACATATATGTTATATATATTCAAAATGAACAATCTGAATGCAAACTAGCAAATGAAGATGAAAGATCATGCATAAGTATCATAATTATCACATATTATTGAAAGGCTTCTCAGTGTTTGGTAATGCCTAAATTCGGATACCAAACCAAAAAAAAATGAAGTAGCTAATAGCTTACATTTTTGTGCTAGATCTGGACTGGTGATAAGGAAGATATATACACCAATTTAATTTGATGAAACATATCATTCTGCAATTTTGATTCGGTTGACAATCTTCCTAAAACCAAACTTAAAGCATCTGAATAAAAAAAAATTATGAAAACCAATTTTTAAACCTTAGAAAATGTACACTATAGAATAAAATGATCACATAAAATACCAAAGTGCAACTTACAAGTGGATTATAAGCAAAATACAAAACACGTTACCGAAACACACAAACTTTCGGTTGATTATTTAACGAAGAAAAAACAAACGAAAGATTAAAATGAATAATGCTTTTCAAAAAGTGTAGAAAAATCAACGTCCGTTGTTGAAGACTCTGCAGTTTCTCCTGATCTCTCCAGACCGTCCAGTGAGAACCCTAATGGTGCCCATTTTCACCATTGCTTGGGCAAATCTCTGTCTGAAGAGTGTATTGCTTGATGCAAAACTCGACACAATCCCACGGGTTGATCCAGAGAGACCCAAGTTTTGATCAATTCTTAGAATTCCTCTTTGCCTTCGGATCTCTCCATAGATTGCGTTATCAACGGTAAATGGAGTCCTTTGGTCCAAAAAGACTGATGGGTCATTTGGGGCACGACATGTGTTCCTCAACCTAGCATTCAATGACCGGTCCATTGCTGGGTCGGCAAGCCTGTCCTGGAAGAGGCTGCAATGTGCAACACCAACGCTGTGTCCACCACCAATAAGTGTAACCATATCGTTGGTATTCATACCTTGAGCTGCAAACAATTGGATAGATGCGCTAACCGGAATTGTTGGTCCGGGTAAGTTCACATCACCAGGGTTTGACCTTAATCCATCACGTCTTCCTGTTGGTACTGAGTATCTTGGACCGCCGGCTAATGCGACCGAGTCTCTTGTGGCTAGAGTTACAATGTCTGCGCATGAGACGGTTCGGGGACATGCAGCCTCGAGCTGTCTCTTAGCCTCATCAATGATCTCGTAGCCTCTCACACTTGCATTTGGTCCGGTGTTTTTCTCTGATTGCCTTCCCGGTCTTGGGTCGATCAAAAGGGAAGCATCACAACCCTACACAACCATTCAAAACATTGCTTGATCAGTATTGTGCCTAGATATTAGCTAGTATACGATATATATACACACACAAGGAGAAGCTTAATTACGAACCCTGACAAAGCAATCATGAAATTGCATACGAAGCAATGCAGCAGTAATGGTACGGTCACGGCGGAAACGGTTGGCAACAACATTAGCAACGATGGATTCAGCTCGAGGGCATGAACGGCCGTAGAACCCTTGTCGGAGCTGCGCCAAAGCAGAGGGAGCAACGAAACAGAAAAGGAAAAACAAAGCTGTGATTGCCCTCATTTCGTATGATGACCTTTTCCTTCCCTCTCCTGTGAATGGTACTTGTAAGTTTTGGTGATGAAATTCTAAGCGCCCGTAATTGCATATTTATATGTAATTTTGGGGATAAGACATTGGCAAAGTAGAGAATATTTCAATTAGAAGACGTGCATAAATGTAACGGTCGATGCATTGACATTTGACGGGTCGTTAGAGGAATATTTTAGGTATTACCTGTTCTTTAAATTGTAATAATGTTTCATTGACAATGGAAAGATTCCACGCGACAATGATTTGTTTACGGCCAACTTGGAATACATAATAATACTGTTGATATCGAAAGGGTACCACTTCTATTTCGATGGGTGGAATTTTTTCTCCAAACATACCAACTTTTTTTTTTTTTCAAAAAAACCAACTTTAAATTAATACTAAGAAATTTAAATTAACATACCAATGAGATACCAACTTTTTCTTTTCAAACATACCAACTTTAAATGAATACTAAGAACAGATACATTGTTTCTCATAGTCATAGTTCACCAATGAGATGGATTTTGTTTAAGTGCTGACTCATTTAAATATGCAATTTTGTGATTCAGATACCTTCTTTAGTCGTCCTGTTTTATTATCTTTGCTCTCTAAAAGAAACAAGAAGCTGTAAAAAATGAAAAAATAGCAAGGATTGTTTCTTTTATAACAAGAAACCATAAACAAGATAGTAAAAGAAAAAGCTATGAAGATTTAAGGAAATAAAAACATGGCTTACGGTTAACCTATTAAATTTTATTCTTAATTCACCTGTACCAATTAGGCAATTACAATCAATGAAATATAAATTGATAAATATAATTAGTAGAGACAGGTTATAAAAATCATGAAATATTCAACTTTAAAACACCGAGAGAATTTCAAAACGCTTGTATATCATAGAAAATTATAAATATAGAATATGACAAAATCATCTTCTCCATTTTGGTTGTTCCAATATTAACAGGTGATTGGTCGTTCAAACTAAATTAAAAAAAATTCTGAAAACCATTCTGATTTCTGACAAACATCTCTCAAACAAATCCATACAAAAAAAGGAAAAAAACTTAAAAAATAATAAACTGTTCTTATTTGACCAGAAACGTAGTGTAACATATATCGAAATATGAAAAGAAAGAAAAACAAAAAAAAAGGCACCTAGATTTACATTACACATTCAACTACATTGGCTCTCTATTACTTGGTTCTTTTTCCCTCTCTATTATAATAAAATGAGCCTTTCTCTAAACAGAAATTAATCTGCAGATAAACTGAACCTCGTAAACCACAGCAAACAATTCAAAGATTATAACTGTTATAGCCACCAACATCAGAAGCTGGTCTATATTCCGAACCATAAGTTTGCCCATTCAGGGACGGTGTGTAGGTCGAAGGACCCCCCAGCTGAGAGTATGCTGCTGGTCTGTACTGCACCGTCTCTGTGCCCATGTAGCTGTTTGAGAGCGGCTCTTGACGGTTACTTAGCTGAGGAGGATATGCAGGCACATAGCCAGTGTCGATTCTGGCATATCCCCCTGAAACCGAAACTGGTTCCTTGTGACTGCTGATGAACTCCTACACGCACGTAAATGAAAAAATACGGTTTTATGATGAAGCAGGAGGTAGAATGTAAAGGAAGCGTAATCTAGTATTTATACAATGCCATTTCACATAACGTCTGCATATATATAGATGGATTGTGTTCTTACTTGAATTAGTTGCTCAGCAGTTTGTACTTGAGAAGATGTGCCTTTGATTTCCACTGTGATTTGATCAGGATGAGGACTCTCTTTAATAGTTATGGTAGCTCCGCTTCTTCGACGGATGTAGGCTATATTAGCTCCTTCTACACCAATAATATCCTCTGCATACGAGAATGGTATTTGCATCGTTTGAGATACCTAGTAAGAGAACCCATCAGAGAAACGTCATTACTAGTTCAGATGTGATAAGATCAAAACCACCGGTAGAAGACTAATCATAACAAGTAAGAACGGTGATACCGCTAAACATTTTCAGGAGATGATGTTATATTTAAGGGAATCTACCTGTGTCACAAAAGCAGAAGAAACCCGAGCAAGACCTGGAGAGTGTCTGGCTGACAGTACAGGATCCTGACTGTAGATAGAAACTCCCGAAGGCTGAACACGTGATTCCACCCGAGCATCGCGCTCCAGAAACAAAGGTTCCCTCCGTGCTAAGAGGGAGAAATCAGGCTCGATTACATTTGTAGAAATAGTATGCAGAGATGACTTGTTTTCAGCTAATGGTTCTTCCTGACGAGTTTGAGAGACTCTAGCTAGATACTGAAGAACAACAAAATAACAATAATTCAGAAAGGAAAAAAAAGAGAGAGAAGGGAATAATCGATTGAAACAACCAAGCTTACTTGCTTCTCGAAGAGAGGGACCACAGTATGGTCGACTAGAAATTTCCTTAAGTGTCCAACAATGGCTTCTAATGCTTTGAGGATCTTTAGAGCTTCCCCCTGCAAATCCACTATCCTCTCATCCTGTGCAGCATAAAACGGTGTTTCCTCTGGCAGCAAAAAAGTAGAGAAGTAAGAAACTGGGAAGAGAGGCACCATTTTTAAAAGATGACAGACATGAATTGAAAAAGAGATTTTAACTTTAACAATCACAAACAAAGAGATCCACTAGCTAAAAACTGAAAACTGAAAAGGATAATACCTTCTGATAAAATACGAACGGATGCACCAGAGTTCTCTACTATTGACTTAATCAAAGATCCTTGTTTTCCAATCAAATTTATGGCCTGCGTGGATGCAACTAATAAACGCACTGAACAGAAGGCACTTCCAGCGTTTTGAACGTCATCATCATCATTATCTGCCAATCCTGAAACTCGTCTAAAGACCCTTAAAACTGCGTCCATTGCCGGTGACATGTAGGCCTCTGGTTCTTCTTTACCAGATATCAACACCTAAAACATAACATTTAGTTGAAGATCAAGTAACTAACTTAAAAACTATAATCGAAACCATAAAGTAATCAAATTGCAAGTTTGTGTTCCTCCAAAAGCTGGAATTTTATAACTTCCCCGGGAAAATTCATCACAAGAACTGAATGTTAAGACAAAATTCAACAACAATCAATGATCACACCCCAAGAATCTTACTACTTATGATTTAGAAACCCTAGAAATAGAAACAGAAAATCCCCAAATTCGAATAGCTTTTGCACATAGTAAATCACGTAGAAAGAAAGAGAGAGATACTAACGATGCGATCGTGAGTGTTGACAGGACCATCAAGGACTTTGATACGAGCACGAGTCTCCTCACACATCTTCTTTATAAAGTCTCCTTTGCGTCCAATTATAGCTCCGACTTTAGTCATCGGAACGATCATACGAAACACGCAATCCCCAGGCCAACCTGGCCACCTCTCCGCCGCGAAATCGTTCGTATCGGGGGCGGTAGTTTCAGCAGCAGCTAAGCTATCGGGCTGATTCAATTCAGGGAAGGCGCCAGAGTTTTCTTCAAGCAATGCCGTGGTACTGATTCCCGCCGGCATAAGTTTTTCATTCTCAGGGAGGTTTATAGTATCATTGTTCTCAACGGAATCTGCGACGGCGGCCATTAGAACCGGCAACACAAAAGATATCGAGAGAGAGAGAGAAAGAGAGATTTAACCTCTGGTGGTTATAGGAATCGGCGCTGTAATACGTACGATGTCGTTTCGCCTCAACGGTTTGGGGCCTTTGGGCTTGACCATTTTAGCCCATTAGCTATAATCTTTTTTTTTTTTTCTGTCGAAACATAGTCCATGGAGCTATATATGTGTATACCAAAGAATGAATAATCGAACTCTACTTAAATATATGCTTGAAGCTTAGGATCTTAAGAAAAATTGTTTCATCATATATTTTAGTGTTATGTTATAAGTATCTATATATAGTGTTTTCTTAAATATATGTTTGAAGCTTACTATATAGTTATTAGTAACATACTAGTGATGTTTTCTTTTATACTTTTCCCCCTAAACTCAATCATGTGGATTCAACTTTTCTAAATCATTCACTGTTTTACATCAACTATTTTCATATTAAATATATTTACAGTTAATATCCACAGTCATAGCCGCAATCAATCAACAATAATAATGTAAATAACATTATACCGTAAATTTGGAATATTTTAGTTAATATCCGTTGTCATTATATGCAATATGCAATGATTATGGGGATGAAAGGGACGTAACGTAGAAATTATCTGCTGGCCCGGAAGATACTTATCTCTCTGCGAGTCCCTTTTGTATTTTAGTTTTCTAGACTTTCTTTATTTTAAAGAACATTTTGTTTCTATCTAAATTTTTTATCTTTGATCAAACATTTTTTTTGGATCAGCAACTAAAATGAGATTTTAAACCAAAAAAGCAAAGTGAAAGACGAAGATGTTGAATGAGTCCGTCCCCATGCTGAATTAAAATTGGGAATTTAGGGCAAAACATATATACGTGTATACGCTAATGGTCCCCTCAATACACATAGATATGTAAGAGAAGAGAGTTCACTTGTAGTTTGTAACTATTTGGGTCAATCTTGTACAGTGCCCTAATTGATTCTCAAGGGTCACATATGCTTAACATCGATCATACTTATAGATTTATCACATTGAAAGTGTCTAGTTGCATGAATTCTTTCTTAGTTACTTTCTAACAATTTCTTACATATATTTATTAGCACTAATCATCTCTAACTAATTACATCATTACTAACGTCCACAATCTGTCTATTCAACACCTATGAAAGGTAACATCTACCGTGATGTCAAAAAGAAAAGGTAACATCGATCTACCGTCAATGAGCATTAAAAACCTCTTTAAATATTTTGTTTATCCAAAGGTAAATAACAGTAACATTAATTAGACATATACGTCATGGAACACAAACAATCTTCTATTCCCTTCTTCCATTTCCATCGACCAATTAGATTGATGCTCCTAGAAAAAGTTTAATGACAATGTGCTTTACCACTCCAAAAATACATTTGTTAAATTTCTGCTTTTTTTTTTTTTATTTTTTTATTTTTTTTTTTTTTTATTTCTGCTTTTCTTTTATAGTACAGAACTCAGATATGAATTTGAAAAATAGATTGAACATTATGCTTAAAAGGAAAAGAAAGGAGAAGAAGACAAGTCACATGTTATCAGAAAAGGAAGAGTAATAATAAGAAGATTCCAAAAAAAATAAAAATTAACTGGGATGGACTTTTGATACGGTAGGCACTCTAGGCAGTGTTGGCAGAGAGGTTTATCCTCTCTTTTCTCTCTATAAATAAATCTCAAATGTCTTCCTTACTAAGTTATATATTCTCCTCGTATATACCCATATATTCAATGACTGATGGGAATATAATCTAAAATATTAACTAAAGTTCTAATGTTCTCATTTTAAACGTCTTGTCTCGTTAAATGCATAGGAAAATGACTGATGCATGGGAATATAATCTAGTATATGACTAAGACAAAACTATGTATATTCATCTGGTTGTGAAAAAAAAGAGTATACGGATTGGATTTATCGTAGTGGATATATCTTATCGATACATGAGAAAATACTGTTCAATTGCAGTAACATACTAAACTCATTTGTGACACAAACAATCGAAAATAATCTTTAAGAAACTGTAAGAAAATCTAACGCTATGTCGAAAACGTATGATTGCCATCTGCCACATATCACTTCCGAATGATACCAAATGGGTCCAATCGTTTCTCGCTACCCAATAGCCACGCGACTCTCTTTTTCTCACTCTCCACATTTTCACTTTGGATGAATTTAATTGACATTAATTTGCGGGAAAGATACGAGTTACTTAAAACTATAGTCAACTATTATATATTGGTTATTTTTGTATAATAAGTCTGATTCTAGTAGTTGAGGGTTTTAGTCCAGTCGTTGGGTTTTTAGGGATGTATGACGACAATAAACTTATTTCGAACTGTTATATCCATATAAGAAACAAACACATGGTGCTTTTGTATAAGTTGATATAAATCGAGAAAACTTCTTAGTCACATATCTAAAATTCGGATCTAGAAATTCTTATTTAATTTTTTTTTTTTTTTGGAAAATATGTTAAGCAGATAAAGTTACTTTAGCCCTATTTTACATATCAATGCCAATTTGACGTTTCCTAGCGTAAAAGGAAACACCACGTCATCACCAGAAATCTAACACATGCAATGAGATCCAGCCACGTACACGGATAAGGTGACCTGTTAAGTTTTGTTCATACGTGACATCGACGAAAAGTTGTACAGGTGGTCGGATATAATGTTAATTCGAAATTTGGAAATGTCCAGAATCCCATAATCCCTATAAATTAACCTAACTACTGTCCCACGGAAAGTGTCTGATGAGAAAAATTAACCTAATTAATTATCCACGTATATTTTAAGTACTTAAAATGAATAATATTACTAAGCTTTCACTTGGCGTTCTTCAAACATGATTCTCAATATTAATCAAAACAGCTGTCAAATTTATATGTTTTTACATTTTGAAAAGATGATTCAGTAAAAATTAGTATTAATATGTTAGAAATAGTGAAATTTCGCTAATCTAACAAAAACCATTTTACTTAAACATTACAAAAACTTATGATGCGTTGAGTTTTGGTTTCTTTCCAAATTCATCATCTCCGAAAGAAAACTAGATTAGGTCTCTCTTCCCCAAGTGCCGCTACTCTTTCTAACTTTTTCACTTTTTTACCTCTCTGTTTTCGCATCAACAAAGTGATGATATTTCACAAATCAATCAAACAGAGACTAAATTTATTTGACTATATAATGTTTGACAAACCCTAACGGATCTTTTCTCTTTTCTTACACCATCTCGTGCTTCTCCCAATCCAATCGCTGCCCCCTCTCTCTTTCTCTCTTTGGGGAATTCTTACTTCCATGACCTCTCTCTGCCTCTCTCTAATCTTAAATGTTCATTGTTTTTTTTTTTTGTAGGAGTTTCCTTTTTAGTATACTGAATCTCACTTTTTCCCATTTAAGTCTTAACCTTTTTGCTATATTTAGTAAACAAGATTTTTTCATAGGGTTTAGGGTTTAACAGTAGACTTCGTACGAAAACTTTCTGACTTAAACTTTTTCCTTTTCTTTAAAAAAAACTTAATTTAACAGTCATCGAGATTTTTCTACACTGAAGATTTCAGTCTAGATTTTTCCCTGAAAATTCTAAGTTTATTCTCTCGGTTTCTAATCAAACGTCCACAGATAAAAATGTCGTCTTGCGTAAGCGGCGGCGGCGCCTATAGCTTTGAGTTAGAAATGATAAAATCGCCGCCGTCACACAACATTCCTTCACCGTCATCTACAATCTCCGAGTCAAACTCTCCTCCGTTCTCAATCTCCACGAGAAGGCCACGAACTCCACGGAAACGTCCGAACCAAACATACGACGAAGCTGCGGCTCTTCTCTCCACCGCTTACCCAAAAATCTTCTCTTCCAAGAAAGCAAAAACTCAGATTTTCGGCAGTAACAAATCTCCTCTAAGTGATTACGACGAAGCTTCTCAGTTGCTTCTTCCGTACGCATCCATCGAGGAGAACGAGTTCCTGTTCAATCCCACTATTCCAACGAAAGCAGAACACTTCTTGGAGCATAAGGAAGTCAGTTTTGATGACTCGGAGGTGATTAGGTTTGGGATTTTAGAAGATTTCGACGCGGAATCGATTTTAGATGAAGAGATTGAAGAAGGGATCGACAGTTTTATGGGGAATATTGAATCCAATCACGGAGATTCTGGCAGAATCGGTCGATTAGAGGAAATTATGAAGAATGCTTGGAACGGAAGGTTTCGTTTAGGGCTTGGTTTGAGGAGTTCTCTCCGAGAAAACGACGACGGGAACTGGTGGAAATTTCCCACCGTGGAATTTGATCAGATCTCGCCGAGAATTCAGACCGCCACCGCAGCTGATGATGGTCAATCCAATGTCGTCGATAGTATTAAAAATAAAACGATTGTGACGGCGGAGGGAGACAAGAAAAAGAAAAAGAAGAAGAAAAAGAAAGTGGCTCCGGTGGCGGCGGAATCAAAGAGCTCTGAAGTTCCGGACTCGAGTACAAAGATGGAGCAGAGAGTGAGTCCGTTGTTGAAGCTCGACTACGATGGGGTTTTAGAGGCTTGGTCAGGTAAGGAGTCACCGTTCTCCGACGAGATTCTGGGTTCCGACGCCGCCGGAGTCGATTTTCATGTACGTTATTTCAATTCTCTAATTTCTCTTTCCCGCCGCTGAAATCAACATTTCTACCTTTTTTTTTTTGTTTGATTAAAATAATTTAAGTTAGTCTTATCTTAATTCTTGTAACGAATTATTTCAGAATCTCCTAAATCCTCTTAAACTATACCACACGCGACTCAAATTTTGCATCTGAAAAGAGTGTTGTCTTTAAAACTTCTTAATAATGTATTGATAACCAATTGTTAGCAACAAACAATTCGTTACTAATTTCTGAATTTGAATCTGACAAGAATTGAAAGTGGTTTTTAATTAGTTCTTGCCATTTTGCTCTTAAAACTTTTGTGTTAGAAGTAGATTATCAATTTAGTGAGTGAATTTGATGTAAGATGAATGATGTTTGGGGCAGGCAAGGTTGAGTGAGATAGATTTGTTCGGAGAAAGTGGAATGAGAGAAGCAAGTGTGTTAAGGTATAAAGAGAAGCGAATGAACCGACTCTTCTCAAAAAAAATCCGATATCAAGTTCGCAAACTCAACGCCGATCAACGCCCGCGTATGAAGGTATATATCTATATCATTGTCTTCAAATGTAAACATTGAAACTTACTGTCAATTAGGGTAGAATGAAAGTATTGTTGTTACATTTGATTTGAGCAACGATTTAGGTGAAATATCGTCATTATAATATTCTGGTTTTCTCATCGACAGGGACGATTTGTGAGAAGGCCCAACGCAAGGCATTTAAGTGGGCTACGATTATAAGAATAAGAGCCGAAAAAACTTAAGCTCTTTGATTCTCTTTTGGTTTTGTTTATTCACGTTTAGTTGTTTTGTTTTTGCAGACTTTTGCAATTTCGGTCTCCATTTTTGTTCCTTTTTACTAGCCCCCTCTTGTTTTTTTCTGTCCTAAGGGAATGGGGAAGAAATTAGTTGATTCGATACAGTTAAGAATCATAACGAATACAACTTTATTTTGTCTTATGGTAAAAACTACGTGATGAGACTAAGAATTTATACATGCACACTATTGACGCCAAGTATGTGATGATTTAGTGGAAAAATGTTATATAATGCAGATGGTTTTTGAATTGGATTCAGACGTCACTATTCACTAAGTTTTAGGCTTTTGCTTATACATATTTTGGAGTCAAAGATCAAAACATTTTTTTGAGCATAAGAAATTAAACAGTTTCAATTTCATTGCATATACTCTCTCAATTGAAGGCCGAGCAAACCCGTCGAATCTCCCCGTTGAAACCAGTCTTCACACCAATCTTCCCCATCTTTACTATTGCCTTTACGAAATCGGACTCAAACGTTGGCCCAAAGAATGGATTTAGCATCCCAAGATAGGAATCTACGACCTGTCGAGTCGTTACATCCTCGTAAAGACCTGCGTCGGTCTGAAGCACAGCGAAACCATCCTTTATGTTGTGCAGAATCTGCTTGTCGAATAGCCGTTCACTGAACCGGTCAATTGGTAACCGGTCAAGTGGTTAATTCGGGTAGGAATGTCGGATTGATAGTCGGGTCAGGTTGACCACCGGGTAAGAAATCGTAGAGCCGTTTGGACATGAAGAAGCAGGCCGTTGTTCCGATAGTGTGAGCAGCTGATACGGAAAGTAGACCACTCAAGTTTAGATCTTTTGATTTCTTAAAGCTAGAAACAAATAATTTTTTTATTTTGTTTTTGTCAAAGTTTTCTCATATAGAACATGTGAACTTGAAATTTAATTATGTAAAATGACACAAACTGAGCCGGACCAGGTTTAAAACGCATGATCACTACTGTATTAGACTCGTGCATGTTGATGGTTTCTTCTTTGTTTGGTCACACGTGCAAGTTGATAATTTCACCCTGAAATCTAGTCTAAAGAATGGGCCGGTAGATATTTATGACGTTTGTCAGATTAACTGCGGATCGTATAACAGGCCTATTTTCGGGGTGAATTAACATTTCTGGGCCATGCCAGATTTAGTGGTTAAGATGACAGAACATCAAAACACTTGAATATAACACACTCAATTTAGTATTAGTCTATTAGAACTAAAATGCCAAATTCTTGAATAAGTGCCTATAGTAAGTTGACCAAAAAAGCCTAAATTTTTTTTTTACAGACGACTTTTCATTTCTCTTAAAATTTAGCTAACTAGTAAATCTGACCTCTTTTTTTTTTTTGGTTAGAAGAAAATTCTCACAAATTTAACATTCAATTTTTCACGAAAACCTTTTTCTGCACGAAACACTGCTGGCTTAGCTGGAAAATTTCCCAATAATGTTTTCTATTGGTCTACCGGGATTTCCTAACGCACGTGACACTTAACACACGAAGAAGAGAGGAAACGGACGAAACATGCGAAATACATCACGGATCCGGGAAATGAAAATCATATAACTTGAACTTCGAACCAAAAACTTTGAGAGATTCGAAACCACCAAACAAACATGAATGAGAGAGAAAAAAGAAGAAGAAGAGATACATACCACTAAGAAGCACGAGGTCTTTGGCGTTGAGTCCCTTCTGCATGAACTTATCCTTTAGTATCTGAATCGAGTCACTCACCTCCGGCATGTCCTTAGCCAATGACATGTCCGACACCCGACCATCTCTCCGCCCAGTTGGCACCTCATATGCCGGTCCATTTGCCTGCATCATGAATTGATCACAGCAGAGAAGAAGATAGATAAAGATGGAAAGTTTTTTTTTTCCTCTCTAATTTATTTTTTACCAAAGGTATGGCATCACGTGCAGCCAAGGCAACAATGTCTGAGCAGGAGACAACACCGGGGCATGCAGCTTCAAGCTCGGCTTTGGCGGCTTCTACTATCTCAAATCCTCTAACGCCTTCATGTCCAAATGCATTCTTTTCAGAGATTGCTCCGTTGTTCACGAGGATCGAGCCATCACATCCCTGAACTTGTGGTTAAATCTTTAAGAATAGCAAACAACAGTAGAAAGCACAAAGAGGAGGAAGTGCATTGTACCTCAACAAAGCAATCATGGAAATGCAGCCGTAGAAGTATGGCTGGGAGGTTAGGGTCGGAAAGAGCAGCTCCTGAGACAACTCTCCTAACGATTGACTCGGCTTGAGGACACGTATTGGAGTAAAATCCGACTTTGAGATCAGCAAGAGAGATGCCGAAGAAAACCATAACAAGAGACAAAGCTAGCCTCATCTTAGCCTTCGTCCACACCATTTGTGCTTTTAGTAAGTTCAACTCAATAGAGAGTGAGAGAGGGTGAGGGAAAGAGGTGAAAAAGATAGAGAGAGAGAGTTATACAGACAAAGTCTCTTCATTAAGACAGGAATAGAGACAGACATGTGTTTAACCTTATTTGCATGTAAAATTGTCACCTAGCAAAAACACTCAACAAAAAACCGAAATACTGTAAACATTAACAAGTATCACTGCCCGGGACATATTACTGGTGTTTATATATACAGAGCAAAGTCACTGTGTATCAAACAGAGAGGAATTGAGTTCTTTCTTGATGAAAAGAGAAAACTAAATCAAATCAAACCAAACCAAACCAAAGAAAATCATCTGTCGTTACGAACCAACTCACATAGTTTGAAGCAGTTCAAGGTTCAATAACACAGTTTTCCATCTTTGGAAAGGAGACACCTAGTTGCATTCCAACAGTAACTAATGTCTCCAAGGACCTAGCACTGTTAGCTAAGAGATCCTCATCAATCTTAATCGAGTCCTGCAAGACATGCCACGTGAAAGGTAAGGTTGATGCAAACGCAGTAACTCATCCAGGGACAGTATTACAAAAATGTAAGATATTTTGTCACCAGATTTTCAAATCAAGACAATTGATTTCTAGGGTACTGTAAGAAAAACAAAGTTAAGGTAACCTTTTCAAAGACGCTTATAACTGTGCTTCCACCAAATGAAAAGTAACCAAGCTGGAAAAGGGGAATGTTAAATTAGAGGCCGCTTGCATAAGAAACGATTACATATCTTTCAATTAGAAAAAAGGTTCAGCAGAATTAATTACCTCGTCCCCTTTCTTCACATGGTCTCCCTCTTGCCTAACAAAGGTGATACTACCAACCATTGTCGCTCCAATCGCAACAAATGCGACCTGTTACATATAATAAGCTGAGATCAAGTTCTGTGACAAGATCAATTTTCATTACAGCTTCAATTTGAGTTCACAGCATCAAGCACAAGAGACAACTGGGAAATACTTTGCATCAGCAGACCGAGAAAAAAAGATGTCTATGACTTATACGAGATGACAAACCTTTCCAAACTCTGCTGTTGATATAATTACGATGGTCCGTTTATTCTCAGTGAACACATTACAGTACTTGCTATTGACAGCAATCGGATTAACCTGAGAAGCAAGGTAGATCAGCAAGGATACAAAAGAATTTTTGATAAGAAAATACGGAAGAGAAGAATGCTCTTCAACGTAAAAAGGCAGATGGATCAGTACATACTGTATATAAGCTTCCAGAAACATTGACAAACTTTTCAATGACACCAGAGACAGGAGAATGAAAACGATGATAGTCCTGTAATAGATCAATAAATGCATAAAGAGAGGGAATAAAAACGAGTGTTCTTTTTTAGCTTTTGATCAAACAACAAGAAGCATGGAGTCCTGTTGTACCTGTGGAGCCAATCGGAATATCACTAAAGATCCATCAAGAAAAGCATCTGACTGCACATCATTCCCAAGGAGGCCTTTGATTGAAAACTTACGGCCCTGACAATATTTAAAAGAGTTGAAAAATTTAGAATAGCGAGTAACATTTGTACGGTGCTGCAGGTTATCAGCTGCATCACTTGTGTTAAGAGCTATTCAACGTTTCATATGCCTAGCTTGCAGAATTACTGTATCATAGATACTCTAGAGGTTGCTTTACCTTGATCCAGAACCGCGTGCTATCATCCACTGATTGAAACGCCATTAATCGACAATCAGCAGCAGATACAGCAACATCATCCTGATCCATGCACGCAATTGGTCTTGCACCAGGCTTTAACTCCCGTACGAAGAATTCATTGAACGTCTGCAAGTGAAATGACCATCTTTCAGATCCACGAAAAGCACACAAGCTTTATAGTTACCAAATTATCAAGGTTTTCTCCCATCTTCGATAAAACCCGCAAAGGACTTAGCTTAGATTTACCTCATTGTCACTTACATATTTATTTTATACCCAGCCACAGACTAATATGTTTTAATTTGTAGAAAACCATACCGTGAATTCTCTTCAGTTAGATCTCAAGTCCAACAACTAGTAACACTTTTATTGTAATATCGTGGTTGAAATCATACCATGAGTTGCCTTTGCATACCTTAAAATGGTCCAGAGGATACTTGACTTCGGCCATGTTTATTTGATCCTGCAACAAGCAAATAATTCAATTTTCGGCGTTCATATAAACATACAAAAGGAGGGAGATCCTTTATAAAACCTAGGAGATCTAGTGAAGCAGTTCCGATCTACCCATTGATCTCTATAAAGCATAAGAGAGGACTGTTTCCTGATCTCTATCGGGAGATTTCACACAGTATTTCAATTCCCAATAGTAATATAGATTTTCTGTTAATATTCATCGAAGTTTTTCTTGATATTCTGTGCTGTATAGCACTATAAATATCACCAAGCCACAAGCCAAGTTGTGTCAGGCTTAAACTCAGCAGCCATTTGACACATAATAACTTAACAAAAAGAGAATCTACACCTTGAAAAACTCGAGAAAGCTGGGTATATTTTGGGCAGATTCAACTGTGTTCATTTTCTTCCCCTGTTTCTCAGAAAGGTTCTGCAAAATCTCTTTTGCTCCTGCATCAAGGATATCAATCCAGAATGAAGACTTGTTTGCTTTGATACAATGGCAAGAATGTGTAGCTTTTTATGACAGAGGCACTATGGCCAGATGCATATTAGAGGTGATTGACCCAGTTCGTTACCTTGGTCCATAAGCCGGAGCCCGATTTTTGACTGGTAAATAGCTCTCATCGACATAACAATCTTTGAATCAATCAACTCTTCCACGAGCCTCTTAGTCTTCCGATCAATCACCTAAAGCATATCGAAGTAAGTATACTTTTAGTGCATTTTCTCACCATTAGGAGATACTCAAACGAAATCCACAAAAAAAATGATAGGAGGAATGCAACAAATATCAGGCATCTCTCAAGCATTATGAATGTAGAAAATCAAACAACTTGATAATTGGCCGCCAAACTAGATGTTTATCATGACATAAACAAAAGTAGTCAGAAAGGAAATATACCACAATATGTGAAGCACTTGAACCAGTATTCAAACCAACATCATAAGTTGCTAGATGAGTCCATTCACTTAGTTTGAACATCCATCTGACAAAATGTTAAAAAGTTGAATGCCGATCAAGCAAAGAACATATAAGTTATTTAGGATGTCAAATTAAACGCTAGTAAGAACGAGAAAATCTAACCCATATGAAGCCTGCCTATCAGTCAAGAACCCTCCGGTCATCGTTTGATTACCAGTTCCTTCGTCAAAACAGAGAGTCATATGGATCATTGCATTGAGCTTGTCAAGTTGAAGAGCCTCACCGCAAACCGGACAACTATTTATAATTGGCTCCCTGCAATCAATGCATGCAAATTACTGGGATTCAAGGATGTATAAATCAATATATATAAACAGAAGTTCACATAGGCAATGTATATAATGTTATTACTGTTCCTGTTGAACGGCAAGAAGTGCTGCCAACTCATCAATTGTAACAACACCATCCCCATTCAGATCAGCGGCTTTGAACAACTCCTCTTTCTGGTAATCAAGTCAGTGAACACATAAAGAGTGCCTTCAGAACAAATGCAGCAATCTAGCAATATCTAAAAAAAAATTTGCCCAGGAGACAACTTTTGGTATTTGCAATTTCTCAGAGTAATTGCTACTAAACAATCGGAAACAAATACATATACACAAGCACGCAAAACAGATAGAGGTGACAAAGCTGCTGAAGGTCAAACCTTGTTAGCCGCCACTATATTCCCAAAAGCATTCATCAGATCAGAGAACTCTGAGAATGAGAGTTTTCCATCTTCGTCATAGTCCTGCACGTAGATGAAGGACTCCAACAATCAATTATAAAAGGCTACAGAATGTCACAATGTTCCATAGAAAAACTGTTTAAGAAGCCAACGAAAAGAATAAGGTAGCTGGGGAATCTGATTGAAAAAAGTCTTTTCATCAATCACTGGAAACTCAAGAAAACTAAAATTGTTCCATGCAATGGGGATATCATCACAAAACATCAGAAGACCAGAATAGAAAGAGTGGATAATAAAGTAAAGCATACCACTATGGACAAAATACGCTTTGCGAAACATGTCTCGGTTTCAACAGGATCCTGCCAATGTTAGCAACCAAAAATCAGAAACCACTCCCACTGCATTTTTTAACTACCGTTTTAACTTTAAACATACTGCATACCTCAACGGAGCATGAAACAAACATGCTGCCAACAACATTAGATGAGGCCGGGTCTAACAGGTCAAATGACTTGCAAGCAGAGTCAGGTTCCTATATCACATTATATACAATAGAAGCAAAATAAACATGTAAACAAACAATTTTCTCATCGAATTATCATTCACCTACTATTATCAGCTAAATTGTGGCAGAATCCCCTCAAACAATGGAAGACAAGTGATAGAAAGAAACTTGCTGATACTTACATTAGTTGAGCTAGAGGAAGAACGGATAACTAAAATAAACAACTTAAAACAGCTTTCATATGAAAAACACTACTGACCTGCACTACGAATTCAAGTAGATCAAGCTCACAATAACCAACGATATTGTTCTTCAAAAGTCTATTGGTCTGCATCAAGAAAAGGAAAATCATCTCAACCGATCAATAACTAAACGCCAGTATCTAGAAAGCAGAACGTGTAAAAACTCCGATTACTTCACACCTCAAATACAGAGATTCTAGCCAGACTTGGTCCATTTTTCTCCAGGAGCAGCTTCTTTTCCTATACACAGAGAAACACAAAACCGATACAATACCCAACCATTCAAAAGGCGCTAAAAGAAACAGCAATCGGGAGTTTTCTTACCGAATTCCAAATCGGCTTCTCTGTGCTGCAAAATTCATCAGAAACAAGATGGTGTTAAGTATAAGATTCAAAAACTTACGAGGAAAATCGAATGAGAATAATTGTTGGTAACATACGAATTTGAAATTTCCGAACGGAAAGTTTGTTCTCCGAAGGAAACACAGGCGAGCCACTTGTCCTTGAACTTCATCTCCGCCTAAGAGAAGATGCCAAGAGACACATGACTATCGTAATCGAAATACGAAGTTTACTAGTACAATGAAATCAAAAATAGAAAGGAGAGAAGTAACAAAGCCGTACGCCGATGAGAGTGAGAAGAGCAATGCCGGCGAAATCATCTGCGCTCACAGATCTCTGACTAACCAATCCGGAGACGCTTCCGGATCCTGGACGACTAAGACGGCGGCGGCTGCGAAAGTTCTGAATCTTCTGTCGCATCTTTGATCGGCGCGACTCTTTCGCCTCCGTGGAGTTTCCGTTTCCCATGGTTCTCGAACTCTCTAAACCTCACGCGCTTGGTAATCCAGTGGATCGGAGATGGAGGAAGAAGAAGTCAGTGAGCGGCAGTGACCGGAGTCTTTTTATTTGCAAAACATCTGTGTCACCGAGAAGGTGGAGAGGGAATTTATCACACCAAATACTTTTCCTATTTTTTTTTGTTTTTTAATTTTTATTCGCCTGTATCGTTTGATTGATTTTTGCTTTTCATTTCTGAGTCTGACACTAATTATATACTCCAATAATATATAAAAAAAAGAGTTTTTTTAAAAAGAGGTTTTCATTCCAAATAATATATTTATCCAAATTGTTTTTACTTTAGTTAATTAAAGCCAGGGTTTACTTTTTAGTTTTTATAAGTAACAGATGTGTGAAATAACACATAAAGAGTTTTTTTAATGCCGAATAAAAATGCAAACATTTACCATATTAAAGATGATGCTTGACATTAAAAAAAAAAAAAAGTAATTAAAAAACTTCAACTTGGTGAAATAGCTAATATTAGTTTGACCTTGCCTTATTTGTGGTGATGGCTGCTTTTTTTGTAAAGGACTAAAGGGTTTTTCCTTTCCTTGGAGAATGTCGCAGTGAAACGTGTTGACGATAAAGACACTGGTCAATAACTTAATCCAAAATTGTTTAAGAGGATTGATCGATAAGGATATGTAATAATGTAACTATAGATTTTAATTAGCGTTATAAAATATGGTTGAAGGTTTTTTTGGTGCAAATGGTTGTATTGAGATGAATAATTGGAAAAGATTAAGTTCAAACAAAAATATGCACTTTCATAAGACTTTAAGAAAAAGCGAGATTATTAATGTGAAAAAAAATTAGAAACGCAAAATTCATTTGAATACACAGCGATGTTTTTAGAACATTTTCCTATTTTGGATTTCGTAATTTTTTTTCTACCGTTGCATGTAAACTCGCCAACGGTAAATCAAGATGATTAAGATAATCACATCGAATGAAATACTGTATATGATCAATATTTTCCACAAAAAAAGAAAAAAAATTAAGTTTTTCAATAAATAAAGTATAGTACTTAAGGTTGTTGCTGCTGCTGAAGACTGATGAGTTTAAAATATGGACCAGTCTTGTTTAGAACGAGCTTACGGTGGCTGCCTTGCTCTACGATCTTACCTCCATGTAATACACTTATCGTGTCAGCGTTCTTGATCGTCGATAGTCGGTGAGCAACCACCACCGTCGTACGGTTAGTCATTAACCGATCCAATGCTTGTTGTACCTAACAATATTCATTCGTTGTTAACTCATCAGTCCATGTGGATTAAAGTCTACAAAGTCTAATTGTAAAGAAACCTTACCACACGCTCAGATTCAACGTCCAAAGCGCTTGTGGCTTCGTCAAGTAATAGAATCGCTGGATTCTTGAGGATGGCTCTAGCGATAGCGATCCTCTGTCGCTGACCGCCTGACATCTGAACTCCACGTTCACCGACTTTGGTAGAGTAACCTTCCGGGAGAGAGGTAATGAAGCTGTGAGCGTTTGCGAGCATGGCTGATTCTATGACTTCAGATTGAGATGCTCCTTCGTTTCCATACAATATGTTCTCGTAGATTGTTGTGGCGAAAAGTGCCGGTTCTTGTTGAACAAGACCAATATGTTTCCTCAGTGCTTTCAAATCTAGTTTCTTTATGTCTTTTCCTGCAATTGGGATAAGAAGAAGAAAAAAGAAAAAAAACAGTTTATTCAGCTAAACAACCACTTTCTTTTGATGCAAGAAACCTTAATTTGTGTTCAGAGGTTTAAGTCATGTGCACTCACCTTCTATCATCACTTTTCCGGCGGTTGGGTCATAGAACCGGAGAATGAGTGAAATAACTGAACTTTTCCCGGATCCACTCTGTCCGACGAGCGCCATGCTCTTTCCGGCACGAACTATAAGATCAAAGTCCCGGAAAATTACAACATCTGGTCTCGAAGGGTAGCTAAAGTGGACGCCTTTAAGCTCAATTGTGCCTTCCACATTAGTCAGCTCCTCCCTGGTTTCTCCAACGATCTGAGTTTTCCGGTCCAATATCTCGAATACGGACGCAACCATCTGGTTTCCTTTCAGCAGATCCGGAGCTAGAGCCAATGTCTCACCCATAGCTAACGCCGTCACAATCAAAACCATGAATGTTTTCATCACTGATTTGAAGCCCGCTAATCCTTTGTCCATCAAAGTTGATCCGTACCTATCAGATCAAACAATTGACAATTCAATATTTATAATCAGAAGATCGTTTTTTATATAAATGATTTTGAAATAAACACAAACCAAACATATGTACATGCATTTTTTTGTATATGTACAAACCAAACCACTTTTTTGGTTGGTCAGCGACAGAGGATCACTTTTTTAGTTCGGATACTCTTCACAACAAAGCTGAAAACATTTAAACAAACCTAGAATCGAATGCCTATTCTTTTTTGGTCTGAACCCTAGGTCTATTAATTCCCAACCTTTTATAATTAATTTATCCGTGAAACTTTGTGTCTATAGAGATACACATACCAGAGGGCGAGGCCATAGGAAGAGAAAATGAAGAACTGAGAGACACCATAGAAAAGTCCGGCCATTTGTCCACGCCTGAAAGAACTTTTTGAAGGTTCTAAAAGCTCTCTTGAATAAAGTTCTAGAATCTTTTCCTCAGCACAGAAGGCGGCGACTGTGCGGATGTTGCTAACAGACTCTCCAGCCAACATGTTGGCCTTTAAGTATGCTTTGTTCAAGTCTCCTCCATATCCTTGCATGAAAAGTTTCTGCAAATATAACAAAAACACAAACATAAACATAAACGCAAACGCAAAATTCAAAAAGTGGCAAAGCGTTGCGTTACCTCGCTGATATGTCCGCTTATAACCAAAGGGTATGTGGCCAAGACAACAAGAGTGAGACGCCAGTTGAGTATAAAGGCGATGATAAAAGAGGTTACAACTAGACCTAAGTTCTGCAGTAGAATTGTAGACCTATCGACCACTATGGTTTTAAGCAAAGTCGCATCGCTCTCAAGCCGCGATGCCAACATTGAGCTTGTGTTGTCCACCTCATCAAACCACCCGATTTCATTCTTCAAGATTGCTATAAAACCAAACACGGAATAAGTATCACATAACAAAAATTGGGATCTCTAATTTCTTAAGGACGTTAAATTTTATTATTTATCTAAAACTTGCATTGAGACGAACCTCTAAACATATTTTCGCGGACACGGAGAGTGAGACGCTCGCCCATAGTACCGAAGCAGATATGCTCAATGGTGTAGACAATTACGGTGATAATGGAGGCACAGCAAAAGAGGATAGCGATCTTCTTGATCTCTTTTTGAGTCTCATCCCAACTATTGTAATATGAAACTAAGGCTTGCGCGACTCCAAGCGCGAAAAGGGGCATCTGAGATCCAGCTATAAAGGCACATATCGTGCCACACACGCCATACATCCAGTCCGGACGGATCATAGAGTAAAGACGTCCCACCGTTACTTTCACCTTTTTGGATGGCTCGGCTCCATCCGGTCGAGTTACTGATTCCCTTTCTGAACAGAAGCTCGACCTTGTTCTTGATAGTTCCCGCGAGTATTTTATACTGCAAATATGAAAAGAAAAAAAAAACGAAGAACAACTATGAGAATTAAGGGTTTGGTTTTTATTCATAGTTCTAATGAAAATGTTCAGAGACAGAGTATGGTGCTAAGCGATAGTACCTATGTGGCCTGCTTAGCGTGCGATTCAAGGAAGGGTTACGCTGCAACGAGGAAGCCTCTTGGAGACGAAGAAGAGAAGAGTAGGCTCCGTCGGGATTAGATATGAGATTCTCGTGGTTTCCAAACTCAACGATTTTCCCTTCGTGAACAACTGCTATGATGTCAGCATTTCTTACGGTTGAGAGTCTGTGAGCAACTACCACCGTTGTTCTCCCAACCATCACTCGATCCAACGCTTCTTGCACGCTCTTCTCTGACTCTGCGTCTAAAGCACTTGTTGCTTCGTCGAGTAAGAGTATTGACGGATTCTTCACGATTGCTCTTGATATAGCAATCCTTTGTTTCTGTCCACCAGATAGTTGAATCCCTCTCTCGCCGACCTATTAAGTGAAAAAGCAAAGTTTTAGAGTTTTGTTGATATTTCTTTTACCTTAAGGAAAAAGTGGAATCTAGGGTCTATAGTTGTTTCTTGTATTCTAAGGTGTCGGTTGACAGACCTGAGTCTCAAATCCTTCAGGGAGGTTGTTGATGAACGAAATGGCTTCTGAGAGCTTTGCAGCACGGGTGATCTCCTCAGCTGTCGCGTCGTCTTTGCCATACAGAATGTTCTCGCGAATCGTTGTTGCAAACAGAGCTGGTTCTTGGTTAACCAAACCAATCTGTCCCCTTAACCACTTAATATCCACCTCATTGATATTGTTCCCGTCTAGCAACACTGCTCCAGAAATGGGCTCGTAGAACCGCTCAATCAAAGATATGACCGTGCTTTTCCCTGATCCGCTTCCTCCAACAAGTGCCACAATTTTCCCGGCAGGGATAGCTAGGTTTAACTTGTCAAAGATCACCACATCGGGGCGAGATGGGTAACTGAAAGTCACGTCCTTGAATTGAATGTGCCCGTCTACTTTCCCTAGTTTACGGCCGGATTTTGCGCTTGCTTTTGTCACCGTGTTCCGTTCAATCATCTTGAAAATCGGATAAGCAGCAGCTTTTGCCCGTACAAACGCAGAAATATCCGGCGCCGCTTGTCCAAGTGACCTACACAAAACCCCAAAAACAGAAACTTCATGATCCATAAAAAGAAAACAAAGGAAACGTAGAGAGCAAGCAAACAAGATAGGAATATTTTATATTACAGGCCGGCGATGACAACGTTGAGCATGGTAGTGAATGATTTGCCACCATTGGCGATATCCTTGTGGACCACAACGCTTGTGAACCATACGAGCAAGGCCCAAGACAGAAACAAGACACAGTGCATCGATCCAAGACCTAGTCCTTTAGTTAAACCGGCTTTTCTCCCGTACTTGTACGTGTTCTCCAGAGCTTCTCGGTATAATCTCACCGCCCTTTCTTCACCAGTGAATGCTTGAACGGTCCTCACATTCCCGATCACCTGAATAATCACATAGATATATGTTATACACCAGAACTAAACACTATATCTGAAAAATTAAAACAGTAGACACTTCTATAAGTTTCCTTGTCCGAGAAGTAACCAACCTCTTCCGCAATCTCACCGGCCTTGATGTATGATTTCCGGACACGAGCGATAAGTCCGATGGCGACAAACGCATAGATGCCACCGGCTAGAGCGATTAAGGGGACTATGGAGAGAGTGACAAGACTTATTTGCCATACACTAGTGAATCCAATTGCAAAACCAGCTATGAACCGGCTTATGTAGTGCAAGAAATTTCCTACCTGCAACAAAAGTTACCAGTAATCGAGCCAAATTATCATAAAACATCAACTAGATTTGCCTGATCACATTTAAAATTTTAAATTTAAGCGATTAAACTGTTTTGTGGCTGGCTAGCTGTAAAGAACCAAATATAGGTCAAAATTAAATCGTATCAAACTCAACCGCCTTATAAATGCAAAATGCAATGCAGCTATAACCGAATTAAAGACAATGCATTTATTATTTTTTCATCAATGACCGAAGTATATTTTATAAAAGGAAAATAAAGGGATCTATACTTCCCCATACTTTATTAGTGTCTCAGAAAAATGAAGAATATATATCACCATTCACCAGCTACTAGAATACGGTTAGAAAGTAAATAAGTAATGAGAAGAGATGGACGCATGCCAAATAATCTCTTTATCGAACTTGAAAAATGATAATTCAAAAAAAAAAGTGTTAACAGAAAAATAAATCATCCTTAACATTGGATTAAGCCATTAATGTTATTCACATTAAAACTAATACGGATTGAAGAACCCATGTGCGAAAAAACGACCCATGTAAGAAATTTCTAAATTTAACGACCTAAATGTCGTTTATAGGTTTGAAAAAAAATAATATCGACCGAGGCAGTGCCTTAATTAGCAGACTTTAGTTGGTATTTGCTCAAAACAGACAATTATTTACCAATTGGTACCAGAAAAAAAGTAATCGGTCTAATAACGAATCTAATCATTGAACTAATTAACACAAAATGTTAACAAAAAAAAAGGAACTCAAGACCGGTTTGTTTCGGTTAAGAGAGGTACCTTCTCGGAGAGAGCATCTTGGACGACGAGGATGTCGGAGGTGATGGCGGAAATGACTTCTCCTGTAGAAGCTTCGGTGTCGAATAAGCTTATGTCTTGGCTTAACATTGACCGGAGATAAGCTCTCCTCATCTTCGCCGCTTGCCTCTCTCCCGTATGCATCCAACATGCAACCTCTGTTTCCATTTTTAAAATTTATTTACTAATTAAAAATGAATTATATATCTTAGAGAGATTATTTGATTTTAATATATTATTATTTACCTAACCATGATGAGAATAGTATAGCCACACTCAAGTATACAAAATCCAACGAGTACTGCACCAAAATAAATAAAATTTAAGCCGAGCAAACATATTAACAAATATAACAACGGATAATTAGCATGAATATGTAATTAATTTCAATATGGTAAAAATTTAAAAAACCAGGTAAAAATTCACTTCAACCTCCGAATAAGCTAGCGAAGAATCTCAAATTTTCTTTAATAAATTTGATAGTTCGAGCTATATCATAAGGAAAATAAAATATAGAAAAACCTTGGCGACTCTGTGAGAGGCTTGTTTTGGGAAAAGATAAGCAAGACCGATAATGTTGATGAGTTTGCCGAAGAAGATGAAAAAGATCGGAACGGAGGCGCCATGAATGCAAGCTCCTACGGATCCAAGAGTCATTAGAACACAATCATAGAAATCTGCGAAGGAGAAGAGCTTAAGCAGTGACACTTTTGGCTGCTTCATCTCTTTCTCCTTCTCCGGCGCCGGATCACCGGACGGCTGCATTTTTTTAAGCTTAAAGTGTATGTATAATTAGTTGGAGAGGAAAATGAAATGAAAATAAATACATAGGGAGAGAAATTAAGGGAGGAAAGTGGTTAGAGAGGAAGAAGATGAGAGAGAGATAGACATTAAATGAATGAAGACATAAGACCAAGTTTATTGGTTTCAGCGAGAATTGTTTGGTGTGAAGCTCTGTGTGTGTGCGTCTGTGCGACCCTAGTTAATAACTCTCTTAATAAAGTTTTATCACTCCCAAATTTTGGATTTTTGTCTAGTTTTTACCGAATTATGTTGGTAATTACTTGTAGTATTAATTTGGTACTTGCGTAGTTTTCTCGGTTCGTTATCTTGTTCACGGTAAGGTAATGAACTTGAGAGGGTTAATAATGGTGAAAGGAACAAGTGTCGATTTTCGTGTAGAAGAGTCTGAGGTATCTTTTAATTTAAATATGTCTTTTAAAACTCAGTTTTGTAATAGTCAAACTTAAAAAGATAATTCAACTACTCCTAGCTACATTTAAATGTTTTAACTTTTAAGTGTATACATTAACCGAATAAAAATGCAATCACTGAATAAATTTGTTTGTCATTGTTGACAACATTAGAATTTTGAAATTTAATACTCAAATTTTGATGTGATTTACGGAAAGTTGGCAACCACTAATTTTATAACTTGTTTAAAAGAAAATTGGGAAAAATACGAATTGTAAGTTAATATAAATTTTGGGCAATTAATTATCAACCATTTCCATCGATAATTTTTAATTAAAAAGTTTAGAAATAGGAAAAAAAATGAATAAGAAATTGATGAGAATTATCGAATAAACTGATCTGCACCAAATAAATAACTTCGGTCAGAACTCCATTATACTGTAGTTTGAGAAAATGAAACCAAATCCAAACTCTCTAAAAATAAACCAAAAAATGTCCACCCCTCTTCAAGACTTCAACACGTCGCCCCTACAATGAAGTTAAAAAATGATGTGAAAAAGGAAATTCGTGTTAAGAGATAATGATTGTATTTATGTCAAAACGCGTTCACATGTTTGTTGGTTTGGACTTTTGATCTATGTCAGCTGGATTGAGATTCAATAAGACAAATGATACCCTTTCTACACCAGTTCAAGAAGAGAAGAATTTCTCGAAATTCATGTCAAAATACCTATTTAAAAAAAAAAAACTATAGAATCAAAAATATTTTTGATTATGTTTTGAAATATCTGAAAATAAGTTATGCAAAATTATATCTTCCAAAATTTTTAGAAACGTTTCAAATGTCTGTTCCAATTGCTTTCATATTTTTTTTGGATTCTTGACAATTTTCAAATCGGACGATAGAATTCCTTTACCAAAAAAAAAAAAAAATAGTTGTTCCAATTTTAATATGTTGCAAATAAAATGAAAATTTAAACTATGAAAGAAAAGACGCAAAGTCAAGAAGAAGAAGAAGAATTCTTTTCTTTGAGTTGGTTGTGGTGATGAGTTGATGACTGATGAGCTTATAATGTGGTGGGTCCAGTTTTCAAGCATACATGTTTTTTGGCTGGTCCCGAATGATGCATAGTCACGTACTGAAGTGACCAAGTCTTACGATTCGATGCAGTTGTTATATCTTACTACGTATGACTGTATGAATTATATATGTGTCTCTCAGAGTCATCTCATATATTCTTTTGATTCGACTTTTTTCCAGATATTTTCGTCTTGTCATGGTAAAAAAAGCTATTTCTTTTTTACTTTCTTTTTTTCTTCTTCTTAGATTAAGTACCGGGTTCGTAGTATTCCAATTATTTTGCTCTTAATTAGGGGTAATACCTTATCAAATTTTATGTGTATCCAATTTATAAGTGAACTAATCCATATTTTGGTTTTCTATAATTCATTCTTAACCAGATTGACTGACGTAAGAGGAAACCAACCATGCATGTGCAACTATAAGAAACCAAAACCAACCATGCATGGCTAGTAACAATTTTTGAAAAAGAAATCAATAGCTGATATACATATTATATGAACATGATAAAAGTTATATGATTATCCATCAACCAAGTGATGGTAGCGTAGATATGAGCGCAGGGGGTTGTGATATATTTGTGAAGGACTTTCAGTTTCAAGAAAATGAACTCAGGGAAGCTCCTGCTTCGTTTGAATATATATTACTAAGATTATGTGATATCTTTATGCTTTATGATTTGATACACAAATCTATGCATTTATGCATGTACATAAATACATGTCCGTGATGTTATTCTTTTTAAGTAATCGTAATTATACATTCTAAGGTAAGTAAATTAACATCTGCAGTCCATTTTACTTATGTGCAACTTTACTTCTTTAAGATTGTGAGATGAACCAAACGATCAAACACTTAAAACTGATAATTTCCCAAGAAATTGATTGTGACGTAGCCTATATATTAATTGTTTCAGTCACTTTGTTTATTTTTAAGTTTCAATATAAACATCAATCTATAAAAGAAAATATACTTTGGCAATTCAATAACTTTTTTGTACAAGAACAAAAAATAACAAACTAAAAGGAAAGAATAACATCAAAGTATGGCATTCAAACATCAACCAGACCTTTAACCAGACTATCGCCGCATTAAACGCAATTAAGGCCACCGCTCCGGCGGCGGCTATAATTATCACCTCCTTGAATCCAAGAAGACAAGACGCTAAAAGGATAACCGAAAACAACCGCATCTTATTGATCACCATTATATTTTGTAAATTATCTTGATAGATATTTTGACATGATCACTACTAATAGATGAAATAAGGAAAACCAAATCTCCTTTATCTTCGAACTCGAACGATTTGTTTTTGTTGATATATTTGTATGGATGTGACAATTTTAATTGTTTTTCTTTAAGAGGGAATGCGTGGTGGAAAATTAAATGCAAAGTATAATGATGCAACTTTATGCTATACCAAAAAATAATGATGCAGCGGCATGGAATAATTTATTCGTTTTGGGCACTCTTGTTATTATTTTGCATTTATATCAGTGAAAATGACGTAATTGAGCTGGCTATTAAAGGTCTAATGTTGATAATATATATAGCTTTTATTTGAAGATATAATAGTAAAACATATGAATTATGATGGTAATATAGCTTTTATTTCATGGTATTTTAACTCTTAGATGAGAATAGAAGAGAAACCAGTACCACATATGCTTTTATTTTTATTTTTATAAAAAAACCACATATGCTTCTCAGTTCTCACAATTAACGGCAAACATAAAAAAATTAATGGATCGTCAATTTTATATAGACTTTAGAGTCCCATGTTGTGATTCCTTTTAATTCACGATTTTTCAAAAAAAAAAAAAAGAATTCACACAATCTTATATTTTAAGGGTACGTATTTAAATGCACACCGATCGGCTGGTTTGTAATCGGTTGGGATTTTCTATAAATAGTATGTTTGAGTTTTCTTTTAGGAAATCATTATTTTTATATATCATTCAAATGTGATGAAAAATATAATGAGTCAAAAACTAACTCCATGAACCAAGGAGAAAAACACTCTCCGGCTAATCCAAACCATAACCAAAGAGGTTATATCAACAAATTCCATTTCTGGCACCAAAATTTGCAGAAGAATAAACACAAGTTTTCATTGTCTTTGAAGAGAACATAAGCCATGGATTCTTTAAGAGGCCAAGGTGGGATTCAGATGCTTTTAACCGCTGAACAAGAAGCCGGACGGATTGTTTCAGCTGCGAGGACCGGTATAGTCTTTCTCCTTTATCGCTTGTCGGTTCTAATGGTAAGATTTTGGTTTTGAATCCTTTTCGGCTTTTCCTTTTTTTTTTTCTATGGACGGATCAATGATCAGCAAAACTAGCAAGAATGAAGCAAGCGAAAGATGAGGCTGAGAAGGAGATGGAAGAATACAGGTCTCGATTAGAAGAAGAGTATCAAACTCAAGTTTCTGGGGTAAGCAAACACCAAAAGAAAACCACCTAGTGAGATCTTCATTTGTACTCATTCTTTACTTTATGTTTCAGACGGATCAAGAAGCAGCTGCAAAACGTTTAGATGATGAGACAGACGCCAGAATTAAGAACCTTAAGGAATCTAGTTCAAAGGTCTCCAAAGAGATTGTAAAGATGCTCATCAAGTATGTTACCACAATACCACTACTGGAGCATGATTCTCACTACACCAACCTAATAATATCTTATTCTTTTGATAATAAAATTGTTTTAATTTGATTCTTCAGCTCCAGTTTTTTGGTTCTTGATCTCTATGTGCACAACACAATAGAGCCAACTACATAGTCCATGAGGTGTATAAACACATTAACATGAGGAAACCAAAACAAACATATCATTATATCAATGGAAAGCAGAACTAAGTACACAAGTGATAAATTTTAAGCAAAGCTACAAAAGAGAAAACATGCGTGCATAATAAATGCAATGCTTGGTAATTTTGGTATCTTCTCTGTACTCTGAGCACAAATTGTTTACACATTCTAAGATAAATACATGAGCATTTGGAACAAAACAAACAATGATATATCATGCGGTAGCTGATTTGACAAATATGATTTATATCAGAACCACCGTATGATCTGACGCCTACCGTCCGAGTCTGACTCATTAGGTCCATAAGACTAAAGCTTTACCATTGCCCTCAATTTTGTAGAAAACTGAAAAAGACATTTACAAATGTAAAAATCAATAGACGTTTAAATCAGTTCAAAAAAGGGAAAAAAAAATTCTGAGTAATGGAAAATCTGAGGTTTTATTAGGTACCTATCTTACAAAAATTACGGATAAATAAGTGGATTTCATTTTGACATTAGATGTATGGATAATTGAGGAATAATGATGATTCTATACCAAAATAAAAGAAAAGTTTTTTTAAAAAAAAACTGGCATCCGATAATGGAATATACGATATTAGTAAATGAGATACTAATTTCGAAATAAATTTTCTCCGATAAATTACAAAATCTGTTTAATAATAAAAATTAAAATTTTTAAAACAATAATCAAGATTCTGTTACGCACGTCATGGTGATGCAAGAGAGAGAGGAGCTTTGTTGAAAAGTCTGTTATTGTGTTCTGTTTGTTGTAAGGCGACTAATAACAGAGCATACCAAACTTGGTCTTCGTCTTCTTCATCCTTATCTTCTCCATCCTCTCCTCACTCTCTCTCTCCGTCGTAACCAAATCATTTCACAATTCCGGTGATCGCCGGAATAATCAACCATTTTTTCCATAGATGGCAACGTTTAACAGCTTCCGTAAAGCCGTCGGAGCTATCAAAGATTCCACTACCGTAAGTATCGCCAAGGTCAACAGCGAATTCAAGGTTAGGATTACATTTTAAAAGTTTTCAAGTTTTTGGTTTTAAAAAATCTGTAAATGACCGATGAATGAAATTGAGATTAGGATTTGGATGTTGCGATCGTTAAAGCCACAAATCACGTAGAATCTGCCCCCAAAGAACGTCATATTCGTAGTAAGTTTTCTTAAATTTATTCCCCAAACCCTTGAATTTGGTTACGATCTTATGAGTTTTTATCATTTATGCAGAAATATTCTCGGCGACATCTGTAGTGCAACCACGAGCAGATGTTGCTTACTGCATTCACGCATTAGCCAAAAGATTGTCAAAAACTCGCAATTGGGTTGTGAGTTTTAGATTACTTTTACTTTTAATGATTCCATTTTTTTCAATTTATAAAAACTCTGTTTTTGGGTTTGCTTAGATTGCGTTTCCAACACGCAGGTTGCGATCAAGGTGTTAATAGTCATTCATAGAACACTAAGAGAAGGTGATCCAACATTTAGAGAAGAGCTTCTCAATTACTCACATAGAGGACATATACTCCGAATATCCAACTTCAAAGACGATACAAGTCCTCTTGGTGAATAGCTTTTTTATATATCTTTTGTTCCATAGCTTTTGGTGTGTTAATGAAAATTGTTTAAAAACAATTTTTGACTTGTTGTTGCAGCTTGGGATTGCTCTGCGTGGATTAGGACATACGCGCTTTTTCTCGAAGAGCGGCTTGAATGCTATCGGGTTTTGAAGTACGACATTGAGGCAGAACGTTTACCAAAAGGTTCAGGTGCATCTTCAAAGGTTTGTTCTCAATTTCATTCTCACCTTTTAAACAAACTCAAGAATCTAACTATATCACCACAAATCATTTTGCAGAACGGGGATTTCAATGCTTCTCAAACGTATAGAACAAGGATGCTCTCTGATGAAGAACTGCTAGAACAGTTACCTGCATTGCAACAGCTGCTTTACAGGCTTATTGGTTGTCAGGTAAAAGATCTAAAACCTTCAAAAAATTTCTGTTTTTGTTTTTACACCAATTTCTTAATATGTTTTCAGTTTTGCAGCCTGAAGGAGCAGGCTATAGCAACTACCTAATCCAATACGCTCTTGCATTGGTGCTTAAAGAAAGCTTCAAAATATACTGTGCCATTAATGATGGAATCATTAATCTTGTAGACATGGTTTGTAGAAAAATCTCCTTCTCTTGTTTAGTATCAATTTGCTTCTAATTGAATTTACTAAAGTAATATATCTTTGTTCTTGATACAGTTTTTTGAGATGTCAAGACATGATGCAGTTAAAGCTCTAAATATTTACAAACGAGCTGGCCAACAGGTAAAGCTCTAAAGCTATAGACTAAGTCCCAATCTTCAGTAAGCTTGTTTATTGATGTTCTTCCACTGGACAGGCTGAAAATTTGGCTGACTTTTATGAATACTGCAAAGGTCTAGAGCTAGCGAGAAACTTTCAGTTCCCGACCTTGAGACAGGTTCATTCTTAACTTTTTGTGATAAATGAATGTGAGATTGATCACCTCACAATAACTAATTTTTAAAACTTGTTTCAGCCTCCTCCTTCTTTTCTTGCAACAATGGAAGATTATATTAAAGAAGCACCTCAAAGTGGTTCTGTACAGAAAAAGCTGGTACGGAGTTTTACTTTCATCATATTTGGTTGTTGTTGATCAATATAAGTCTTCTTATGATGTTGTGTTTTTTACAGGAGTATCAAGAAAAAGAGGAGGAAGAAGAACAAGAAGAAGAAGAAGAGCACTTGGCTCAGCCAGAAGAAGATAAAGAAGCCGAAAATCAAAATGAGAACACCGAAGGAGACCATCCGCTTATCGAAGAAGAGGAAGAGGACAATGGAAAAATAGAAGAAGAAGATGCTAAACCTTCTTTCCTGATAGACACTGATGATCTGCTGGTGAATCTTCTTCTACAAGTCATTATGTGTGCCAATATCTCTTTTGGTCAAAGTCTTAACCTTTTCTTCTCCTTTACAGGGACTGAATGAGATAAACCCTAAAGCCGCAGAGATAGAGGACCGCAACGCATTGGCTCTTGCAATATATCCACCAGGTAGCAAAAATTTGATTCTTGACCAAAAGTCCAAAACTAAAGACTTTCTGTGATTGGTGAAATTTTTTGGTATTGGTCTCTGCAGGTCATGAAGCTCCAGGCCCATCAAACAGTTTAAGCTTAATAGAAACCGGTGGATCCGGTTGGGAACTGGCACTGGTCACTCCTCAGAACAACAACAATAACAACAATCCTCGCCCTGTGCCAAACACTAAACTTGTAATTAAGTCTAACACCGCATATATTTGAATATGAAACTCTCTGTTTCGTCTACTCTGAAGACTCACATGGGACTGTTATCTCTTCTTGTATTTATAGGCAGGAGGATTTGACAATCTATTACTTGACAGTCTGTACGAGGATGATTCAGCTAGAAGACAGATCCAGCTAACCAATGCGGGCTATGGACATGGTGGCATAGACACAACAGCACCACCACCAAACCCATTCGAGATGCAACAAGATCCTTTTGCAATGTCCAACAACATTGCTCCTCCAACTAACGTTCAAATGGCAATGCAACAACAACAGCAACAGATGATGATGATGCATCAGAGTCCCTACAATTACACTACTCATCCTCAGGATCATCATCATAATCATCATCATCATCAGTTCTCAGCAGGTCCTTCTCCTTCTAATCCTTTTGGAGACCCTTTCCTTGCCCTCCCACCTCCCCCAGGCTCAGCTGGTCCGCAACAAAACAACCATCATCATATGCTCCTATAGAGTTACAACATCTCAGTTAATAATGTTTTTGTTGTTGGATTCAGTGTTTAATTTGGTTATATATATTCAGGGTGTTATTCTTTCATTCTTTCTACTAGACAACTATACTCACTGATGATTTCTTAGCCATTTTTTGCCCATAAATTATGTGTCTTTTTGTCTCTGCCTAGATATTTTTATCTTTCAGCACTTGATTGCCTTTTACTTTTTACCTGCAATTACTTAAATACGTAAAAGTAAGTAGTCTTAGTTGTGATTAAGAACGATAAAAACGGGTTCTGTCATGTTTTATTTCAAATACAAGTAGGTGATCTACTAAGCAAAAACATTAAGTACTAGCTAGTACATGAACCAAACCCAAAAATAGCAAATAATATTAAGGACACTAGGAAGAGAGTGGAGCAGGCCAGTAAGGGAACTCAGTGGACCGTAATGGAAATTTATCTTTTGTGTAGAAGGTAGTGCTAGTTTCGGTTGCGATATCGTATACACCAAAGTTACTACCCACATAATAGATGGAGTTACGCCTGAGTCCAGGAGACGAGCTTGACGGGACACAGTATGCTTCGTTTTGTCCAAGAAAGATACAAAGATCTCCAATGTCTTCCGTGTAAACCAAATCACCGCAAATTGTATCCACTCTAAACACCAAAAACCCTAGTGTTGTTTGGAAGATTGTTTCCGCGCCCACCCGTTCGTAGTCCTGGTCGTCCTCGCTGAACCTGCAAATAAGATATCTATATGTTTCAGCATATTAAAATAATTATCAAACATATATTTAAAATTTATTACGTACCACTTGACGAGGAAATGTTCACCGGAGGGTGACTCCACCAAGTGGTCCGTTCTGGAACACCAGATGAACCCTTTCAAATCCGTCTGAAGCAACTTCCTAAGAGGGTCCGTATGATTAGTACACAGGTAGTGGAACCTTGGTTGGACATCTTTCTCCTCCTTGAAGTGGAGATCCAAGGACCACAAGTACTGTCCAGAAGGACTAAGACTGAGAAACTTTTTATTCTTCTTTGAATACACTAGACTCGAGAAAGGGTGTACAGAGCCGGAGGTATTGATGTTGATCCATCCAGAGCCAGAGTCGCTGAAGGGCTTGCACAGACTCACATCAGACCCCAAGAACTTAACCGCCACTACCAAATCTTGCTTATTTATGTCAGGAGAGTTGGATATTGCCACGTTCTGGATTCGACAACTACTAGGCAGAGGAGGTAGATGATGTTTCACCTGGTCAGATGGTGTGTTACTGACCAGCGTGAGACTTGTGGAATTATCCTCCGATTTCTCCAGGTTAACTCTATATCCATATTTATGTGGAATTCCATGGGTCATCGCCACTCGGACCTCTTCTGCGAGTCCATTGTCCTTAATCACGAGTTCATCTTTGTACTCATCATTGTAATATACTTGGTCAGTGGAACAGTGTTTCGTCGTCTTAAGGAGGTGGTCAATCAACACGTACGGGTATGTAGGCTTAGAGGAGAACATCCGAACCTTCTTATTGTGAGATCTCTGCATGCCATATTCAAGTTATCAAACAATAAGTAAGAACCAAAATGAAACCCTAGTTATTACATAACAAATATATAAGAACTTACTATGACATTTTTGCAGACAGATGGCTTCAAGAGTCGGTTGATAATGAGCTGAGACATCGTCTGCTAAAACCCTTAACTATGTTGGTGATCGGTCGTCTTTCTCTCTTCCATCTTCTCCATGTGGCTTCAGAGTAATAAAGAGAGAAGGCCTTGGCCACCAAGTTCACAATTAATACACAGAAAAATCTTAATGGAGATTGACCTTGGCTACCAAGTTTAAATAACATTGAAAATATATATAGTCTTAACAAAAAGAGAAATAATCTGAGACGGTAAAGAAAATCAAATTAATAGATAACGTTGACAGTGGACATAAACACTAACGAAAAAATAATATTAATTATGAATAGAGAGAAACTGGAGGAGGCCAGTAAGGGAATTCCAAATTCCTTAATGGAACGTCCTCTTCCGTGTAGAAGGTAGTGCAAGTTTTGGTGGTGAGATCATAAACACCAAAGTTATAGCCCACAAAATAGATGCAGTTAGGCTTGAGCCCGGGGCACGAACTGGCCTGGATACAGAAAGCCTCACTATGTCCAAGAAAGATGCAAAGATCTCCAATGTCTTCTGTGTAATACACATACTTTTCCTCCCATGATTCCTCCGCCCTAAACACCATAAACTGTGATGCCATGTGCACGAGTGTTTCCACTTTGTTGTGATTGCGCATTAAGTTGTGGCCGTACCTAAAAACACATGGAAGAACAATGTTTCACCTCTTCTTATGTGTGGTGAGCCATTAAATGCATGCCAAAAAATCTGGTCTCAAATCAAATGTGGAGTAACCTAATAGTTTATTCAAAAACAATTAATGTCTAGTAATTTATATATACCACTTGACGAGGAATTGTTCACCGGAGGGTGACTCCACCCAGTGATCTGTCCTGGAAGAGGAATTTAGCGGGGTCAACTCAGGCCCAACCGACTCAGGAATTATATCAAATAAGGGAATGAACTCGGCTTGGTCGCCTTCCTTAAAGTAGAGATCCAAGCAGCACAAGTAATTGCCTCCAGGAGCTGGAATGTAGAATCTTTGATCTTTCTTAGAATACATGAGACTCGAGAAAGGGTGTATAAACTCAGGCGAGGTTTTAATGTTGATCCACTCATGACCGGGCCTAAAGAGACTCAGCTGAGATCCCCATGACTTGACACCAACGACCCAGTCTTCATTATTATTTAGGTCACTTGAAGAGGACGCCATTGCCAGGCTCTGGATTCGGAAACCGGTAGGTAAAGGAGGTAGGTGAACGCATGAAGGTGATGATTCCTGGTCATCGATGAGGATATCTAGGGAATTTTCAGAAAGCTTGAATCCCAATCCATGATGTGAAAATCCTACAGTCATCGCATGACGGACTTCCTCCGCTAGTTTCTTATCCCTAATCAAGATGCTCGTTGTCTTTGGGACTTGAGCTGGATCACCTGTTTTGGATGTCCTAATTACGCGACCATCAGGAGAGTACTCTGGGAGGTTAAGCACGTAGTCTATCAACAGAAACGGGTAGATTGGTGTAGACGAGAAGGAGAAATCGATTGGGGCTAGTAGTTTGGCGGTAACGCTCATCTCACCATCCGTTCTGTTTGTGTGAGTTGTAGACGAGAAAAGACGAACGTTCTTGTGTCTCTACCATGTTTACGTAAGTCAAAGAAAGACAATAAGAACCAAAAAAGTTTTAAGGAAATTAAAATTAAAACCCTAATTATTATTTCGTAGCAATAGAATTCTTACGAGTAGAGTTTTGCAGACAGAGGGTTTGAAGAGTCGGTTAATAGTAAGTGGGGACATTATTGAGACCCTTAAGTATGTGCTGTGATTTTGATTTTGAAGAGCCTCTCTCGTCTTCCCCGTCTCTGTCTAGTTAATACAGAGGGTACTACGCCTTGGACACCAAATAGGGAGACATTAAATATGAATATTTAGAGGATAAATTATTTCAGGAAATAAATAATTATAATTTTCTTTTATGCCAAAGTGTCTTTTATTAATTGAGGAAAATGAATTTAAACCTAATCTTAAATTTTTGCCAAAGTGTATTTAGAGACTATAAAGTTTGAACTTTTTGTTTTTTTTTTTTTTTTTCTATGGCCTTTCTCTCTTGTCTTGCACCCGTACGGTATGAAAAAAAGACAAAGAAAGTGAAAAGGGAACACAGGCAAATTTACCTTTAGTGAGTTCTACTTCTCGATGAACGGGAGTCTTTAAAAGCTTGGTGACGAAACCAACAATCGAGGCTCAGTTGCTTTGAATCTCATCAGCCTCTAAACACATCAGAGAGGTTTTTCGGTTTCAAACCATACTTGATCACACGAACATCGGGGAGAGTATGAAATTTACAGTTACCCTTGATCACACGAACATCGGGGAGAGTATGAAATTTACGGTTACCCTATACGTATATTTGTTGGGGTCGAAGAAATGAAAATATCATACATACATCGTAAATATAATTAAAACATTGATTGAAAGAAAACATTGGATTTTAAATAAAAGCATGGGAAAGCAAAGACAACGATAACATTAGTGAAGCTAACACTTGTACAAGAGCCATATTAATTAATTAGTAGCTAGTGGAGAGGAAGCCGGAGGAGGCCAGTAAGGGAATTCTAATTTCCTCAATGGGTTTTCATCTTCTGTGAGGAACATAGTGCAAGTTTTGGTGGTGAGATCATAAACACCAAAGTTATAGCCCACAAAATAGATGCAGTTAGGCTTGAGTCCAGGGGAGGAGCTAGCTGGGACGCAGAAAGCCTCACTATGTCCAACAAAAATACAAAGATCTCCAATGTCTTCTGTGTAGATCATCTTCTTACTGTAACTACTCTGTTGCTCTTCCTCTCTAAACACCATGAACTTTTTTGTTACATGATACAGTGTGCAGTTGTCAATGTCCTCGAAATCCTCGCCATACCTGCAAAGACATTATAGAGCCAATATGATACTCAAGCAAAAGATTAGAGATTTTGGTAATATATATGTTTATAAAAATAAAAGCTATATATAATTTTAATTAAATACTATACCACTTGACGAGGAAAAGTTGGCCGGTGGGTGACTCCACTAGGTGGTCCGTCCTAGAACATGTACTCACGTCCGCCAACTCTTGAAACACCGATTCTGGAAGATCGTCAAAATCCAAGTCGAGGAAATCGATTTGGTCGTCGTCCTCTGAATAGGGATCCAAATAGCACAAGATGTTGCCACCGGGAGTTGGAATGTAGAACTTTTTATCTTTCTTGGAAAACATGATGCTCGATAAAGGGTTTATATTCTGAGGCTTGGTTTTGATGTTGATCCATTTACGGCTGCCAAAAGGCCTGCACATACTCAACTGAGATCCCAATAACTTGACAACGACTACCCAATTTCTATCTCGTTTAGGTAAAGAGGACATGGCCAGGCTTTGGATTTGGGAACCTATGGGTAGACGAGGTAGATAAGCGGTCACCTCTTCTAGTTCGGGGTCAGTGGGCTTGTAAAAGATGACAGGAGAACATAAACTATCGTCGTAGTTGTCACAAAGCTTGACTCGCAATCCATCACGTGAAAATCCGACAGTCATGGCATCACAGACTTCCTCCTTGAGATCCTCGACCTTAATCAAGACTTCCTTTTCATTGGAACAGTAATCGCTTGTTGTTACGCGACCATCTGGGGAAGAGTTTGGGTTGTTAAGGATGTAGTCAATCAACAGAAACGGGAAGGCTGGTTTAGACGAGAAGGGCTGATTCACTTTAGTACTCATCCGACTCCAACCCGTTCGTGTGAGTCGCAAATGAGAACAGACGAACGTTTGTTTGTCTCTGCCATATATATATGTTCAAGTAGTCAGAGACAACGTACAAAAACAAAAAGTTAAAAGAAAAAGCAAGAGAAGCTTACGTACGAGGAATTTTTTGCAGACAGAGGGTTTGAACATTCTGTTGATTATAAGCTGTGACATCGTTGAAACTCTAAACTATGTTTGTGTTTCGTCATCTCTACCTATGTCAGACTTATTATTATAGAGATATAGTATCCTTGCTCACCAAGAACTCGCTATAAATGCATATTTAATTAGGGAATATTTTATAACTGTTGCCTAAAAACAAAGATCAGTAGAGAAAATGTCCTTCATACATAGGTTAAATTTTTATTTTTCCTTTTTCGTCAACAGAAATAGGTCATTGTATTAATTGTACTGATTCTATAATTTGGAAATAAAATATATTGAATCAAAAATAGGCCTTTTAGATGAATAGAAGAAGTTACAAAATAAAAAAGATTGATGTCACTCTAGAAGCTGGACTGCACCAATAGAAGGAATGTTTTCCCTCAGTTTTTGAGTCAACGCGACACGAACAGTCATGACTCCAGCAGCTGGTCCAGTGAGCCGAACCTTGACTATGTAACCATCGATCTCAACCAGCTCAAGCCCCCCACCGCCCGTACCGGATAGGAACGGCCTTAGCTCAGAGAGAACCTAAATTAAAAAACAGACCAAAATGGACCATTCAGATCGATTTCAAAACCAAGGGGCTAAACCAAAAACAACTAAAACTTTTAAAAATCAAACCTTTTCAATGTTCTCATCGTTCAGCTCTAAACCCCCTGTCCCGGATTCAAGAAACTGCTCAACGGACATGATCTCTGGAATCTTGTCTCGAAGACGACTCTCGATTCCCATCTTCAACGTCATGGATGAGCTAGGACACGAACCACAAGCTCCTTGCAGCTTTAGAACCACCACAAGTCCGTCGATTTCGTGCAACGCCACGTTTCCTCCGTCAGCCATTAAAGATGGTCGTACTTCGTCTAACACTCTCTCCACATTCTCTTCCGTTAACGGCATGACGCAGCTCACGTGACCAATTACTACAACGAATAACAAGAATCTAAATCACAACTAGAGTTCTAAAGAGATTGGTCTGGTTCTTGTAAACCAAATACGAATTCAAGCATTTACCTGATCGTTTTCTCAAAGGTCGAGTTTGGTGAACTAAAGAAACATGTATTCTTTGAAATTGACCTCTGAGGAATGTACTGCATTTGGAAGAGACTCCTAAACTATCTGAAATTGCATTCTAACACAAGCGAAAGAGGAGAAGAAGAAATCATGAAAAGCAGTCATTTTTTTTTTGGTGAAGCTCAACGAACTGATAACAATTACCTTAGAATTGAGAAGCGACGAGCGGAAATTAGGATTCTTCTCTGCTGATGAGAGCGAGAGGTTCATCGTTGTAATTCGGGTTTGACCCGAAACCGAACCCATTTGCATCCTCACTTTTCTGCTTCACGATCGAGAAAACTTCCAGAAACTATGAAGAAAGGCTGAAGATTTGGGGAATTCGGGTGGATTGAGAACAGAGTAGGAAAAAAAGAGAGAACTTTTCATTGGTGGATGATGATGATACGTCTTGGAGATGATTTCATTTTGTGGCTAAGATTTTTTACTTTTAATAAATAATACGACAAACTCTCAAAAAGACAAAGAAATATATAATATATAATTAAAAAATATATAAAATAAAATACTTGATTATTGTTATAAACAACAAACTGATTCATCGGCTAATCTAGTTTTTGTTTAGGCTGATGATTCAAGAACATAAATTTTGCCATAATCAGATTGATTAATCAAATAACCAAAATCCAATTGTAATTAACGCACTTTTTTATTCATGAATACTAAAATTACAAAACAATAAAACTGGTCAGAGTCCAGTTTGGAGGAACCCAACTAACTTTGTGTTCACCATGTGATGTTTCTCGGGAACATTAAGTATACTTTTAATAAAGACAGTTTTAAGATTTTTTTTTTAAAAGATGAGGATGATGAATGCAAGACTTTTTAGGTTCAAGCTTTCCAATTTGAAGGAACCACAGATACTTGGAGTATTCCTTTCCATTCTTTGCCGGGGTTCACTGTGATCGGTTTCTCGACAGCCGCGCTTTCCACCGTTACAAAACGCTTATAGTCTTCAACTCCCAAATCTGACACTTTCTTGTCCCATGGATTCCACACCACTGCACATTTATAATTACAAATGATCCATCATTAGTACTACTAAAACAATCTGTTTCTGTGTCTATGCATTTATGTTTACAAATTTATGTCTTTAGTTACCGGCATCAACTTGTCCCTCCTTGTGTACCACAATAGTCTTCTTTTTCTTGTGGTCTACGATTCTTAGTTTATTTGGAGTGCTTAGGTACAACCTGTCAAGCTTTTTTCAAGGTGTGTGTTTTTAGTGATGGAATAGAATAACGGTTGAAATTTGAATTGACAAAAGGACAAAAGGCTTACTTGAGCATTGAAAGTTATAACTTTGTCATGATCAGTGAAACGTGTTCTGTTCTTTTGTTGGTCAAGATAATCCAAGTTGTGCAATCCTTCGACATGGATTTCACTGAACACAACAAGCAGCTGATATAACTATACTAACACCAACACAACCAAAAAACAAGAACTGCGTATATGACTCCTTGGATTACCTGATATTGGAAACAGCGAAATAGGGGTGAAGAGCAAATGTGAAGTTAAATGGTTTTGTATCAGAATTCTTAACACGAGATGTCAACGTCAAATCTCCATCATGTCCCAATGCTACTCTCAGTCGGTACTCAAACCTGAAATGGTTACAGAGTTCAAAACAGTCTCCAGATTCTATGCAAAATATTCCTAAGCAATATATCTGAAAAAATGTTGAAAAAGAGAGAGAGGTTTCAGGAAACTTACTTATGAGGCCAGATCTTCAAATCATCATTGGATGATCTTAGGATCAGGTCAACATGAGCAGAAGAAATTGATGGCAAAGGAGGTGGTTTAGCCTCAACTTCCCAGAACCTCTGCCTTACAAATCCATGTGAGGGAAGTGGACCGGTGTTACTATACTGCACTTACACAAAAACATTCCATTAACAAAACAAATTGTACCATTCAATAATTACAAAGAGAAGAGTTTTTCTTTAAAACACATACTTGTGGAAACAATACTGGAATTCCTCCACGAATCGGTGTTGGAGGCTGGAATATAGCCTGCACAATACGTAACACATGATTTTAGATCTCTCCGCTTAATCATATGATCTTAAAAGGAGATAGAGTGAATCTGAAGTTACCTTGCTACTCATAACAAGTAACTCCTCTCCCTTCTCATTCTTCCAAGAACTCACTTGACCTCCATACAAGTAAACCTGAATAAACAAAGAAAATCAAAATCTTCATCATGCAATATCCAAAAGATGTTTTGAAACCAAGTTTTTGATGTAAATGACATTCAACAGATCTAATAAACCAAACCGAAAGAGTACCTCAGCAGATCGGTTACGACGGTCGCGGATGATGATCTTGTCAAGACCATTGATGCCTTTAGTCCTCTCATTGGGACGATGCTCGATGGCCGTGGCTACTACTGCAACCACCAGAGCCCAGAAGAAGATCACAAATCCGATATTTCCCTTATTCCCCATCATGAAACGTCTCTCCTTTGCTTGTTGAAAATTATTGAAGATTTTCTCTCTTCTTTTTTTATAAATATGACAAAGGAAAGAAATTTTAAAAAAGTCAACGAGTGAGCCTAAAAACAGGAAATGAAACTTAGAAATCCAATAATTTAGTTTAGAAAAGACTTTATTTTCTTGACCAATAAAAGAAGGGAAAGTCTTAATTTGTCCACTTTTTATTTTTTGCTCAAAAGTAGTCATAAGCCACATCTCTTGACCTTATCGACGCCAATCTTTACTTTCTTGTTAACGAGTCCATTCAATATTTTTTTTTTGTTAAAACGAGTCCATTCAATATACACCAACCTTTCATTTTCTTTCGATTTTTCTCTGTTTTTGACAACTATATTTAGATGTTTGAAACTTGAAATATTTTGTATTTATCAGCAACAATAAGCTTTACTTCTAATTAAGTTCAACTAAACTAGAATAAAATCCATGGCAAGGAAATTAGATACATAAAGTTTAAAATAAAATGTGTTTCTAGATATTATAACTAATGAGGATGTATTGGATTAAAGATTTTAATTGACTTTTTGGAATTTAGGAAATTTTATATTTTGAGATATTTGAACGAGTTTTTAGGAGATTTGGTGGAATTGGTAGAATTTTTAATTTAAAATTACAAAATAGTTTGTGACTTGGTGATATTTTTTTTTTGGTAGGATGTGACTTGGTGATATAAAGATGACATGAGTACAATTTTTTAAAGAAAAACCAATAGAAAATCAATTTACATATATTTCATGTGTATTTTCATTAAATATTTTAATACAACGAATAATTACAAACTCATATTTCATTAACTTTTTTGAAATTAACTAAGAATTATTGTTTTTTCTTTGACAAAAATTTGTTTTTCCGTTCGACCTATTATGTCTAATTAGAAACATAAGGTGGTAACTTCTCCTTTGAATTTTTTTTTTTGACAGCAAAAGACTCCATATATCATTAAGCAGGTCTTCTCCTTTGAATTTACAATGTGAGTTCATTTATTCCAATGTTGATCTCATGGTTTCAAGAAGTTATTGTAAAGGAGAAAAGTAAATTGCCCGGTAATGTTTTATGTTACCAACGTAGCTTAGAGTTACAATATCATGAATCATGTGGCGAATGGTGCAATGCATAGTTTATGGAAGAAAACAAAAAAGAGATGGAAGTCGTGATACTAATTATCTCATGACTCATGTGTTGGGAAATTAGTAACTTTCCTAGATTTGTTGCTATTCAGTCTAGGCCTATAAATCATTGCTCACAAAAGTGGTCCATCAGGCCTATAAGTCCACTATGGGTAAAACAGTCTTTTACACAGAGACCTCTAAAAACTAGGGTTCTTAATTTTCTCTTTGAGCTTCGTTCATCATCGTATATAACAGCAAAACAATTCGATCGTTACTTTTTCCAGAAATCTCTCACAATCGCCATCGATTTTAGCAGACATTAAAGAAGATGGGAGTATTCACATTCGTGTGCAAGAATGGCGGCGGCGCGTGGACTGCTAAGCAACACGAAGGAGACCTTGAAGCTTCCGCTTCTTCTACCTACGAGCTCCAGCGTAAGCTCGTTCAGGTAGCTCTCTCCGCCGATTCCTCCGGTGGCGTTCAGTCTTCGTTTTCTCTTGTCTCTCCTACCTCCGCCGTATTCCAGGTATAAGTCTCTTTTGCTTGATCAAGCTTACATTTTGGAATCACTTTGTGAGAATCAGAGCTTACATTTTGTGATGAATGAGATTCATTCACACTAATTATGGTCGTTGATCTCTGATCCAAGTGTCATGGCTCAACTTTAGTTCTCTTATCGTTGCATCAAATGTGATTTTGCGTCAATGTAGCTTGTTTTATAGCTTAAGAAGTTCACACTGAGACTTAAAGGTTACATCTTTATAATAGCTAATCACTCAATTTGCTTTTGGCTGCCTTCTCTGTTTTAGTAGGTGACTTTAGTTTACATGGCTCTGGAAACTAGTACAAATCAATGTTAGTGTAGAATTCTTGTTATTTTGCATTGTAGTTTCTTGTTATTTTTTTATCAATGGGAATCAATTTCTTGTGGCGTAGGTGATTGTCGGTGGTGGTGGTGGTGGTGGAGGATTCGCTGCTGGAGGAGCTGCCTCGGGTGGAGGTGGTGCGGGTGAATCTGCAGCTGCTCCTAAGGAAGATGAGAAGAAGAAAGAAGAATCAGAAGAGGAAGAAGGAGACTTCGGATTTGATCTCTTTGGTTAAGATGGAAATAGTATTTTGGAGGTGTTAGTTTGAGCTTCCATTTTTGTGGGGTGTTTCTTCCATTGTCATGTGATATGCTGCTACTCTGTTTTCACTTCCATTTCATGAGTCTCTGATGTAATGACAAGTTTCTCTTTTGATCATATCATACTTTGGCTGAAGAATGAAAAAATAGTCTCAAAATAGTGTTGAAATGTGATAAATTTTTGTAGCCAATGAAATTCGAGGAATAAGAGGGGCCATTTCAGGATAAGCAGGTAATGTTTGGCGTCAATTATACTGTCTAGAAAGTTTCGATTGCCTTGGTGATAATCCACAAACCAGTTACATATATCCCAAGTAAAACTACTGATACATTTATGAATATTTACAGAACATGCCACACAATCATCACAACGGCTATGATAAAAGTCCAAGTAAACAACAACATCAATGTCCTTCATAATCAATCTAAAACCTTCCCAATGAATATCCAGCTTTCATGAAAAGCGAATTGTAGAGTAAATCTGAGTCAGCCCACTGTCTTCAAATCAGAAGAGACACTCATCATCTCAATTCTTGGTTTTCTGCAGAAACAACCACCAATATTTGTCACTCTTGATCCATATACCAATCATCTTTAAGTCTATTCAGTCTTTTGCTACCACACATTTATCTATGCACATGCCATTCTTCAGAAATTCACCCATCATTTTTACCGTACAAAGTCTATTTGATTGTGTACTTCATCCTGTTTCAGCTTACATAATCCGTTATAACAGAAAAGCCTTTTTGTTCCTAAAAGATTGTGATTGTTCACTTAACTTTTGAACCTGACTAACGTTGAGGAATTTCATACCTTCGATAAAGGGCTGCTCCAAACGAGTAACAATATGCTTCCCATATGTGTATTTCTTCAATGCAGATGCATGCATTCTGACTCTGCTGAACAATGTTGCACGCTGATCAGCCGTACATGTCTCGAATATCTTCTGCACCACATAGTTTCCATACTGGTCCTTCATCATCATCTGTAAAAGATGGCTTACAGTTAATATCCAATCAGTTTAAGAAGAAAATGTATCAGGTTTGGTCCATAAGCTCTCACCAATAGACTATTATAGCTCTCATCAGGCCCTGCAATCTCTTTGATGATTAGGTCCCGCTCAATTCGACCACCATACTCCAGACACTTCTCTATAACATTTGACGCAAATTTATGTAGGCTAAGCTGCACGATGTGCCCTGATAGTTTTCTCACGATTCTCTCCCTTTCTTCAGATGTCCCTTTCTCCAAGACATGCTGTCAAATAGCAACATTGGTTATTACTGGTTATTCCGTTTAATTTGACTTCAGTTGTAAATGATTTGTAAGTTTTAAATGGCATGACATACCTGTGTGACATAATTACCATATTGGTCCTTGGAAAGGACGCATACTGATTCCAGTATCTCCTCGGTAATGAACCTACATTGATGGTCATGCGAGCAACGCTCCAAAAGCCTCTACAGAAGGGAAAAGAAAATGTGAGGCCGCATTGAGTAACAATGAAAGAGACCAAGAAATTGAGAAGGAAAAAACAATCGTTTAATTAAGTTTTTAGTGTTGCCAAAAAAAATTTAAGTTCTCAGTACCTGTATGACACGGCAGCCATAAGGATGCATAGAGAGCGAGGAAACTTGACCACGGAATGCATGTAACATGAACCCAACTCTGTCTGCCGGGATGTTCTCGATGCATTTCTGGATCACATGGTTTCCATTCTGGTCCCGAACACATCTCATGACCTGCCCGTCAAGTTCACGTGCTAAACGAACTCTCTGATCAGGTTCTATGACATCAAGAGCCTAACACCACAACAAAGTTTCACTCATGAGTCAATTGTTTTAACAAAGTCTAAGTACAAACAAAATGTAGCGATTTCTGTACCTTTTGTATCACGCGACAACCATACATCTGCAGACTAAGTGGTACTATCTGTCCCATGAGTTGATCAGCGAGTTCCTTTCTCTGTGCTGAGTTTCCATATTCGAAAAACTGAAACAGGCAACGGAAATAATCAATAAGAGGGATAGAGTCTGATGGACAAGACACTGTAAGAAACAGGATCAAGTAGGAACAGACCTTCTGAATGACATAATTGCCAAACACATCTGTCATGAGTTTGCAAGCATGAGGAAGAATTTCCCTAAAGACAGCTGCTTTTTCTTCTGGTTTACAATTCTCAAGCTTTTGCTGAATAAATCTGCTCCCATGTTGATCCGCACTGAAAGGAAACAAGATTTTACTCAAGTTTGTTATCATATAATTGGAAAGAAACCTAAGACAAGACTCGTGAAAGAAAAGATAAAAACTTGCCTGAATTCAACAATGTGTCCTGTGATGTCAGATAGATCAAACCTCCTACCTTTCCCAGATTTCAGCTCTTCAAGAAAATTGCACAATCGAGGGCCATTGGCACCTTCTAAGCTCCCTTGTGGCTGCCATCCAGGATATTCCTCAACATAGGGAACAGGACCTGGTGAAAGAGGAGGGCCGAGCTGTGTAGGCAGATACTGCACCATAATGCCCATATTTGGCTGGATTCCATAATAATTAACACCCATTCCCGTTCTACCCATATTAGAGTTACTTGGCCCTCTTATTTGTCGAAGAAACTTTGGATCATCTTTCTGAGACTCAGGAGCATTTGTGTGGTTCCTAGGACCCAGCGGTTCCATCTGCCCAAATGACTGTTGACAGTACTGCATATACATAGGATCTGGAAAAGAAAGTTGTCCTGGTGGAACATAGAGCTTCTCCGCATACTGCATTTCACCTCCGTGGACTACATTTCCTGCACTTGGCCCAGATAATTGAGGAATGAAATCTGGACTGACAATAACTGGAACAGAACCATGGGAAGGGTATCCAGGCATAAACTGTGGGATCATGTTGGTGTATGGTCCATAACCATACTGAGGAGAATAAACAGCAGGAGACTGCATGTTATAGACATGAGCCGGTGAAGTCATATAAGCCGTTTGGGTAGCAGTATAAAGCAGAGGCGGCGTAAAACCGGAAGACTGAAGTACAGGCTGACCATCACCCGAGAACTTGTAAGGTTGTCCATAATGAAACTGTCCGGTCCCGATAACTGCATCGTTTACACCAGGAGAACCCATTTTGCTGCCACTTTGAATCCAGGTTGCATTATTTTGCTGTTGATGCAGCTGCCTTTCTGGCTGTGCATACCTTGGTTCTCGAGGGTATTTAGCCATTCCAGGTCCGGATATGCTAGTATTCTTCATTTTAGAGATAATAGACGATTCATCTGGATTTTTCTCATTGCCAATGGAAGCTCTTGCTGTTGAATCAGCATTATCTTTAACCATGACATCATCTGACATCTCCGAGAAGTTACCACTCTCATCCGCTGTGTTCACTTCCCCATTTGAAGAGTTAGACCGACTATGTTGAAGGGTCGGCCCAGAAGAATTATCATCCTGCGACGAAAAAAGATTCAGTAGTAACTTATTGTAGGACTAAACAATGGCATTTCACTACTCACAACCAGATAATTAATGAGAGGGGAAAAAAAGCGAAGCCTAACCTGCCTGAAATCAGCCAAACTTTGAGAACCAGGCGAAATGTCTAACCCATTAGTCCTATCTGAAACACTAGTAACAGATAACTGTTGGGAGCTTTCATCCTCAGACACTTCCTTATGAGTAGGAAGTTTACCTTGGGACAAATGAATGGGAGAATTAACTTTATTCAATCCCTGATTACTTCTAAATCTACCTACACGATTGTCTATGAACTGATAATCAGTAGGGTAATAAATCGGTGGGGAAGGTATGCGATTAAGGTTGTTTTTAGAAGAAGGGTGAGTGGCCACAGGCTCCTCAAACCCGTAACTCGGTAGCTTCAAGTTATTATAACCCGAGCCGCCCTGTCGTGACAATAGATTATCGACAGCTAGAAAAGACCCCTCCATGCTCGGTGGGGCACTGCCACTTCGATTAGGAACAGAAACCTTTCTAGAATTAGACCATCTTTCATTGCTACCAGACATCCTAATAGGATTCTCAGTTGCCATTTCTTCAAGGATATTGCTCTTCTACACCAATAAGGGGAGCTTTAACACAAGTACCTGAAGAAAAATTTACCACCATTGAAATGAAAAAAACTATCACAAAAAGATGAAATTTAAACAAGCTAATCCATCTACCATTGAATAAAGCAAATGGAACATAGGTTCTAATCAGAATCTCTACCATTTTCCTCAAGGTTTTCACATCCCTTCCAGTTATCAAATTCCGCAGAAAGAGTACTAAAAGAGTATAACTTTATAGTAAAGAACACAAAACAAGAACAAAACTTTGAAGCCTATGAAATATATACATGACCATGTAAATGGTCCTCGTACTAGAAGAAAAAAACAGAGAAACCCAAAAGAGAGGCAGAGAGATAGAGAGAGAAGAAACAGAGTGTAAGTAGAACAGAGAAGAAAAATCTAGACTTTGTAATCCCAAAAAAAAAACCCTAGAAATGAATGAACTTTTTGTACATAGCGAGCAGAAGTGAGAAGAGGGAGAGTGATTTGACTTACCCAGAAGGCGATTATTGAGGAGAGGAAGGAAAAAAGATTCACTGTGGAGAAACCCTAGATTCTGGTGCTCAGAGAGACAAGGAGGAGAGAGAAATGGGTGTAAAAAGTGACCATCTTTGGCTAAGTCAGTGGGATTTTTAAATGTTTGGATTTTTTTCCGGTAATGGCAAAAATACTTCCACCATTACGATCCTTTCTTTTTCCGCGAAGTTTATGGAGTTTGACTTTTTTTACATTATCGGTTAACCAAAATTATTATTTCTTTCTTTTTAAATATATCATTTTTTAATCTTTTTTCTATGTTCTAGAATTGTTTTTTTTTCTTTGGTGATTAAGTCATGGTTAGTCTAACTACAACTAACTTATTAATATGTGACAAAATATCGTTTAAAGCTATTAACTTAATAGTAATTTTTTAGATTAACTTATAATAGTTTTTAAAAATATGTGTGAGAAAATGTGGAAACGTCATTTCTTTGAAAACTAAAAGCTTTTTATGAAATTTATTATAAATGTTAAATGAATTACAAAAAAAAATATTAAAAACATGAGTAAAATTTTTTTTTTAACTGAGTCATTTTTATTTATTAAAACACCAAGAATAATTGAAACACGTACAAACAATTTATATATTATCAAAGTTTAACAATTTATTGAGAAAATAGAAGTGACAAAAACTCAAAAGGTTGAACAATTACTAAAAAAAGCGGGTCTGATTTTTTGCAAAAGAAAATGGGATTCATAACTAAAACCGGACATATACCCAAACCCGATAAATTTCTAACCTTTTGACTTTATTTATGTTTCCAAAGAGCCCACACACAAAATTATAGAAACTCGCACTCACATTTTGCTGATTTGCTCTGTCCAAAATCAGAAAGAAAATGGTGACAACTAAAACCTGAGACGTATGGAGTTTAAACATGATGATCCATTACAATCATTTCTCATCTGATGAAACAGATTTTGAATTACTGGTGAGTGTGCCTATTTTTCTTAATCTTTCTTTTGGTTAGTTTTTACGTGAGGCTTTTTTTCTCATGATTTATAATTTGGATATGATTAATAGTGATCTTGTATAGATTTGATCAGATACATATCAAAATTTAGTGGTTGTAGGAGGTAATATTACACTTATAGGTACACTCTGTACTATTTAAATTTTCGTTTTTGTTGGTTTTATACTAATCCAATTGATTTTCCTAATTTTTAGATGTGAAAATTATTAAAACTAAAAGTCTTTTAGAAAGTTATATTGGTTGACTTTGGTCATACGTTAAACTACTGTGAATCCGATGTTATGGAATGATTCACTTATGTGGCTTAACATAAAATCCAAGCAGATGTTATGTATCTATCTTCAATTTAATTTAATTTTTTCAAAGGGAAAAAAAAGAACTACTATCCAATAAATGGAAATTTCTTTGTATTTGTACTTGAATAAGAAATTTCCACAAGTCATATACATTAATACATACAAAGTACATCCACACAGAAAAAAAATAAAAATAAAACGATACTCTACTTGCACAAAGAACTTTCCATTAATCATATACAAATACAAATACAAAGAATTCTTATGGAAGCCATATATTCGTTTATGGTTAATGCATTTTCAGAAGATAAAACAAAATCCCATTTTCACTTGCCGAATCATCGTCATTCATGATAAGTGGATTAAGTGATTCATTGCCGTCACCCATTACCGTCCAAATTGGCCAATGATAAGACAGTTCAAAGAAGAATATTCTGTTTTCATCTCACTATTTCGTACAACTCTTTATAAGTCTACTAATCTTTTGATGCATTTGTACACTTTGGCTCATGAGTCATGATGCTAAGAGACGCCCTCAAACTTCGATGAACCATTCTTTTGTCCCATTCATTTCCTTTTTTCCGGTCAACGGCCTATACGGGCCGGCCCATTTGGCCCATTAACCTCACAAAGAGGATCTGGGGTCCTTGATGCTTAGGCTAAAGTTGTTTAGAAGAAAAAAACTGTGCAACCAACAACGACGAAAAATAGTCAACAACAAGGAAAAATAGGCAACAACAAGAGCAACTAATTTTTTTTTAAAATAAATTTGTCCAAAAGCAGATCTTCCGCCGTCGTGGAGGGAACAAACCGGCGACTGTCATGAAGGAGCCAAGTGCGATGACAGATCTAAATTCGTTTATTTTGAGACCCACTTGGACTATTTTTCTTTTCCATTGCCCATTCATGTCAAAATGAATATATTAAATTTAAAAAAAGAGTCGTGAAGCCAACTCAAATCCAAAACAAAATAGAAATTTAGATTCTTTGGGAACTTGTATATCACTAGTTTAATTATTGGAGAAAATAGAAAGCCAGTGTTTAATCACTGGAGGAGAAGGAAGACTTGTTGGTTTCACCAAAAAGTCTCTTCTTCAATTCTTTACATTTCAAAGTTCAAACCCAAAAAAAAAAGAGAGAGAAAACGAATCAGAGTATAAAAGAAACCAAAACGATCTGAATCGTCTTCCACTTGTGTTTATGTTTTTTTAAAGAATAAACTTTTTTTCTTTTCTCTTAAAGCAAAAAAGGAAACTTTCCCTCTCGAGTCTCTCTCTTTTTGACCTCACATTCGTTGAATCACACTCTTCTGGGTTCTATTTTCTTGCCCTAGATCTTAACGAGGAGGAGGAGGAGGATCAAATTCGACCTTTTCGAGATCTGGGTTCGGACAAAGATTCTGTCTTTCTGCATTCTACCGTTTCGATTCAGCTCCTCGAGGTAACTGTATTTTGACTCTTTTTGACTGATAGTGCTCGTTACAGTGTCTTTTTGTTGCTGGAGAGTTGAATCTGGGGATTTGTAGCTTTTGATTTTGGTTTTGTCGGAGAAAATTTCACGAGACTTAGACTTGTTAAGCTTGTACGTGTGCTAGAGAGTGTTTGTGAGTAATGTCCTGCACTTCCCGAATCACGGGAACAACGTGCATTTTGCTTATTGCTTCTGTCTTTTGTTCTTAGAATTAGTTTGAAACATTACTTAATATCTCCGTGTTTTCCGGAAATTCTAAGAGTCTTTGTTCTTCATCAGGCAATGCCAATCTAAAAGGAGTATATGCAGAGGTGAAAAAAGATTCAATCTTTGTATGCCTATCAATTAGAAAGGAGAAGGGAGGTGTTAGATTGGTTTCAATGGGTGAGACGAAGAAGATTTTGCAAGGGCCACGTCACCACACATCTCTGAAGAAGCCCTTATGGGTTGTTTTGTCAGTTTCAGTGACTAGCATGCTTCTCATCTGTACTCACATGTATCCAAGACAGGGCAAGAGCTCCTCGTGTCATGGCCTTGGTAGCACCAGAGGCTGCGAGGATGCTCTCTCCAAGTGGCTACCTGTTCATGTCAGGAAATTCACTGATGAGGAGATAGCAGCTCGAGCAGTGGCCAGAGACATACTAAGAACGCCTCCCTTCATAACCGAAAACTCAAAAATCGCTTTCTTGTTCTTGACTCCCGGTACTTTGCCATTCGAGAAGCTATGGGATGAATTTTTCAAGGTAACAAACACCTCGATGCATTGTCCAAGTTTTAACTACATTTCATTTATTTATTGCGGGTTTTTGGTGCTGTGAAGGGTCACGAAGGGAAGTTCTCGATTTATATCCACCCGTCAAAGGAACGACCAGTTCACATCAGCCGTCACTTTTCTGATCGGGAGATCCACAGTGATGAGGTCACTTGGGGAAGGATTTCTATGGTTGATGCCGAGAAGCGGTTACTGGTTAGCGCTCTTGAAGATCCTGACAACCAACACTTTGTTCTTCTTTCAGAGAGGTAATGATTTAAATGTTGCTTAAATGTCTTACTCAAGATTTTCTGCACTAACCAAATCACATCAAATATAATTTGTGTGCAGTTGTATTCCTTTGCATACTTTTGACTACACCTATAGATATTTGCTGTACTCCGGTGTTAGCTTCATTGAGAGGTACATTACTTCTTAAAACAAGAAACAAAAAAGTTTGATTTCTTCATTAGTACTCACTGACACAAGTTTCAATTATCTCTCTGTTTCTCAAGTTTTGTAGATCCTGGTCCACATGGGACCGGTAGACATATGGAACACATGCTACCAGAAATCGCCAGGGAAGATTTTAGAAAGGGTGCTCAGGTGAAGACAAGCTTTAATCTCTAAGAGCTTGTTTTAATCAGTTTTGCTGCTACTGCGATAAAGCAAAACAAAATTGAGTTTTTGTCACTTTTTGTTGTGTAATTTTTCTCTTTTCTTGTTGCCAGTGGTTCACAATGAAGCGACAACACGCGATTATAGTGATGGCCGATGGTCTTTACTACTCAAAATTCCGCGAGTATTGTGGAGTAAGTTTGTCATGCAGCTGAACATTTTTGGTTTTCATATCGTAGCTTCTTGATCTCGGATCTTTTGATATATAACTCAATAATAGTTTTCGTTCTCTTGCTTTTGAGTTCTGATTCTGACATTAAGTTTCTATAAATTTCAGCCTGGAATAGAGGCCGACAAGAACTGCATTGCTGATGAACATTACTTGCCAACATTTTTCAATGTGAGGCTATTCTTCTTCACAACCCATCTTTTGCAATCCTTTAAGCCTTCTTGATGCTGAAAAGTATATATTTGCTGGCTCTTCTTACAGATGATTGATCCCATGGGGATCTCAAACTGGTCGGTGACGTATGTTGATTGGTCTGAACGAAGGTGGCATCCAAAGACATACGGAGGAAACGAGATTTCACTAGAGTTCATGAAAAATGTCACGGTATGTTTCAAAACACTGCCTCTTGAAAATTGTCACAATCAGCATCTTACTATACTTTTCTCTTTTCTCGCTTGTGCAGTCCGAGGACATGAGTGTACATGTCACCAGTGTGGGCAAGGTATGCTCTTGTGACTCTCCCTGGCAGGTCGCAGCCTCTATTCTTTTTTCTCTCACCTTAATACTTTTACTTGTGCTTTTGAAGCATGGAGATGAGCTGCATTGGCCTTGTACATGGAACGGGATTACACGGCCTTGTTATCTATTTGCAAGAAAGTTCCATCCTGATACTCTTGACACACTGGTCAGCCTCTTCCCAAACTACACAAGCACAGCTGTCTGAGAGAGGATTCTTGAACCAAAACACACATTCTTGGACCTAATTGTGTTCCAAATATGTCTCAGAGATGGATTTTTTAGATACTGTAAATTTTCTGAAGAAACTGAAATTATTCTTGGAATTTGATGTTTCTTGATGAAACTGAAAGCCCGGTTATATGCAATTAGAGCAGAAATTTTTGGTTATAAGAGTTTTATTTTGTGATTTCCGCTGGATGGGTCGTTATCAATTCTATCATCAACACAAAGTTTTGGAATCTTGAAACCGGTTTATGATTTCTCCTTGCACCTCTGTGATGATGAGTGGAGCCCGAGGAACGGTGGGCTGTAGAGGTGAGCAGTCCCAGTCTTTACCCTTTTTGACCACTGAGAAATATTTGGGAACCCATGACTCACCAGAAGCCTCTCTCTGTTTCAGAGCCTCTCTCTGCTTCTCCTCCACAAGTATCTTAGCTTCTCTTGCTCTTTCCCAATCTTTCTTTAGTATACCTTCACTTACTTCACTCCACACCATCGCCGACTCGCTCTCCATTACCTCCTGCAGATTCTTGACAGTTGGAGGATTGAGTCCTGTGATATTATCCTTCGCATTGTAGATAACCTCGACCTCACCAGTCTTCAGATTTTTTGCCATTACCGTTCTGAAATATCATGGAGATGTTGACATCATTCAAAGCTGTAATGACGTTATAATATATTCCAAGTTTCTTTACCTGTCCCAATGGCCATAGATGTTGTAGAGCTGATGACCAGAGGAAGATTCTAATATTTTTCCTTTAATTGATCTATTGTTGTTGCCTCTGAATCTTTCAATGAAGGAATCGGAGATCAAATGTAACTCAGCTTCGAGATCAGTCTCCGGACACTTTATCTTGACTTTGCCGGCCCAGTGAGCTCCCGGCGCCGGTAAGAATCTCATAATTAGTCTCGGTTGGTCCATCTCATAAGTCTCTTTACGATTCAGAAGCTTCATTACTCTTTTACCATTTACCTCAACATCCACGTACGCACCTTATGAACCATTAAATGAGTACAAATTAGATGTTGGAACCAAGACGAGATGTTTCGCTTTTAGAGTAAACCGGACGAATGTTAGAAAATGAATGGTTGTGTTCGTTCTTGGACGGATTATTCAAAAACATTGGTTTTGAGATCATTTGGATGTAGCAGAAACAATTTGACTGCTACATTAAAATGAAAAGAAAAAAAAAACATACCACGAAATTTAGGAGTGAAATATTGACACCATGTCACGTCAATCTTTTCCTTCTCGTGAGTCGCATGAAGTGCGGACACCGGAGGATGATGCACTACCTGACAATTAACCATGCATGTATAATAAATACCTAAATTGTTTGACGGATCCTGATATTGCTAAATCCTAGATTATCCGATTCGTCATTCGTGCACATCCCTACCGTTAAGTTAATTATGTAAACACACAAAACTATACAGTATGTGAGTAATATCAAGGCCGGCTCCAAAAAATTAAGGACCTTGGAAAAAATAATTTGCTCTTATTTCCTATGTTTTTTATATATAAAAAAAAATTAAACTTTAATTTTCATAAATTTAGTTATATATAAAAAAAATACAAAATTAGATGGACTATGTGCATCAGCACCTCTAGCACATGCACGTAGCCGAACCTAAATGATATATATATATAGTAAATTGAGGTAAATTATTATAGCTTCATATAAAAAGTCATGTATGTTTATAAAATATCTACATAGATTGTGAATTTCTGTTGAGCTTTTCCTATAAAAAAATTCTGTTTCGATTAATAATTGTAATGGAATGATTTTACTTGTTCGGTGAGGACGTTGATGTAGCCGTTGGAGACGTGGTGAGTCTCGCCGAGAACGGGGTTATACGGAGACATGCCAACGACCACGGGACGGAGTGTGGATATGTTCCACGTCAGCACCGATTTGAGCCGTTCGATGGGAAGCTTGCGGCGGCTGCATTCCCCAAGTAGATCCTGACCGCCGAAGCTGTAGATCATCTCGCCATAACATTGGAGTCGTGATCTTGGTAGAATCAGCTGAGGTGGCAGCTTTACGTTCAAAAATCAAAACTAATAATTAATAACTCTTTTTTGTTTGTTAAAGAATTAATAATTAATAACTCTTAATGGAAACAAAATGCATATTATGATGAATTTATGGACAATGACGTGATTTGTACGGAAAATATAACATAAATATAAAATTCTGGTACTGATCCATATCGATCATAATTTTTTTAATTTCATGCACAATATATACTCTAATTAAAGAAAACACTAAAACAATTAATCAGTATCATTTATCCTAAAAAAACTTCATCTATTTTTTCTTCACTAAAAATATCAATGTTTGTTTAGAAAAAAGTCAAAAACATGCACAATGGTCGTTCGTTCTGTAATATATCGCAATAATTAAAACAAGGATTTTATTAAGAAGTTACACCTGAAAATTGGTGAGATCAGATCCTGGGCGTACGGTCTTAATGAGACTGAGGATCTTGCGGATGACACTTGAAGCTGTGAGCTCAGAATCTTTCTCATCTTCCAGAGAAAAAGGTTTGGCCAGCACAAGGTGCCTTCTCATTTTCTCTTCTTCTGCCTATACACAACCAAAAAGATTAGATCTGTAAATTTAACTTAAGTGTATGATTCACTTCTTTACCAAAAAAGTGTACGACTCACTAAGTAATTACCATTTGAGGTTGTTGAAGAAACTATATTTCTGAGATGAGATTTTTAAGGAAAGATATTTATGAAATGTCTCTGAAAAACTCAAAAAGCAGAGTTAAAACACTCTATATCATCTATATAGAAAGATAGATAGGATATCAAAAGAGAGAGTTGGATTAGCATTAACTATGGATTCGAAGGGGGCGTTAGTCGCTAGATCCATGTTTTTCGTCATTTAAGGCTGGCTTAATGCTTTTTAAAAAGGTTGCCTAATGCTTAATTATATACTTATGGAGATGAAATTTATTATTTTAGCACAGCTCATTGAATACACATCCTATGAGTTAATGCATATTCACCATCGGATATTAGAGAAGCAGATTGAATCTTCATTTTAGAATTAGATGGATTATACATTAATTTTGTAGAGGAAAAACAAAATATTTTAGGTTATTACGGATGTGAAAAATCCCATATAATACTTGAGAAGACTCTTTCTCAAAGGCCTGACGTATGGTTCACACATTCAACCTCAAATGAATTGACAAAAAACATCATTAACCTTTAATACTTATTGACGAAAATGTCATTATGAACCTATTTTTCTATTAATTTATAGTTGCAAAATAACTTGAGCTATAATTATCAACACAAAGTTTTGGAATCTTGAACCCGGTTAATGATTTCTCCTTGCACCTCTGTGATGATGAGTGGAGCCCGAGGAACGGTGGGCTGTAGCGGTGAGCAGTCCCAGTCTTTACCCTTCTTGACCACTGAGAAATGTTTGGGAACCCATGACTCACCAGAAGCCTCTCTCTGTTTCAGAGCCTCTCTCTGCTTCTCCTCCACAAGTATCTTAGCTTCTCTTGCTCTTTCCCAATCTTTCTTCAGTATTCCTTCACTTACTTCACTCCACACCATCGTTGACTCGCTCTCCATTACCTCCTGCAGATTCTTGACAGTTGGAGGTTTGAGTCCTGTGATATTCTCCTTGGCATTGTAGATAACCTCGACCTCACCAGTCTTTAGATTTTTTGCCATTACCGTTCTGAAACATCATGGAGATGTTAATGACATCATTCAAAGGTTTTCATGTTCTTAAGAGCTGTAATGACGTTATGATTCCAAGTTTCTTTACCTGTCCCAATGGCCATAGATGTTGTAGAGCTGATGACCAGAGGAAGATTCTAATATCTTTCCTTTAAGTGATCTGTTGTTGTTGCCTCTGAATCTTTCAATGAAGGAATCGGATATCAAATGTAACTCAGCTTCGAGATCAGTCTCCGGACACTTTATCTTGACTTTTCCGGCCCAGTGAGCTCCCGGCGCCGGTAAGAATCTCATAATTAGTCTCGGTTGGTCCATCTCATAAGTCTCTTTACGATTCAGAAGCTTCATAACTCTTTTACCCTTTACCTCAACGTCCACGTAAGTACCTTATGGACCATTCAATGAGTACATGCAGAAATTAGATGTTGGAACTTGGAACCAAGACGACATGGTTCGGTTTAAAGTTGTAAACCGGATGCATATTCGAATTGGTTGTGTTCGTTCTTGGATTATTCAAAATTAGACTAGGTTTTTGGTTTGACAAAAAAAAAAGATTTGGTTTTGAGATGATTTGGGATGTAGCAGAAACAATTTGACTGCTACATTAAAGTGAAAAAAATAAATCATATACCACGAAATTTAGGAGTGAAATATTGACACCATGTCACGTCGATATTTTCTTGTTCGTGAGTCGCATGAAGTGCGGACACCGGAGGATGATGCACTACCTGAAAATTAATTACGATATGTTTCGTTTATAATTGTAATGAATAATGATTATACTATTTTAGTTATCCACAAAAAAATGATTATACTTGTTCGGCGATGACGTTGATGTGACCGTTGGAGACGTGGTGAGTCTCGCCGAGAACGGAGTTGTACGGAGACATGCCAAAGACCAGCGGACGGAGTGTGGATATATTCCACGTCACTACCGATTTAAACCGTTCGATGGGAAGATCACGGCGGCTGCATTCCCCAAGCAGATCCTGACCGCCGAAGCTGTAGACCATCTCGCCGTAACATTGGAGTTGTGATCTTGGTAGGTTCAGCTGAGGTGGCAGCTTTACGATCAAAGAAAAATAATTAATAATCACGTACTAAGCTAGACGTCATAATCTAAATAAATTAATAGAAAATGACTTGATTTGTACGAGATATAAATGTTCAACTGTTTATAGAGTTTGATGCTGTGATATGTACAGTATAAGTTACAAGTGGTGTATACTTAACCCAAAAAATTAGTTGCTGGCGGATCTACAGTGTCCATGGTGTGGCCGTGTGGGCACGTGCCCCCAATAACTATTAAAATTACTAACCAATTAGTTAATACAGTAGTTAATATCTCTCTAAGATTTAAAATAAATAAATAAATGGGTGTATATATAAAAGAAAAAAGGTTTTCTTCAAGTTATTTGATATCTAGGGAAGTAATAGTTGGAGAGTTCACTTTCATGCATAATGTAGTGGACCTACCTACGAAGATATATAAAACACTACTAGTTAATAATACTAACAAAAACAAGAGCCAAATATTTTTAATTAATAAAAAATATCAATACTATATAATACACGTATATCTTATGAATTATCATGAATTTTAAAACCTATATGCAGCTTACAATAAATTTATAAACTGTTGGAATTGTTACTAATAAATAATACATAGTATGGTTGGTTTTTAGTATATGTATCGTATCATTTTATAAATCATGCAACATATTCATTTAATATTTATATTGTAAGAAAATACATTACAACATAGATCGTAAGAAAAATTCCATCTTTTGTTCTTCACAAAAAAAATAAAAATCAATGTTTGTTTAGAAAAACAATATACGCAAATAGTCGTTCTAACACAACAATAAAATTACTTCAACAAGGTCATTAAGAAGTTACACCTGAAAATTGGTGAGATCAGATCCTGGGCGTACGGTCTTGAAGAGGCTGAGGATCTTGCGGATAACATTCGAAGCTGTGTGCTCAGAATCTTTTTCATCTTCCAATGAAAAAGGTTTGGCCAGCACAAGGTGCTTTCTCATTTCTTCTTCTGCCTTTACACACCAAAAATAATTGAATCGATATGTCAAAACTAAACACCTAATTTCTGGCTGAAAACTGGCTCAGATTAATCACCATTTCTCACGTCTTAAAACCACCATATTATAGGTTCTAACAGTTAGAATTCAGGATTTATAAGAAGTACGATAAATCTAATTAATTAGAGTGTAGAATCTCTAAATATTAGAATAATGTGATTAGAAAAAAAATAAAAAAATTGTGATTACAAATATAAACTATTTATTCACCACCCTTACAATTTGAGAATTTTTTTTTTAAAGATAACCATTTGAGAAGTGTTGGGAGTTATTAAAAATTGTTAAAGTTTGTTTGAGATTACAAGTGTGATTAGAGAAAAAAAAAACACTTACCATTTGAGAAGTTATAGAAGCTAAACGCTATTTCTGAATCTTTTTGATGATAATTCTTTTTGATAAAGAACCAGTGAGTTCAATGTATGAAACGAATCTGAAAACTCAAAGGCTAAAGATTTAAAACACTCTTCATCACAATAGACAAAGTGATAGTTCTCAATCTTTTGGCTCCGTTTATATAGTATAGTAACCATGTAAATGTGGAGAGAGATGATAAAATAAGGAAAAGAGTTAGGTGAGCATTAACTATATGGATGGATTCGGAGGAGGCGGTGGTCGTTGGGTCCATCTTTCCATCATTTAATGTCTCATCGTTCACTTAGATCGTGGCCGATTTGTGTTGTATAGTTAGGGGAATGGTCCAAGACTTTTGTTTAGTCGATTTAGTTCACTTAGAGTTTAGTCGGTTTTGTTAGACTTAATTCGGTTTGGTCATGTCTAAACTCTTAAATTTTATAGAATAAAACAATACTACTTAAATAAGTAGGGTGGGTTAGATGATTGTAGTGGTAATTAAGTAAGATGTGTGTTTGTAACTTTCACGTTAAAAGTATGTTTTAGTGCTGTGGAGTGATTAATAAAAATAATTTTATGAAAATTTACATTTGATTGATTCTACTAACTTATACTTGTAGTTATATTAAGGATGTTAAATGTAAAAAAAATGTAAGAAAATAGTTTTCATGAAATGGAGGGGATGTGATTAATGATAAAACTATCGATGGAGTAAATGAAGAACAATTCTTGGGTTCACCCCTAGGGGTGAACCACTTTCATTCACCCCCTCTTAATTATCCAATTAGAATTTGCCATGTCATTTAGTTTAAAAAATCAAAACAATTATTTTCTAAATAAAACAATAAGATTAAATCATAACCACTCTTTTATAAACCCAAACCGATATATAATCTCGTTTGATTACAAAATTTAAACCCTAATTCTCTTTTGTAAACCCAAACCGTCATTTAAATTTGTTTAATCGTAAAAAATCTAAACCCTAATCGTACTTTCTAAACCCAAACCGACACTTAACCTCGTTTAATTGTAAAATCTAAACCCGTTTATAAACCCAAACCGATAGTTAAACTCGTTTAATCATAAAATCTAAACCCTAATTCTCCTTTGTAAACCCAAACCGTCATTTATACTCGTTTAATCGTAAAAAATTTAAACCCTAATCGTACTTTCTAAACCCAAATCGAGACTTAACCTCGTTTAATTGTAAAATCTAAATCCGTTTATAAACCCAAACCGATAGTTAAACTCGTTTAATCATAAAATCTAAACCCTAACCCTTTCTAATAAACTTAAACCGATACATAATTTCGTTTTAGTGGCAAATTAAATTTTATAATTAAATAATTTTTTTTATTATTAATAGGTGGCAGATTTTGATTGGATGAAATAAAGGGGGTGAACATAAGAGGTTCACCCCTAGGGATGAACCCAAGTATTTTTCGTAAATGAATCAAGCAGTTTCTCTCCCGGACAGAGGTTCCATCGAATCCATCTGTTGATTTTTCTGACAAACAAATCAGAAGAAATATGATTTATTTCGACACATATTGATTGGTCAGAGTTAATGAAGACGCATCGAAGTCCACCTCCAGTTTCTCTTTTGTAGACCCTTTGACTCTTGTATAACTTTTTTTTTGTATAACTTGACATTTATATTTTCAGTTTTTTTTTTTTTTTGAACAAAGACTTGATTCTATTCATTCAAATTAACCCAAGTACAAGGAGAAGGATTCAAAGATCCCAAAGTTTAAAACATAATAAAGAGAGACATTCCCCAATGCCACAAAGAGATAACTAAAAGAGATCGACATAGAGTTCATGAGAGCTTTGAGACAAATGTTAGAAAACGATTTGGCACATGTGAGATCATGGTAAGTCGAAAGATCGTCCATGAACACGTCAATGGTCGACAAGGTGGTCATTGTCAAAAGACAAAATGACGTTAATGAAGGGATCATGGCCATGATCCTCGCCGGCACGAGAAGAGCTACACAAAGTAGTGCAAAGGCCATAAAGCGGGTGATTATGGTTGTATAATCGGTTGAGGCTTGGTCTAAGATAACACATAAAGGCTCTGGATCTTCCTTATGACCATCTAAATCTTCTTTGTAAAATAGGATCCAGGTCTTAGAAGTGTTGACATTTGGGTGGTGCTTGAAGTCGCTGCTTATAATTGTCGTAGAGTGAATGGTGGCCAAGGATCTTCCATGACCAGAATCACTCCTTTGGCAGTTTGGGTTCGGGACCAATAAGCCATGATTCTTCAAAGTTAATACGAAGTTTTTTTGTTGACAAAAAATACACGATCAAATATTTTTTTAAAAAATTTCCTTTCTTAATTCGATAATCAATTATTTCTGACATTAACAATAATTGTAGTACTACCAAGTAGTATTAGCAGCTAACTTGAAATAAGTTCACTTGGTGTAACTGATAAAAGATTTAGAATAAATACGTCATTTAAAAAACAGAAGAAATAGGCCTACCCTAACTTTTTTTAAAAAAAATTGTTATTATAATAAGAAAAACTTGGTCCCATTTCCATACGTTTGATTCATTTTTACACATTTAGCGTTTGTTATGGTACAAACAAATCGAAGACAAAACCATTTTGTTAGTCAATCTAGAAAAATATCTCTTGCAATGAAGATGTTTCCAATTCCGCAGCTTCAGCTTCAGCTTCGCTGGAAACACAAAGTTCTTTGGCTCTTCGATGGAGATGGAGATGGATGGCTTGGGGAGGCCAAGGCTGAGCATCGCCGGAGGAGGACTTAATGGAGGAACATCCTCCTGTGGCTGAGTATTAATGGGAGTCCCTGGCTGCATCTCCCACTTGAAAGGAATACCCTCTGGCCTCCGCTCATCGTAGTATCCCACCGATGAGTTTCTCGAGATTGATGATCCTTCCTTGCATATATCCTTCTTCATAATTAGAACCAACAAAATGTGAGTAGTTATGATGTGTTTTTGATTCGTATGTTCGGTTCTTGGCTTGATGTTTTCGTTAAGAGAAGAGATATATAGAGGGAAATTGTGTCAATGGAATTTGGGTATTAGTGGGTATATATATCTAGGGAGAGAGGGACTCGTCCGGTAGAGAAGATGGAACATAAGAATTTATGAATTATCAAGTTGATGTGTGAATTTATATGTATTTCATGACTTGATGTGTATGATGTAATCAAGGGTTTTTGACTTTGTATTATTCAATAGAAACTATTGCTTAACACTTCAATGATCCAACTGCTTTTGCACGAGCAAGGTACCATATATTATCCAATATTATTATTTTTAGAGATTTACTTTAAATTTGACAAAAACTTATAACATAGTGGTTTGTAACAACAACAACCAAAATTACTTCAATTTGGATAAAATAATTGATTTATGTGACCTTCACCATCAAAATAGTTTTTCTTTTTTTGGTCAATCAGTTACATATTGTTGATCTTAAAGATGTTTATAACGTCCTCTCTAATCAACCAGATTAAATATGGGTTGGCTCATATATATCTGGAAATTGATGGGTGTATACGACTCTTTACTCTAAACGGGAAAAATTAAGCATAAAGTTTTTCAAGAGAATAAATTAAAGTTTGCCAAATCTATGTAAACTTTGATACGAATCACACGTTAGTAACGTTGATGTTGGACGGTTCATAAGCGCATGTGAATGCTTAGACCCAATCTCTCTCTATATAGAGTAAAGACTCGCCAAACTTTGCGTCCTCTTTAATTATCAAATTATCCTATCCTCAATCACTTGTACTAAGAAATCTATTTACTAAAATAGATCTACCTATCATGAAATTTTCATCAACGATGATGATATAGAAATCATTGGTGGTAAATAGTAACGACAAACGAGTGGGAAAAATATATCATTATGAAAGAAAACAGTCAATAACACTCCTATAGTCCTATGAAAATGATGCAACATTGCTACATAAAGACATACTTTGTATTAGTGCTAACTTCGATTCCGATTATTAATGTGAGTATGTTAATTGCGGACGACAAAACAAATTAAAATTGAGACATTATTATATTCGCCTGTTGCAATCATTGAAGTTTCTTACAAAAGATAAGTTGCAATTTGGTTTGGTAGAGAATAGAGGTTTGATTTTAACATTCAATGTCATGTACCAATCATGTCGGTTTCTAAAAAAATCGTAGCACAGACTTGCTTATGGATTTGGCTACCGACTTGAATATATATATGGTCATTAGCCATCTATAAAGTTGAATTCAGAAAAAAGAAACTAAGTATTCCATACAAGTTAAAGTCCAAATAAGTAAACTACTTTAACGACAAAATCACAACATCCCACAAAATCTAAGCTTATGAGTGTTATGACCTTCGAATGTAACCCAAACTCACAACAATCTATCCCATATCCTTCTCACCAAAGTCACCTTAACGGTCTGGATAACAATTACAATTCATAAATCAGATATCAAATCACGAACATAAATATATTGTTTTAAATTACCCCAATCAGAATCTATAGTTTGCAATGATCTTTCTCGTATAGGGTACAGACTCTACAGAGGCTTTAATCATTAAAGAACCAAAGTCGTCAATGAGTCAAGTATCGTTAGCTTGAGGATAACGTTGCCTTGAAAGCTTTGTGGTTTTAGTTGTGTGAATCCTGGAAGGAAGGTAAGCCCCATTCCTCTGGTTTGAAATCTAGCAAAGAGGCCAGAACTTGGTCCGCAACATTGCAGTAGGACTTATCTAATCTTGGATCCGGTACCATTATCACATTCCTGCACACACACACACACACCATTCAAAGACAATGGTTTTAGGGCTCAAAACTGAACCATTAATTGTTCATCCGCCAAGAGAACTTGGAAACTATTACAAGAAATCCACTTACATTCCGGCGTTTTTAGCTGCCTGGACTCCAGAAGGCGCATCTTCAAACACGAGAACCTTCTGTGGATCTACAGGACCGTCCTATGAAATCCGCAAAGAAGAAGGAAAACATTGGTTTACAAACTAATTTCTCAAAGGTGGAAACACATGCTAATAGCTGTGCTTTAGTTTGATAATATTGTTATAAGTGCAGTTTTAGTGACCATCTGTACCTCAAATCTCCTGGATGCAGCAAGAAAGCCGTCTGGCGCGGGCTTCCCTTGCTTCACCTCTGGGTCATCCCCCCGCACTACGTGATGCATCAACGAAAACAGCTCACGGTGTCTTTGTGTTTTAAGATCAAAATGTCGTGTGTGTGTACTGCATTAAGAAAAAGCAAAATCAGATCACAAATACCAAAAACTATAAATCCATAAAAAGAAGCTGAAAAAGCCATTTCCACTCTCAGTGAACATCTATCATAAGAAGTGAATGTGCTAATGCATAAAGAGATACCCTGTGGCTATACAAATTGGAATTCCTTTCCCATGGAGATGTCTGAGAAGTCGGCTAGCTCCTGCGTTAGAGGAAGAATATTGGATCACAACAGCGAAAAGTAGAAGATTAAGAAGGCTGATTTAAATGGAACTGAACAAACTGAATATATTAATATAAGGACATCTATGTTTCTCTCTTTGTTTATCTAGTACATAAGCAAGAAAATGCGGATTGTGTACCTGGCATAAGGTCACTTGTGGGGAAGAGGTCTTGCAACATTGACTCTCTTTCTACAATAAACTCTTCAGCAGAAAGAGAGTCACTGATTCCACTTTCGTCAACGAAAAGCCTGGCAGCTTCGATCGATTTTCTACCCATCATCTTTGCCTTCAAAGACCAATCAAATGTTTTATTGTATCTAGCAAGTATCTTTTCCTGGACTTCCGTGTAAAACTTCTCCGTGTCTGCAAACAGTAGACAAATTTAGCATTAGCTATGCTCACCGGGAGAGAGATCAGGATCAGCAATACACAGATCTTTTACCATTTGTATCAATGAAGCTCTGAGAATTTGAAACTAAAGAAACCATATGCTTAAAAAAAGATTAAAGTTTCAAATTTAGACCAATTTTTACAGTCTCCACTCATACTATGATTTTGTCAGTTTATTTTCCAATCAAGAAACAGAGAACTCATGGAATCAAGAACTAGAAAAAACCACTAGTTATTAAAAACAGTGACAGTAACACAAATCAACCAAAAAGCAAAGATCAAAGAAGACAACGAAGTTACCGAGAAGGAGACCATCCATGTCGAATATGACGTGAGTGATCGATCCTCTTCCGGCGGCGGCAGGGGTCGACATCGTCTGGAGATTTGCTGAAGCTATGATAACTGTTTTCTGAGGACACCCTTTGGGAAAAGGAGCAATGGAGATCGGAATCCTATTCGAAAATCGGAATGGGATTCTTAGAGCAACGAATCTAGTCGGAGTTGTTAACATAGTTTGACGACGCAAAGAATTTACCTGACGAATATATTATACGTCACTCTGATTTGGGCTTTTAAATTGATTGGATCTTCTTCATTGGGCTTAATGGGCTATGATTCATAATTTTGAGGTACCAAACTTGACGTGTTTTTTTTTTTTTTTATCACCAAACTTGACGTTTATTAGCTCTCTCTGGCTAATAAATAAAATAAAGGAATTTTATTTTTTATTAAAACTTTGGATTTTAGTCTTATTATATAATTACGAGTATCTTAAGATTAAAAAAATTTGGAAACTATTTAAAATTAGATTGTTTTGACTTTTGACTCAAGTTAGGTTTTTCTGTTAGCGAAGAGCCGTTTACTCGCCGGACAGTCGAATTGATTTCTATTAGTTTTATCTTAAAAAAATTGGATAATCCGAATCATATAGTATAAAGTAGGGTCAGATCTTAAACTACGATGAAAAATTGAGATGCAACCAAAAAATAAATAGTAAAAGTGAATATTGAAATGGGCTTAAGATGTCTTTTTATAGTTTTCTCTGCTTTTCCGACAAAAGCCTAATGTACATGCATCATCTCCAACTCACTTCTTAATCAAATCTCCCTTTAATTTCTCACCGAATCCATAAAAAGGTATAAATACAAAATCTTTCCTTTTTGATATTTTCTTCTACACAATTATTATTTCACGACATTATGCAATTGTTATTTTATCTCTTTCGGAAACTTCAACTAAGAGACATCCAAAGCTATCCATATTAGGGAATAATATACTCAATGAGTTGCTGTATTATTTAATTATCAAATGCACAGTACACTCATAACTCAACTAATTGAGTCGATGGACAGAAGCATTAGGTAAGTAATACATAAAAGCGACACAATATTATGACTTCAAATGGGTGAGTCTAGAAAGTCCTCAATGCTAAGAAAATCATAAAGAAACATGTCAACTTCAATGTTTGGTCTTAAGGCTAAACAATTTGTCCTGCGTTTTGTACTTTTAAAATTGACAGGCATGCATTGATCTTATCCAATGGGACATCCAATGTTGGACAGATGAAAGACAACTTTACCCTATAAAAAGTTAAAAACACATAATTTTTTCATCAAAAATAAAATAAAATGGGATGCTATATCAAAGAAAAAATGGAATTCTATGTCAAAAGTGTAACTATACTATTATACTATTAATAACACCAAATCATATGCCAATGGTAACCAATGAATCTCTTTGCATTTCCCGATCGCCACATACAAAAATCTTAATCACCACCACTTTTGCTTATTTTAACTAAACTCTCTATCTCTTTTTTATTACTCTCCTTCTTCTTCACTTTATAGCTTACTTCAAAAAGTTAACTACCCAAAAAAGGAGAAACATAAGAAAGATCACACAACTTTCACATTGTGTAAACATAGAAATGTTAGAGACCTATTCAAAAACAATGAAACATAAAACACTTAATAATCATCACTACTTTTGCAAATGTTATCCTCAATCTCTTCTTCTTCTCCTCCGTTCTCTTCTGCGTAAAGACTGTCCAAAGCTCTTTTCTCTTGCTCTTCCAAGCTCCCATTTTGACCCCTCAATTTCCCATTCTTCTCATTTCTCTCCACTCTACTTCTCAAATCCTCCAAAAGCTCCCTCACAGCTCTCTCTTTGTCTCTCCGGTTCTTAATCAAAGCCTCACTTACATCAGCCGGCGTAATCTCAGCCCTATCAACAACTTCCTCAAGCTCCTTCAAAACGTCGTCGTTAAGATCGCCTTCCTCGAACCCCAAGTAATTCCTCAGCAAGATTTTGACCGAAGAAAACGTACAGTAACTCATGTGTATATGCATATCCATTCTTCCACTTCTAAGCAATGCAGGATCAAGCTTCTCAATGTGATTCGTCGTGAACACAAAAATCCTCTCGCTACCACAACAAGACCAAAGTCCATCAGTGAAATTCAACAAACCTGAAAGAGTTATCGTGTTGTTCCCATTACCGAAATCATCACCTAAACCGGACCCGGTTAACATCTCCGGTTCATTGTAGCTCCCTGTGCTCTGTTTCTTGTTCCGATTCGTTAAATTGATAGAACAATCAATGTCCTCAATCACAATTATCGACTTGGAGCTAGTCTTCATCAATAGCTTCCTCAACTCTGAATTGCTTTTGACCTCCGTGAGCTCGAGATCGTAGATGTCGTACCGGAGATAGTTAGCCATGGCGGCGATCATGCTCGATTTCCCTGTTCCGGGAGGTCCATAAAGCAAGTAACCTCTTTTCCAAGCCCGACCAGTTCTCTCGTAAAAAGATTGACATTCAGCGAAATCCGTAAGATCCTCCATGATCTGTTGCTTCTTAACCGGATCCATGGCCAGAGTATCGAAGGTACTGGGATGCTTAAAGGGAACAGATTCCCAAGGAAGACCTCTTGAATCAAGAGACCCACCTCGTGAATTCGTGTAAAGAAGCCGATCTTGATTCATTCGACGAATCTCGTTAGCTTTCTCCATGATGTAATCTAAGTAAGAATCAAGGATCAAGTTCTTGTCTTTCTTCTTGATCCGTAGCGTGAAGCCACGTTTCTCTTCCGGCATTGGTCTCCAAGCGAAGGTTTGAGTTTGTCTCTGTGTAACGATGTGTTCCCAGACGACGGTGACGGTGTTAAACGTGTCGACGATGGAGTCGTTGTTGGAGAGACCTAACGTGACGGAGGAAGAGTTGACGGCGCGTGTGAGGCTGAGACGGTTACCGGCGATGGAGACGGAGGAGCTGAGGTAAAGCTGGACGGCATTGTAAAGCTCGTTGGTGTTGACGCCGTCAATCTCTGTTATGTCGAAGTAACAGAAGGTGGAGAAGAGTTTAAAGACTCTGTTGAAGAGTTTCAAGAAGGCGAAACGGAGCTCCGGTGGGAATACTGAATTCATTAGGCTTTGACAAAAGGCTAAAACGCCGAGTAGCGAAGCCAATGATGTCCAATACTCTTTCATCGTCCTTACAGAGAGAGAGAGAGAGAAACAGAGGGCTTTTGAGAAGTTGAAAAGGTGATTACTTTACGGCTAAAATCAAGGTGAGAGAAGAAAAGGAGATATGGGTTTTGAGAAACGAGGGGATTTGATTGATGGGCTTCGTTCAATCAATTGATTTTGAGGATTTTGGCAGAGAGTTTTCTTGGTTTACGAGTCTCTCGTTTTCCCGGAAAATCTCAGAGAGAAAAAAAGGAGGAAGCTTTTTAGTTATCAAGCTTTGTGATGGTGCGGCTTGATAATGTCTTGGAGAAAACGAGAGAGATTAGAGAAATAGAAGAAATGGGTTTGTCTCAATTTATACAATTGTGTACCTTTTTTTCTTTTCTTTTGCTTTGACAAACTTTTCTTTTCTTTGACTTTGGGAAATTTTTTGTTTTAACTATGAGTGAGATATATATAGCATATGTAACTTAACATATAAACTTGAGAAGGGAGTAACAAAAGAGAAAACAATTTTTTTTTTTTTTTGTATTTTGACCAAAACATAAGGAAAGAACTTAAATACATAGATATATTGTGATACCCCTAATAATTTGAACTATAAAGAGGAATAAATGCTTGACCAAAACAAAGGAAATAAATTAAAATTTGACCGTTATTGAAATTAAGGACTTTCTTTGTGGAGTTATTCGACTAATATACACTCAGATTTTGGTAACGATAAATACAGAAACAATATATACTCAAGGTCTCAAGTTCATAAACAAATGTCATTCACTAACATAAATATTACGTGGAATGAATATCTTACGTGGTTAGATACCATTTTGAAAATTTTGGTGGATTTTGGAAAATAGTACCTTTTTGACAAAGAAAATAGTACATTTTCTATACTTTAGAAATCGCGCAAAAATAATTTAATAAATTCTTTAGGAACCTACTCTTCGAGTTTGAGCCTTGGATAGGCCTATGAATTGTGACGGAATCTGTAAAAATATTTCGCGAAATTTTACCGAAATTAAGAATTGATTAAAGAAACTAAGAAATTGAACTAGTTTGGATGGTTAAGATTGAAATGGAATCTTGGATAATGGCTGAGATCTACACATGTGTTGGTCTAAGTGCATGATTGTGCATTGCTAGGTGTCAAAGAGTGCATGTGCACATAATTAAGTGGTAAGTGTAATCTTAAACTAGCAAAAAACCAAAAACTAATCCTAAATCATTTTTTTTTAATTTTCTATCCTTTTCTCTAAATCTTCCTAGCCTCCCTTACTCCTCTCATCACAACTACATCATCATCCCATCCTATCCGTCTAGGCCTTCCATTGATTTGAGTCTCCTACTAATGTATCACCAAAGATTCTAAAATACCAAAAAAAAAAAAAAAAATGTGCAAGAAACTTATTAGTTTTAGTACGTACCTTGACAAAATTCAGTTTACATACGTACACTGTCAAACAATAGACTGATGATATTTATTGTTCATAGTGAAAGATCACACAAATTAACTTTTCAGCTTTTTTCTTCACATTGATCAACATTATTTCGGATTAAGAAAATGATTAATGAACACAGTATTTAATTAGGAGGAGGACTTAAAGCGAAAGAAACGTTTAGGGGAATAGAGGCGGAAGAGGTTGAAGGCGGAAATGGAAGAGAGGAGGACCATGAGAGCCACCGCAATGTAGTTTAAGATGATGGCACTTCCCATCTGAAAACAGAACTTTGTGAACTTGTAACACCACTTCATCCACTGAAGCTCCCGTGAACCGGTCACCACTAGCAATGAGTGTTGCGCCGCGGCTGATGTCCCCGCGAAAACCACGTACGCCGCCGTCTATTTTAATTACATTTATCATAATCACTCACACACACACATGCATCACACACACACATGCATATACATATAGTATCATCAACGATAGTCTAAATTAAGAGAGTTATGCATACCTGATCCAAGAGGTAAGAGAACCATTTGGGATTGGAGGTCTTTTGTTCAACATTGTACCAACCAAGCCCTAACTGAACCAAATTATACGCAGCAACCACAACATTTATGTATAACTCAGCCCTATCATAATTACATTTTTGTGAGAGGATGGATATTTGAAGAGTTGTTAAACCAAAAAATACAAAAGGAGTAGCAGTCCCCACTGTACAAAAAGTCATTTTCATGTAGACTTAACCAAAACAGAAATTTTTACTAAAATAATAAACAAGATCCTTCCAAAAGCTGTGAAATCATTACCCACTTTTCAGAGCGCATAAAAACTCAAATCATTAAATACAATCTGTATCAGACTTATTTCAGTGAGTTTTAAATACATTGATGGTTTAGTTGAAGAGATGAGAGTAATAGTTACATTACACTTTGGATCTATATAATTGATAAAAAATAAAGAGAAATGGACTTACTCGAGAGCTAACAAATATCTGAAACTGACTTTCTTGTGGATATAAGCAATCTCTTTGGTCTGAGAATCCAAACCTATCAAACAAGAAGTGAGGAGAAGGAAAAAGACGATACAGAGCCTCAGGATCACTTCTGTTTCTCTCAGTCTCACCATCTTATTATTCTTCTCTCTCTCAATTTTTCTTTTAGATTTTAGATGTGTCTTTATGAGAGAATAATGGAAGACTGTAACATAAATTTGTAATTGTATATATTATATAGAATGGTTTGGAGTTGAAAGGATTTGGCAGGTGTATAGATATAAAAATATTAATATATGTACGCGGCAATTTGCAGATCACTTGTATAGTTGTATGAGTAAGATTGAAATGAAATACAGTTGGACTTCTCGATTGGCATTGAATGTTTGATTAACTAACTGATTCTAATGAATTTGGTCCGTTAGGACTTTCTAATTTAATTTTCTGTCCTTAAGTGATAGCTGAAATCTTCGTGTTTATATTCTTTTCCTCTCTATATAGTGATTAGGGAGTAAGCTTACAAAACTTTTATCAGAAAAATTGGAAACATTTTGATGATTTTTTTTATATGAAGTTTTTGCCTTATAATTTTTCTAGGCTAAAATCAAATTTTCATAATTCTTAAGACTACATCTCTAATTATGGATATAGAGATGGTAATGTGTTCATATATCGTCACGAGTTGCTCTAAACGAGGTGATTTGGACTTAAACCAGAAAGTAATCAATATGGAAAATGACAATTCAGTACCATCTTATTCAACAATCTAAACCTAAACTTAACTTGTCCTTTGTCGTTTGGACCTATTTTCATTACCTGTGAATTAAACTTGTCTCTTGATTTTTTTTTATTTTTTATTTTGTCTCTTGATTTTTGTCATGAAAGATAAATAAAAAAATTTGTTTGGATGAGTTATGTATTTTTTTGTTGGCACTGGGTACTCGGTTTCGGCGAAGCGCGTAATCTTGGAGATGAGCTAACTTTTTGGTAAGAAATTTGCTGCGAGCTTACCATAGGAAAATAACACGAGCTGAAGCTCAAGTGTCTAATTCATTGGTCAAAGCAACGGGGTTTGATTTGAGTGATTTATAAAAATTTAGTATTGTGATTATTGTTTTTATTGAATATCCCTTCGACGACAAATTGGATGGAATGAAGGAAAAAAAGTGGCATTTGTGGAGACTTGAACAAAGTGTGTAAATCCTGAAAATGCAACTGAATCATATAAAATGAAATACTATCTTGGATATATCGAGAATAGCAATTTGGTTTGAAAAAATCATTGTCGAAGAGAAAGTGAATAGGTATTGAGGCACGTTATGTGCTTTAAATTGGACTGTCCAAATTCATTTTCTAAATGTGGCTCTTAAAGTCTTTAATGTTAGGCCCTATTAGTTAGTTGGACCAACCAACGCATTCATTAAACTTTGAAATTAAAATATTTGTTTTCTATTTCTAAATTTCACAATATAAACATGTGAAGAATTTTTACATTTGAGTTACATCAATTAATAGTGCTGTAAAGAAAGAATATAAAAAGTCAGAGATTAGTATATGAGTTTCCAAATAAACTATTTTTTTATTACTTGAGATTTCTGTAAATCTACCAAAAAAAAGAAACAACGAGACAAAACCTTTTTTGTCCAAAAAAAAAAACGAGAGAGACAAAAACTCTATTGTTAATTAACTAATTAAGATCATGTAGAAAGTTAAAAATTGTTATCCATTTAAAGCGTTTATAGTAACCAGCCACTTAAGCACAATGTAAAGACTCTAAATCATTACCTATCCATATAAACAGGGGACTCTGTTGTTTTGTGTGTTTCTTTTCGTTTGCATTTTTTTTAAAGCACATTGGTGTTGCTTTCACTGTAGGCCAACAAATAAACAATCACACCACATTGCAAGATAGAATGTATTATTATCGAGTACAACTTTTTATTATCCCCAGGAAGTATACATATACGTGTATTATCGTATCTCAGAAACACCAAAAGAAAAAACAAAATAAATCAAAGTTACATCACAAGAATGAAATAAAACGAAGAGAAAAGAAATAAGTTATTGAGAGACGTGCTCGAAAATTCTCATTGAACGATCATTCAAGTTTAGTACACTCCTTGGGGAGACCCTGAGGGAACCTCTTATAATCAGTACAATAGTTGTAGATCATGTAATCGTCTTGAACCCACTTCATCTGACCGTACTGGCGGTCACTGAGAGAGGTCCACATCCATGAGTTGTTGTTTGGGTCGCAAGTCACCCATGTTAGGTTCGATGTCCTGCTGCATGAGCTTTGGTCGTTGAAGTCTCTGTAGGAGGCACTGAATGGTGCGTTGCTCCAGTCGATCTTCACACGACCGCCTTGTGTAGCCCAGTCATCCGCTTCCCAAAGGCTTGAGTATATCTGCATCGGTTGGCCCTTAGGGTAAGCCACCCCATATTTCTCGTAGTTCTTAAATACCCGAATTGGGATCCCATCCACAAGGAAGCTTGAGACACAAGAAACCAACATCAAAAGTCAGGAAACATATCAAATATCTGATTAGACGTGTCAAAGTTCCTAAGCTTTATATTTCAAAACAAATTGTATGTTATTTATTATCAATGTAGGGTTTCCTGATTGCCTATGCACTCACATGATGTTAAGAGGGTTCCAGTGGACGGTATAGGTGTGGAAATCCGCGGTGGGATCGAACCAGAGATGAAACTGCATCTCGCGGTCGCCTTTACCTCCAGTGAAAACATTGGTGTGGATGGTGTAAGGCTGTCCTGTGAGATTTCCCAAAAACTCGAAGTCAATCTCATCCCATGTCGCTCCTTTCGATGAAAGCTGCCACACAACATAAAGGAGTTATTTTCATTTATAAACGATTGGTTTTGAGATGATAAGAACTCTAATATGTCAGATTCTAAATCAATAAATTTAAAAGGAGATTCCTTACGTAGTATGCGGCGACAGTACCAGCGGAGTTTCCCTTGACAAGCTTGAGCCTCATGTCGATCTTACCAAACAGGTACTCCTTCTTGGATTGAAAACCCGAGCCGGAGATCTTGTCAAGAGTACAAGTGAGAAGCTGTCCACTCTCGAATATATTAGCACGACCATTGCCCCAAGTGATATCAAAGCTCTCGTAGAAGTTTCCGGCGGATGCAGCCACCACAAACAAGCCAATGGCGAGGAGGAGAGACAACAACAGAGGCTGTTTGGTTGCGAAACACGCCATTTTTCCCCGGTTCTCTGTTGTTACTCGCCGTGAGTGATAAGTATTTGCCGATGGATTTAGATGAATTGGAAATAAGAGGTTTATATAAGGAGAATTTCGTGGAGGCACATTATCGACGTGGTAGTCTTAAACTTTGTATGTAATATTATTTAAATTAAGAGTTATGCCTTACACGGTTCAACGTAGACAGGTTCGTGGACTTTTTTTTCTCTTTCCAAAATTGTTTGTGTATCCGTCGCCAAAACAACTATTATAATTATTCTTCTTTTTGCTAGACATTAGTTTAGATCAAAAGGCAATTTATAAATTAGAAAGGTCAAGAATTCTACCGTTAGATTACAGGTGTGTTGAAAAAAAAAAATCAACAGTTGAATCTCTATGATGGTTGGTTGAAAAAATAAAAAAGCTGATGTAAATTAACTGGTGTTGAAAGAATTCAACATGTTGAATGGCAAAGAAGATATTAACCTACTGTATGTGTTGTTTTTTATTGGCCACGAAGATTTTTTCCCACCAAACACTACAAAAAAAGTCCACATTGATAGCACTAGACGATAGCGCATTTTCCTGTCCTGCTATAATAGATGAGTTCGTGATTTTGGTTACTTTTTAATAGCACCTGATAAATGCTAAGACCGAAAATCCTTAAGCGGGAAACCAAAATGACCTATTCCGCCAACACTTAGCAAAAGTTATTCACTTAAGCGCCTTAGCAATAGTTTTTCCTCTATTGCCGCGAAACATAACAAAAGTTCTTTCTACTGAGTTCACCTCTCAGATCTAAGAGTTTTCTCGATTCCCAGTGAGTTCTGTCAAAACAAAATCGAATTCAAGCCTAGCCAAGACCACTGACCTTGTCGCCGGCCATAAAATCGTGCTCCTCCGCAGACACATTCTTCAGCGCCGCTGCCAGTGAGCTCAAATCGAAGGCAAGTGTTTCTTCCCTACTCTAATTTCCTTCTTACTCTCTTTTCCATGTGATTTCGAATTGCTCTTTGCGATTTTAGGGTGTAGATTTGATTGCATTATTTGAAATTATCGATTTTAGTTAGGGTTTATATGCATTGATCTGTTTTTTTTTTAAATTCCTCTTTGCGATTTTAGGGTTTATATTCATTGATGTGTTTATAACCTAACGAATTGGATTTTGATTGCAAATAGGGTTTGGGTTTTTTGAGAAGTTATAGATTTGGGTATTTGAGTTACAGATTTGGGTACATATTTCATCTGTTCTCTCAATGCATGTCAAGTTCTTACTGATTTGTAAGATTATTTAGGGTAAATTATCTTTGAGTGCTTTACTTTTCGCTTGAATGTGTACTGATTATGCTATTTTTCATGTGAGGGAGATTGCAATGATGGGGAACTGAAGCTTTTCTTGTTTATGTACACCCACGACAGGTAACCAAATTTTCTGGATGTTATTCATTTGGTCTGTCCTTTAACTATGAGAAGTATAATAGTTAAAGTTGTTGTTATGTGTTGTTGTTTTCTTTTATGGCTGAGGTTGTGTAATTAGGCTATAGACAATTTCTGACTTTGTTTTTTGTTCTTGCCTAATTTTTTGACTGTTGTTGTGTTGTTTTTAGGCTGAGATACTGTAATTTGTTAATATGTGTTTAACATTGTCTACTTTCTTAATTGTCTGAACATGATATGAGATTGGTGTGATAAATATTGGTGTAAGTGCATGTATATGTGATGTGGTCTGAGGTAGATTGAGTTACTGTCTTAAATGGAACACTCTTTTAATTTTGCTTTTGGTTTGAATTGTTGATACTAAGGTTTTAATTACGCTTATACCATATAATGTTGGACAAGTCATGGGTGCATCTATGCAGGTAAGACATTACATTATATAGGTTAGGTTTTATATGGGGATTGGTTATTTTATCAATCTCTTTTTTCTCTTTTACTTCTTCATTTAAGAGCTGATCCTGGTTATGAGAGAGGTGCTCGGAAATTTGTACGGGATGTGGCTGCGGCGTTAGGTGACAGTGACATGATAATATGTCCCTGCAAAGACTGTCGTAATGTAGAACGACAGTCAGGAAGTGATGTGGTAGTTCACCTTGTAACTAAGGGGATGGATGAGGCATACAAGATGCAAGGTGATTGGTATCACCATGGAGACGTGAACTCAGTGGCTGAAGGTGATAGCAGCAATGTAAATGACTGGAATGAAGAAATTTTAGAGTTATACAAAGCTGCTGAGTTTTTTGATGAAGAGCTGGCTAGTAAGGCTAGATTAGGTGATATTCCAGAGGCTGAATTAGCTGAGATTGCAGAGGGTGAGGACAAGAGAGAAGATGAGTTCCTCTCCAAACTAGCTGATGCTTCTACACCATTATACCCAAGTTGTTCAAATCACAGCAAGCTGTCGGCTATAGTGACTCTATTTAGGATAAAGACAAACAATGGCTGGTCTGACAAGAGCTTCAATGAACTGCTTGAGACATTGCCAGCCATGCTGCCCGAGGACAATGTGCTTCACACGTCATTGTATGATGTCAAAAAATTTCTGAGGAGCTTTGATATGGGATATGAAAAAATTCATGCATGTGTAAACGACTGTTGCCTATTCAGGAAGAAGTACAAGAAGCTCGACAAATGTCCCAAATGTAATGCTTCCCGGTGGAAGATTAATATGCACAATGGTGAAGTAAAGAAAGGTGTGCCACAGAAAGTATTGAGATACTTTCCGATAATTCCAAGGTTGAAAAGAATGTTCAGGTCTGAGGAAATGGCGAAGAACCTAAGGTGGCATTATACTAACAAGAGCAGTGATGGAAAACTCCGTCATCCCGTGGATTCTGTTACATGGGATAAGATGAATGACAAGTACCCTGCATTTGCAGCTGAACAAAGAAACATGCGGCTTGGGCTTTCAACTGATGGATTTAATCCATTCAACATGAAGAACAGTAAGTATAGTTGCTGGCCTGTTTTGTTAGTAAACTACAATCTGCCTCCTCACCTTTGTATGAAGAAGGAGAATATCATGCTAACGTTGCTGATTCCTGGTCCACAACAACCCGGTAATAGTATTGATGTATACTTAGAACCTCTTATTGAGGATTTAAACCATCTATGGAAGAAAGGAGAGTTAACATATGACGCCTTCAGTAAAACTACATTTACTCTAAGTAAAAATTACTCAGAATAACCCTTATCTTATATGAAATAACTAGTTTGACTCTGTTCTGGAAGTCATAACTAAAATGACCTACATCTTTTGTAAAAAGACATTCTAACCAATATTCAACTTTTAATAACGAAAATGCCATTTTGATTTAATTTTTTTTTTAAAAACCTTTTATATCCCAAAATCAAAAATACAAATCATAAACTTTTGGGATTCTCCTCATTCATTTCTCTTTTTCTCCGTGAGCAAAACCTAAACCCTAAAAGAACAAGATCTATCGACTCATCTTCTCCAGCGATCGTCTGTGTTCGAGTCAAGGGTTCTCTGGCGAGTCATCTTCTCCGGCAAATCGTCTTTTCCGGCGAGTCGGCTTCTCCAGCAAATCGTCTTCTCCGGCGAGTCGGCTTCTCCAACGAATTTCGAGTGAGTTTTATTCTTTCACTCTGTCTCTTTGGCTTCCCGAGAGAAAGAATTTTTTATTTCTTATTAGAACTTCGTATTCTTGGTCGTTCGTTGCGGCCGGCTCTCGTCGTCATTGGCCGTTCGTGGCTGTCGGGTTTTGTCGTTCGTGAAACCGGGATTTTGTTGTTCATGGCGTTGAATTTGTTTGCAGTTTTGTTTCTTAGTATCCTCAGATTTAATTACATATTGATTTGCTTACAGATTTATGTTGATTGATTACGAATTTATGTTAGTTGAGTACAGATTTGTTTGCTTGTTGCGGCAGATTTGTTTTGTATTTGATTGCAGATTTGTTTTGTATTTGACTACAGACTTGTTTTGTATTTGATTGCAGATTTATTTTGTGATGGCGTTTTATCCTCCTGACTTTATGAAGAAGGAAAATCTCAACATTCTCTCTCTCTCTCAATAGCTTGCTATCATTATGGTTTTAGTACGTTGGAAATTCGCTTTGACTGTCTTTGAAGACTTGAGGAAGTTTGAAGAAATCAAAATAAGTGTGAATGAAGCTTGTGAATTAGAAGTTTATGGAGGAAGATAACTATTCTTCCTCTGATTGTTTGTTCTTTGTACATTTGATAACTTTGATTTTAGCAAAACTATGCAAAGGGTTGTTAGCTGTGTAATCTATCCACCTTTTTGGTTGCTTCCGCTACTACTACATGTATAAGATTTTTATTTGCTACTTAATATTTTGCTCAAACACTCCCAATACAATTTTTGAATCAGTTTCATGAATCTGTTTCGTAGAAACTATAACAAATGCTACATGTTTTACTTAAACACTTAACTAACTTTATGTTACACATGTATATTTTTTTTTTAAGGAAAAAGTAATCAAAATTGATGAATAACCTTTAAAGTTTGTTCAAGAACTCTAGATCTAGATGGCGATTGTGAGTTCATGGTGAACTATATTGAATCTGTGTTGTCATTAGCCATTACCATGTTTGTTACTTAAATAGCAAGAGAATGATAAGATAAGGTAAGGATGGTCAATTTTGATGATTGGTCAAACCCTAAATCGAACGGACTAGATTTCTCTATCTTAGATATTAGAAAACAAATCTGTGGCGTCTTCAAATAAGTCTGTGAATATAAATCTGCAAGCAAAGTGTATCAACAAGTCTGTAGAATATAAGTCTGTGACTACTAAAAAGTTAGTTTAGTCATGATTAAGTCTGCGACCACTTCGTCACATATCTGCTATGATGGAAAATAAATCTGTGATTCGTAATATATCTGCCATCAAGAGGTAAAACTCTGTGATCACTAAGAGTCAGTCTAGTTATTATCTTTTGCAGTAACAAATCTGCAACAACGTACAGACTTAATATAAGTCGGTAGGTACTATTAATAAGTCTGCAGAAACGTGATTGACAATAAGTCTGTAGGAAAAACAAATCTGTAGAAATAAATCTGCGAAACCTAGGAAATCTGCGATGTCATCAAAGAAAATCTGTAAGACAAGTCTGTGGTAGACAAAAAATCTGTAATAGCCTATAAATCGGTAGTAACCTATGAAAAAATCTGTATACTAAATCTGTGGTAGAAATAAATCTGTAGAACAAATCTGTGGTTCAAAAACAAATCGGCAAGAAAACAAAGCAGCGATAACGATACAATTAAATCGGTGGCAGATTTATAAATCGGTGGCAGATTTATAAAATCTGTGGCAGATTTTATAAATCGGTAGCAGATTTATAAAATCGGTGGCAGATTTTTTCTACAGATTTAGTTGAATTCGCAGAGATCAGTGGCAAAACTGTAAATAATGACAGGTTTTTCTGTAAATAACGGCAACTTTTGCCTCGCTGGCATTTTTTTATTAATGGCATTTCTGTTATTATGATTTTCTCTACAAAACTTTATAGGGGTATTTTGGGGATTAAAAAAAAACGAAAACACTCTAGTTATTATTAAAAGATATGAGTCATTCTAATTATTAATCCCCATATAAGGGTCATTCTAGTTATTCTCCCTTACTCTAAAGGCAATGCTTTTATGGACTATTAGTGATTTTCCTGCGTATGGAAACCTCGCTGGCTGCAAAGTAAAAGGTAAAATGGGCTGTCCTACTTGTGGGAAAAACACTGACAGTATGTGGTTGAAGTATAGCAGAAAGCATGTGTTCATGTGTCATAGAAAGGGTTTGGCACCATCACATAGGTATAGGGAAAAGAAGACTTGGTTTGATGGAAAAGCTGAACATGGGAGAAAGGGTAGAATTTTAACCGGTCATGAAATTTTTCAAAACCTGAAAAATTTCAAAAATGACTTTGGTAATGTGAAAAAATCTGGGAAGAAGAGAAAAAGGATTGACTGTGTTGAATCTGTCTCTGATAGTGATGATGTATCCAGTGAATCCGAGGAAGATGAGGAAATAGAAGTTGATGAGGAGGAGTTATCAAGATGGAAGAAAAGATCAATTCTTTTCAAGTTGCCTTATTGGGAGGTATGATTAGTGTTTTCCTTTTCAGAATTGTTCAATTAAGCTACTCTTAAGTTGGAATCCTTATGTACTGTTTTTTTATTGTTTAGGATCTCCCGGTAAGACATAATTTGGATGTAATGCATGTAGAGAGTAATGTGGCTAAAAGCATTGTCTCTACATTGTTGCATTGTGGAAAATCAAAGGATGGTCTTAATGCACGGAGAGATCTGCAACATCTTGGTATAAGGAAGGATCTGCATCCTAACACACAAGGAAAGAGAACATACCTTCCCGCAGCACCATGGTCACTGTCCAAGGCAGAGAAGAAAATATTTTGCAAGCGCCTATTTGACTTTAAAGGTCCAGATGGATATTGTTCTAATATATCGAGAGGAGTTTCATTAGAGGAGTTTAAGGTAACAGGACTCAAATCACACGATTATCACGTATTGATGCAACAACTTCTTCCGGTTGCACTTAGAGGTTTGTTACCAAAAGGTCCAAGGACAGCAATCTTACGCTTATGCGCATTCTACAACCATTTGTGTCAGAGAGTTATTGATAGAGAGGTTATTTCAGTAATGGAAGCTGAAATTGTGGAAACTCTTTGTATGTTTGAAAGGTTTTTCCCTCCCAGCTTCTTTGATATCATGGTACACTTGACTGTACATCTAGGAAGGGAAGCTCGCCTTGGAGGACCAGTCCATTTTAGGTGGATGTACCCATTTGAGAGGTACAGTTTCAGTGTATTTTACTCTAACAATTTGATTTTGTAGTGACTGTCTTTGATCTTCTTAATCGTAATAACTTTGAATTTGCAGGTACATGAAAGTTATGAAAGACTTTGTACGAAACCCCGCAAGACCAGAAGGTTGTATTGCTGAGTCATATCTCGCAGAAGAATGCATGCAGTTCTGCAGTGAGTTTCTGAAAAAGACAACAAGTGTGGAAGAAAAACCAGAGAGGAATTTAGAGTATGTGAACAACTCTATACTGGAAGGCCGTCCTATATCTGCTGGATCTTCATTTACTTTTACTGAAATGGAGAAGAATATTGCCCATTTAGCTGTCATTCAAAATACTGCAGCCTTGGATCCTTATGTGGAGTAAGTTCTGTTTGTTTCATATATTTACCTTGTCATTTACATTGTGAATATATGAGGCTGAGACTTTCTTACTGTATTTCTCTTTTGGAAGCTTGCACCTGCAATATCTTCAAAAATCAAATCCAAGGTGTACACGTGATGCTGGTTTCTTATGGAATATGCATGCTAAGAATTTTGCATCTTGGTTAAAGAAAGAGGCAAGTCATTTCCCTGAAAGTTATATTGATTATGTTATGAACTAATAATTGACTGACTCTTATTTTAACCATTTGGTAGATACCTCTAACTTCAGCTGAACATGAAGAAACAATTAAATGGTTGGCATATGGTCCCCGATGTAGTGCAAGGTCATATACTGGTTATATAGTGAATGGTCAACGATTTCACACAAGCTCAGTTCAAAAGCAAAGTCAGAATAGTGGGGTTTACTATGAGGCAACGGCTATGTGTAGATCTAGTGCTAAAGATACTTCACAGGTTGTTGATTTGGTATCTTATTACGGGAGAGTCACTGACATCATATTGCTGGACTACAATGTGTTCTATGTTCCTATATTCCGGTGTCACTGGACAGTTAAAGGGAATGGAGTTAAGGTAGAAGATGGGTTTACTCTAGTAAACTTGAATCAAAGTCAAGTCAGTTTTTTGAAGGATCCATACATTCTAGCTTCACAGGCAAATCAAGTCTTTTATTCTAGGGAAGATGATTCATCAAGCTGGTATGTTGTTATGAGAGGTTCTTCAAGAAGATATAGTAAAGAAGATATTCGAGAAGGAAATGCAGAAATGGGTCCATTGCCAGCAGATGTGAACATGGATGATGAAATGGATGAGTCTGAAAATGCTAGAACTGACTGTGAAGGCATATTTGTGCCAAATGTAGCTTCTTATTCATTGTTATCTGGTCTTGTTTTGTGTTTTTTTTTTATTGATGTCTGTTTACTCATAATATTTCTATGTTTGATCTCAAATTTGTTGCTGCAGTTGCTTGTGCTAATTCATTCTCTTTTTTAAGCAGGTGATTTAAGATGGTGGGTAGACCAAAGAAAAAGGGTGGAAAAAAAAGAAAGAATAAGGGTGCAGATGATGAGCTTGAATACATTGGTAGTGTGGAGCCGCAGACTATAGCAGCAGAGCAGTCTCTACTTGAGGAACATCATGTAACAGATCAAGAAACCATCAGACAAGAGGAAGAACCTGAAGGTGATGCTGAAGGGACAATGCCAGCTGAAGAGACAAATCCAGATGCAGCTACTGATCAAGCTGGAGTCAATGAAGAAGAACCTGAAGGTGAGGTTCAATTGGATGATGCCACTGAGCGTCCAGCTAAGCGTAAGAGACATAGAGGACCAACAAAGATGAAGAACATTGCCAAGGATCCAACTGTTCGTGAAAGAGTTGACTACACTCTCATGGGAGATCCTATTGGTTCTGGATCAGTTAAGCTGTCATCATATGTAGGTACACTGGTACGGGAACACGTTCCTATCAATATTGATAATTGGAAGAGTGTTGGTCAGGATATCAAAACAGTTCTCTGGAGATCTGTTCAGGTGACAGCTTCTTTACAGTTAGAATAGTTTTGTTTACAAAGTAATTAGACCACAGTTACTTTTCTTATTATGTTTTTATGGTATGTGAATGCAGGCAAGATTTGAGCTTGATGAGGAGTTTCAAAGGATTGCTGTGCTAAAGCAAATGGGGGGTCTGTGGAGGTCATACAAGTCACGCATTGTCAAGGATATTAATTTGGCTCCGAATAACCAGCAAAGAATGAATCTAAGACCAATGAATATTAATCCAGCAGAATGGCGTAAATTTGTCAAACTCAAGACTAGTCCAGGCTTTAAGGTATTGACTTGGAATTATGTTAGATAAATATATTGAATGTTGATTATTAATATGAATTGTTTTTAGGTTTTGAGTGACAAATATAAAGAAAGAAGGAAGAAACAGATACCTCACACTACTAGCCGGAAAGGAATGGTCAGGCTAGCAGAAGACATGGTAAGCATACACTATCTATGTTGTTTCCTCTGAATAAATATATCTACTCTGAATGGTTTTTTGATTTTCACACAGAAAATTGAGAGTGGAGATCCATCTGAAGTGACAAGGCTAAAGGTGTGGGTGAAGTCGCGTACCAAAAAGGATGGTACGCCAGTGAATACAAATGCTGCTGACAAGATTGTAAGTTGAAAAGTCTGACTGTCTTCTAGAATATTTTCCATTGCTACTCTTTGACAATAAATAGATGTTGTTTTACAGAGGAAAGCAGCTGAGCTGGTTGGAAGTGATGCTCCAACAACTACAACAAATCCAGAGGAGGATCACCTCTCTCAACTGCTAGGACCTGACAATCCTGGAAGGCTGAGAGCAATGGGTAGAGGCATGAGCAAAACCAAATTAGCTTGTTTCCAAGTGAAGACCAAGTGTATGATTGATATGCAAGAGAAGCAAGTTCAGTTAGTAAAAAAGGTGAATGAGTTGGAAGATGAAATTAGCAGAATGAAGAATCAGGTAAGAAACCTTAACAGTGCCCAGATTGTTCATTAAGCAACTGAGTTATGAAATAGTTATGGAATTGACTTTCTTGTTTATTTTACAGAGACATGAAGCTGAAATTGGTGAAAACTCAGCTGCTAGAGTAAGTGATTCCTTCTGCTTGGTTTTGTCAGATCAGTTATCCCATCTGACTTGTAATTGTTATTAACATTTTGTAGAGTGTAAACAAAAGATCACACCCTAAGTGTGTGTTGGTTGACTGGTCGGGTTCTGATGAAAACATTGGTGAGGGCCGTATTCTTTCTTCTGATCCTGATGACATAGTGAATGACTGTCGTCTAGGCCCTACAGATCTCAAAGTCTTGGTTGAAACTGCTACTAAACCTGATGCATTCCTGTGGAGACCTGCAACAAGAATGTTTACTATTGAGGAAGCTGTTGGACAAATGATTGCATGGCCAGCCTCTAAGTGTGTTCTTGTAGACAAGGAGCTTAATATAGAAGACATTGCGCCAACGGTAAGTATTAGTCAGCCTGCTAATGAGTTGATATTTTTTATGAGCTTTGATAGACTAAATATCCTGTTTTTCTGAATGTGTTTGACAGGGCCTAAGAGCAAATTCTCAGAACAAATGTAAACTGTTGGATTTGTCTACAGATGAAGTGATTGTTGCTGAGGGTCGTTGGCAGACACAAGAACCAAGTGCATTAGTTAATGGTCTTCCTCTAGGACCAAAGGCTGTCAAAGTTTTTGTTGATTCAGTGCATCAACCTGATACATTTATATGGAGGCCTACAATGGAAGTAACATACCTTGAGGACTGTTTGATGGCTTTTGTATCATGGCCTGTGAATAAAGTTGTTTTTGAAAATCCTACAACTACAACTGGTCAGAAATCTCCTCTTCAGAAATCAGCATCAACTGATAGGCCATCAAGCTCTAAATCTTCAGCTGAGACAAAGTCTGCAGCCACAGAGGGAAAAGCAGCATCAACAGTGTCTAAGTCTCCAGCAACAGGTTCAGATTCTCCTATTGAGGATGCAGGTGTTCAAAGCTCTCCTATAAAGAAAAGTCTACCAAATCCACAATCTCCTCTCCGGAAATCTCAGGTATTTTCTAAATGTTATGAATTAAGTTGCTTATGTCAACTGTTCTGAGTATTGGTTCATATTGTTTACATGGCAGCGTATCAATCAACTTGTTTCCAAGGAAAATAAGAAGTGCAAGTTGATGGATATTACTGGAAAGAAGCGAGTTGTTGCTGAAGGACGCTGGGCAACAAACGATCCAGCACAAAAGGTTCACTTTGTTCCCTTGGGTCCTGATGGTGTCAAAGTGTGGGTAGATATTGTGAAGGTCAGTGATGCATCCGTTTGGAGGCCAAATGAGGAAATAGCCATAATGGAGGATGCCCTTGGCACAGTCATTGCATGGCCTGAGGACAAAGTGATCATGTCTTAAGGTTTTCTGTCCTGCTACTAATTCCTTTTGGATAATAAGTAGAACTTGGTTTGACATTTGTTGTGTGTATTCTGGATTTATGATGTATGTTGGATTTATGTCTTAAGGTTTAATGTATGTTGGATTGGGAATCATTGATGAATCAGGGTATTATATGAAACAGGTTTGGTGTTTTTCTCAACCAGAAACAATTGTGATCAAAACGCATATAATTGCATATAAATAACTGTTACAATAACTGCTAATGGTATATAAGAGTAATGCTATGTTAGAAAAGTCTATCATAGCTTTCAAAACGAGTAATTTTTTCCTTAAATTAAACGCTATAATATAATGAATCATAGCGTAAACTGGAGCTATAAAAATTAAAACTTATGCTTTTTATCATAGCTATAGTAGAAACACCTAACATAGCATGGAAAATGACTAATTACATAATTTTTTAAAATTAGAAAAGCCTTATAACAAAGCGTTTCGATAATGCTATGGTAGAAGACTCTAAGATAGCATACGTATCTGACGTTATCGTATGTGGGGGTTCTACCATAACAGGGGCCTAACATAGCATTTGTGAAAACGCTATTGATCACTTATAATAGCATTTATCTCAAGCTAATAATGTAGATATTTCTTGTAGTGAAAACATTTGAGATCTATTATCTTATAGTGAACTCGTTTTTTTTTAATCAAAACTCATCAGTCATAGTAAACTTGTTTCATTTGATTTGGATAGAGATATGGATCCCAACAACAATCTATTCAATACCCAATTCTTTTAGTTACCCCTTTTACTTATTAAATCGCAACAATTATCAATTTCAAAATCAATCTTCCAACCAACATCAAAATAAATCCATCTTTTTGAGTTTATTGTACTAATTAAATTATGTGTGTTTTATTAAAATGTGTTGTATGCTCATTGATTAATTGCATTTTAAGTTTTCTGTAACTTAATTTATATGTTTTCATAATAAATTTCTATATTTTTTCTTCATTTTTATATTACTTGGAAAAAAATTAAGAATCTAAAATAAGAGAAATTTTTTTATCAACTCTTAAGTCTTAACTATTTTATTTAATTTCAATTGCTAATCGTTATTAGTATACAATCATAAAAAAAAATGAAATAAAAGAGTGGGCAGAATGTTGAAATTTATTAAACAAAACTATTGTAAAGATTAAAATTGAAATAGATATTGAATTCTTAGGTGGAAAAGAGATAAGATGATGTGGAGTGTTAAAATGTGAAAAAGAGGATGTTAAATAAATCAACCATTGTTATTGATAAAAGATTGGACTATTTAATAGTCAAATAGCATATACTTTATATATAGTTTGTGCTTGAGGAATCAATAATAAGAATCTCAGTAAATAATGTTCAGTAACTTTTTCGTTTAATCTTTTCATTGGTTTATGACTTTAATTAATTTTCCGATCATACGTTCAAATGTTTTATTTTGGTAAAGTTACATATACTTACGTAGAATGGATAAAAAACAGATGTAATCAAACATCAGATACTTTAAACGATGAATCAAAGAATAGTATTACTTTTCATAGCCTTGGATCATTTGTTTAAAAGCTTTACGCAGCTAGACACTCGCGTGGAAGACCTTGAGGGAACCTCTTAGCGTCCGTACAGTAATTGTATATCATGTAGTTATTCTGCACCCGTCTCATCTGTTCTTGACCCGTCGAGTCTAGCTCCTGGGACAACCACGAACCACTACTTCCTTGCCCTGACCCGTTTGGGCATGAAGACTGGCCGTTGATCACGACGCAAGCTTCTTCGTTGAAGCCGCGGTAGGAAGCGGTGAAGGGAGCTTTAGACCAGTCGGTTTTGACGAGACCACCCCTTGTGGCCCAGTCTTCAGCGTTCCATAGACTCGAGTACATTCTCATCGGCTGGTTCTTAGGAAACAGAGTTCCTTGAGATTCCATGTTCTTGAATTCTCTTATCGGAGTACCATCCACAGAGAATCTGAATAGATAGAAAAAACAAAGAACAAGATTAGATTCAAAAGAGTATTCAAGATTTCGGTTCTTTTTTTAAAATTTTTTCTAAGGTTTTTGGCTTATAAAGTAAAACCTAATCTAATATATAGACTTACATGATGCGTTGTGGGTTCCATAGGATAGAGTAAGTGTGGAAATCACTAGTGGGATCGAACCAGAGTTTGAATTGTTGTTCTCTATCACCTTTTCCTTGCGTAAAGACATTGGTATGAAGTGTGTAAGGATCACCACTTAGGTTTCCCAAGAACTCGAAATCAATCTCGTCCCATGTAGATCCAGGAGATTTCAACTGTAGAACCAAACAAAAACCCATTTAGCCAAATCACTCTATATATGTGTACTTTAGAACAACACTAAAGCAAAAGGACTTACATAGTAAGCGGTAACAGTTCCAGCTGAGTTTCCGGCAACGAGCTTGATCTGCATGTCGATTTTACCGAACAAATATTCATTCTTGGATTGGAATCCTGAGCCTGAAGCTTTGTCGAGAGTGAGTGTCAGAAGATCGCCGTTGTTTGTGATCTGTCCACGTCCGTCTCCCCAAGTTATCTCCACGTCCCGTTGAAAATTGGCGGAAACAGAGCAAATCATAAAAGAAGCAAGCAGAGCAACCACAACGGTGGAGTAACTGATCATAGCCATTGCCAATTTTTTTTTTTTTTTTTTTTTTGTGGGTTTTGAGAGTAGATTTGTTGGGTTTTGGATGAGGACGGATTGGTTGTATTTATATTTTATAGTAAGAGCAGAGGCAGTCAGAGAGGAAGGTTCGGTTTCGGACGATGGGTTTGGTGAAGAAAAAGGCGCGTCCTGATTCGGACAGCTGGAAGGTGGAAAGTGATGGTTAGATTTTGGCTTTGGAGTTGGAGACGCGGTTTTGGTTTTTCAAATACAGTTATTTAATCTTGACCATCGTCGCTTTTTCTAGATGGGCGTATGGAACACAGCTAAGATCTTCCTTACTTGTGATGACTTATCTTTATTGACAAGTTTCATTTTAACCAAAGGATCCAAGTAGAAAACCAGTGATCAGTCCCCACACGGATGTACTTTCTAGACCCTATAAAATATAAAATAAAAATCCCATAAACTTCAATTTTTTTTTTTTTAAAAACTATTTTATATAAAAAAATCAAAAAAAATATTTAAGTTCTTCAAAATTAAACAGCAGTTAAACACACAAAAATATATCCAAAAGGTTATTACATGAGTTAGTCAAATCTTAAGAATATTGTGACAAATTCTTATAGTTTATTTGTACTAGGTTTACCGAATTTAATATCTCTTCTTTTCTACGTAAACATGTTTCGTGCTGCTTGACCTAAATATCTACTTGTTTGGTTCTCCTACTTGTTTTAAGTTTTAACTAAACGTGAAAAGAAGAAAAAATTAAGACGAGACATGTTTTTTCACAAGTTGAGCGTGGGCGTTCAGTAGAAGATATGAATGGGCTACTAGGCCCATACTTAGCCTGACTTCTATTAAATCTGCAAGTTTGAAATAGGAAAAAGAATCAGCTTCTTGTCTAGCTGCTGAAGGTTAGTCTTCATTTTTCTCATGGTTCATCGATTATCCTCTTGTCTAATAAGCTAAGTCAAGTAAACAAAAACCCAAAAACGAATAACTACGGCGACGATTCGAATATCGGCAAGTGATGTTGATATACATCCCTATACTGTACAGGGCTTCTATACACTAGCAAGCAACCTGACTATTCATTCACCATCATCATCAAGCTCCACAATCTGTGCTCTCCTCTCAGCAGCTTTCCTCCTTATGAAGATTCCCCATCTCATAGCAGCTTTTATCTTTAGCCACCCAACAACCGCTTTTCCTGATCGCCCACGGTCCTCCTCATCATATCCCTTCGTCATTGGCGACGATGGGAAAGCAAACACATCTTCCCCATTGCTGAAGAGCTGGAGCAGCTGTTGCATGTCCTCATTCGCTAACAATTCATGGCTTCTTTGCCGGATCTCTTCCTCTGGGAAAAAGTCGTTCTGGTTTGTCCAGTCTTCGAAAGGATTAAGATTTTCCTGGTCAACAGATGATTTGATGTCTTGGTACCCACCTGTGGATGAATGTGGAGGACCAAGAACAAACCCAGTTACATTCCCATTCTCTATGGTAGGTTGACTTTGCTGTTGCTGCATTCCCATAAACTGATCTTGCTGCGAAACAAAATCGAATTGTGCTTGTGGGTTATGAGGCTGGGCTGTTGCCAGCGTTTGATTATAGCCTGCAATAAAGATAGAAATAGAATATAAACTTATGATGCAGAACCAAGAACACAATATCTGAGATTTAGTAATTTACAAGGGACTGATTTGCCAACCTTCGATTGCGAATTCAGGAAACTGACTAAGAGGCACGGTAGAGTAACTTGCCAGAGCTGTTACAGGATCAGTCTGAGAAATATCCAACCTCTCAGGCTGGTTGAAGTTTAAAAGAGATTTGCCTTCATACTCCACGACCTGGTTCCAATTTTCATATGCTTTCTTCACCAGTCCATCCACGTATACCTTTCAGAATTAAACACCAAATTTTTTATACTACTGCATACATATAACAGAAGTAATATAAAGAATCACACATCACTAAAACAAAGATTTGTAAATCAGAGTTTTCCAGAACAATGATAATACCAAACATCATAAGGCAAATAAGTGTCAAAAATTAAGGCAAATGAAATAGACCTTTTGGCTTTCAGAGAGTGAATCAGCAGATAAGTATTGGTCTCCAGAAATGAGGCCACTTAACTCGTAGATGTTATTGAACACAACTCCAACAGTCCTTGAATCTTCAGTATAGTAGATGTAAAGCTTACCACTTAGGACACATGTTTTTGCATGCTCCACTAGCAAATCCCACATCTTATTTGACATGCCACTTCCAAGAATCTAGACAAACATTAAATAATTATATAATTATTCATGAGCACTGAATGAATGTATTCATCCAAAAAAACAATGAGCTTGCTGTTATAGGCACTCACAGCTCGTAGTTTTGCAGAATCCCTGACCAAATTTCTCAGAAAGCCTTCCACAGTGACTATTCCTGCAGCGGTTAGCCTCTTATGGAACGCCCCATCTTTACCAATCTTCTCCAACCTCCATACCTCATCATTCAAAGCAGGTGGATAATGCTTCTTGTACACTGCACATAACAATCCAACAACACGTTGATTTAAAAGAAAACAAGTCGCAAGCACAATGCAAAAAGAGATTTAAGAAAAGAAAACACGTGCATTCGCCCCTGTGATCTTTAACAGAGAAAGCTTCTGTCTTTGCTTCACGTATGCGTATGCCATCACAGTCCCCAGAGGGTACCCTTAAACCAAGCCTGAACTTGCGACTTCGAATCCAGCTCGAATTATCCGTGAAAACAATCTCACCCAAAGTGCCTACCCCTTCCTTGAGAACAACAAACAAGTCTCCAGTAAGCAAAGGTCTCTTTCCTTCACGCTCTTTTACAACATGACTTTCAAATTCTTCCTGGGTCCAATCTTCATCATCTTCCTTGTTAAAGTCACCCCCGAGCACAACAACCTCGAGCTTCAGGGAAGCTTCTGGTCCAACTGTTACAGGACGGCCAGTGTTTGCATCAATCAATACAACATGGATAGCAGCACCTTGCTCTCCTTCCACTCTTCCTCCAGTGAATAAAGGGAGAGATAACCTAGACTTGAAATGCAGCTGCAAGTTCCGGCCATCTGGACCTCCAATTCGTTTCGGAGAAGACCCAGAACTGAAAAAAACAGTTGGAAATCTCAGGATAATAATTTCGTGGCCACTAATGTATGCCATTGAACAAAAGGTGTTACCTTGCATTAAGCCTAGCAGGGGCTAATTTCGCCAAAGCACGTTCCACTTCCTCACTAACCTGCTCAGCACCAATACCGTACTAATAAACAAACTGGTTCATACATAAACATAACTAACTTTTCAAAGAGACGAGAACAAATACAACAAAAACAGAGTAAGCAAATCTTACAACTCGGCGGAGGATAGGTTCCAAAGACGAGCAAAGCTTCTGCAAACTGTCAACTTTCAGAGCCTCAACAATCACACTGCGCAAAAAAAAGAGCAATAGGACAAGAAAAAAGTCTTTAATACTAAGAAAATTTTCAAAAACAATCGGGTAAATATCAGAGAAAATAACCTAGCAAGAGCAGGACGCTTTCGCTCAGGCTTGTCGTCATCGTTCCCGTCTAAGTTCCTCTTCATATTATTATTACCTCTAGACAATTAAAAAAACCCTAATTTCTGAGATCTGCGAACAATACAAGTAACACAAATCAGACTACAGAAAAACCCTAAATCCCGTAACCAGATCGTCCACAATATCGCAAAAGACTTAGCGTAGACTCTCTCGGTGACAAACAGAAAAATAAATCAGCAAGCACGCGAAAGAGAAAATTACATGTCCGGTGAGAGGGCCGCCTGAGTAAATTGGCCGGCGACGGAAGTGGTTTGTGTAGTCTATAGTTTCCCGACAGAGTCGCCTTTGCTCTTGGATTCTCTGTTTTGTTTGATAATGGGTCAACCTCAAACTGAGTCAAGAGTGTTTTTTATTATGTGGTACGGTGTGGTGAGGTCTACGCTTATCTACGGTGGATCTGCCGTGCTAGTCACGTGTCGACACGGCGACATTCATTCTCCAATGTGACTTTTCGCCTTTCGGAATGTGATATAAAATCATAGCCGTACGTTCCACGTAGTGCTGCTTTTTATTTTAATAAAGTATATCCTTTTTCCTTTTTATAATTTTTTTTCTATTGAATATACCTTTTTTTTTTTTTCTTTTTCATTTCTTTTACTTTTTGTCTTGATTTCAGATAACTATAGTTATAATATTGTGGTGGTGCAGGAAGCTGTTCATTCAATGAAGAGGAAGAAAGGTCGTAAAGGTTGGATGCTTTTAAAGCTTGATCTTGAGAAAGCATATGACAGAATTAGATGGGATTTCCTGGAAGATACTCTCATAGCTGCGGGTTTATCAGGATTGTGGGTTCCATGGATTATGCAATGCGTAACAGGACCGTCTATGAGTTTACTTTGGAATGGTGAGAGAACAGAGTCTTTTAAACCGCTGCGAGGTCTTAGACAAGGTGACCCTCTATCACCATATCTTTTTGTTCTTTGCATGGAAAGGTTATGTCACTTGATTGAGAATGCTGTTGCGGACAAGAGGTGGAAACCGATCAGCCTGTCTCAAAGAGGACCTAAGTTATCGCATATGTGTTTTGCGGATGATCTTATTCTATTTGCGGAAGCATCGGTGGCGCAAATCAGGGTAATCCGAAGAGTTCTAGAGTCTTTTTGCACAGCTTCTGGCCAAAAAGTGAGTCTAGAGAAATCAAAAATCTTTTTCTCAGGTAATGTCTCTCGAGATCTGGGGAAATTGATTAGTGACGAGAGTGGGATCGCCTCCACAAGAGAACTGGGGAGATATCTGGGTATGCCAATCCTTCAAAAACGGATAAACAAGGATACTTATGGAGAGATATTGGAAAAGATGGCTTCTAGACTGTCGGGCTGGAGAGAAAAAACGCTGAGTTTTGCAGGGAGGTTGACACTCACGAGATCAGTCTTAACAGCCATTCCGGTACACTCTATGAGTACCATCATGTTGCCAAAGTCCACTCTTAAGAGACTGAATAAGATTTCAAGATCGTTCTTATGGGGAAGTTCAGCTGAGAAAAAAAAGCAACACCTAGTAGCGTGGAAGAGAGTGTGTTTACCAAAAAAAGAAGGTGGTTTGGGCATAAGACGAGCAGAGGATATGAATAAAGCTTTAATAGCTAAGGTGGGATGACGCCTTTTAAATGATCAGGTTAGTCTGTGGAGTAGAGTACTGCGAAGTAAGTACAGAATTGGTGAAATTCATGATACACGGTGGCTTGCTGCAAAGAGTAGTTGGTCATCAACTTGGAGGAGTATTTGTGTTGGTGTCCGAGAGGTGGTTATGAGGGGCTTGAGCTGGGTAATGGGTGATGGGAGACAGATCAGATTTTGGGTGGATTCATGGTTATCAGGTAAGCCTCTCTTGGATTTGGAATCAGGCTCTACCCCAGCAAATTATGAGTCTGTGACGGCACGAGAATTATGGCATGACGGGAGGGGCTGGGATCTTGCTAGAATCAGCCCGTATATCTCCGACTCTCGAAGACTTGAGTTGGCAGCCACAGTTTTGGATAACGTTACAGGGGCGTTGGATAGAATCTCGTGGAGGGAGAGCCAAGATGGAAATTTCACAGTAACTTCGGCTTATGAGATGCTTACCCGGGATGAGTCTCCGCGCCAGAATATGGAGAGCTTTTTTAAGCAGATTTGGAAGGTATGTGTACCGGAACGGGTGAGGGTTTTCATGTGGTTGGTCGGAAATCAGGCAATAATGACAAATGCAGAAAGATATAGACGGCATTTGTGTGATTCGGAGGTATGTCCAGTATGCAAAGGAGGGGTTGAGACCATTTTGCACGTGCTTAGAGATTGCCCGAGTATTGCAGGGATATGGATAAGAATCGTACCAAGGAGGAAGCAACATGAATTTTTCTCTAAGTCTTTATTTGAATGGCTTTATGGAAATCTTAATGATGATGGACAGGTGGAGGGGATTCCATGGGCAACAATGTTTGCTTTAGCGGCTTGGTGGGGGTGGAAATGGAGATGTGGTAATGTTTTTGGGGAACAAAGACGTTGTAACGATCGGGTTCGCTTCATAAGAGAACTGGCTAAGGAGGTGACTTTGGCGAGTTCACAAATGGAAGGGAAGCAAGGCAAGCGGCCGAGAATGGAGAGACTAATAGGCTGGGTAGCGCCAACGGCTGGATGGCTAAGGATAAATACCGATGGGGCGTCGCATGGAAATCCGGGGCTGGCCACCGCAGGGGGAGTGCTTCGGGATAGTGAAGGTAATTGGTGTGGCGGTTTTGCTCTGAATATAGGGAGATGTTCAGCACCAATGGCGGAGTTGTGGGGAGTGTATTATGGGCTCTATTTAGCATGGGAGAAAGGAGTGCAACAGGTAGAGTTGGAAGTTGATTCCGCGATTGTGGTTGAGTTTTTGAAGACAGGGATATCAGATCATCATCCGCTGTCGTTCCTGGTACGCTTGTGCCATGGCTTCACATCGAAGGACTGGAGAGTCCGAATTGTTCACGTGTATAGGGAAGCTAACCGCCTTGCGGACGGGTTAGCTAACTATGCGTTTTCTTTACCGCTTGGTTTTCATTCTTTTGTTAATGTACCGCTTGTTGTTGATTCTATTTGGCGAGAGGATAACCTTGGGTCGGTTTGGCCAAGGCAAATCCCCGTACACTAGTTTGTTTATTTTTCAGTTTTGAATAAATCACGGGAGACATAGTCTCCCGTCCACTTACCAAAAAAAAAATATGGATGAAAAAGCTTTCTCTCTCTTCTCTCTCTTGATTTTTCAGAGAGAGAAAGCATCTCTGTCCAGCATCAGTCGGCTTCTTTAGCGACGGTGGCTGGCTACTTTCCAGCATCAACCGGCTTCTTCAGCGGTGGTGGCTGGCTTTTGTGTCCGGACGTGGTCCGGCTTTGCCGTCTTATCTCGCCGTCCGGTTCCGACTTATACTTTTCAGTGGAACCTGGCTTTAGTCTCCGGTTCTTTGATGCCGGTTTTATGTTTTTCCTTTCAATAATCATCGTAATCTGAGTACCAATTTCTCTTCTGGGTTTTCCTTATCATCCTCCTTTCTCGAGCTTTCTTTAGATGAAAGCCAATCTTTGTTTCAATTCTATTCTCTGCCTTTTGGGTTTTAATCAACTAATAGGGTTTGTTTCATCCCAAATCGTTTTGTTCAATCTTTTGATTTGGAATCTCAATCCGGCTTATCTCGAAAGAATTAATCATCAAAGAGAAATCATGATTTCTCTTTTGTCATAGATCGTTGCTGTTATGGAGGAATTTAGATCAAACTACGAACTGTAAGTTTTAATTTCTAGATTTTTCTTAAGATTCGATCATAGGTTAGTTTGTTGGACATCATAGGTAGCGATGTTATGGAGCAAAGTGGCGGATTTTCAAGTGTGATGAGGTAGTTGTGGAGGATTCGGTGGGTAACCGGAATTGATGGTGGTGCTGGGAAGATAAGGATCGTCGGCGTAAGAGATGAGAGTCACATCCACGTGTCATATGGTGCTTTCACCTGTTTCATTTGCTCTCTACCCTTTACTGGGTCTTTAGATATACCCTTTGTATCTTTTTGGGTCTTACGTTGAGCCCATTTGTGGGTTTGTAAAAGTCTTTGACAATATCCAATGAAATAAACCAGTGAAAAAAAAAAAAAATAGTTACAATATGTAGATTTTTATTGATTAAAAAATTAAATTATTTAAGCCAGATTTCGATTCGGTTTTCATGTTTTTTACGATTTTTAAATTTTTTATACAGGACGTACGTGGTTTTAGTTGATTAAAAAAATCAAATTTATAAGTCATATTAAGGTTTGATTTTTGTTTTTTTATGTTTTCTCATAACAATTTTTGCTCTGGACACTCTCTAGTCTACGGACAAACGTATTAACGTAATAATAATAGAAAAAAAGAACGATTGATAAACCTAGCCTTTTATATTTTTAATGATTTTTTTTTTGGTACAAATTATATTTTTAATGATAATACTTCTTTTTATTAATCATTCTAATGGCTGAAAAAATATAATAATAATGCCGTTAAAAAATATATAATACTCCAATTAGTCAATCTATGTTATTTATGTTTAGTCTAAGGAAAAAAATCTATATAAAATACCTACTTGCATGGTTAAAATATCTACAACTCTCTTTTACTAAAGCGACACATAAAGTGGTAAGTGGTAACCATAATCGAACATGTAAGCCACTTCTAGTTGACTCTCAAATTGCATTGTCATAATTAATTATGCACTAACTTAAGCATATATATAATCACCCCCATCAAATCATTTTTCTACCACCATCCAAAACGAAATCTTTGGAGCAAGAAAACAATGATGGCGACCACAACATCAACCCAAGCCACAGTTTTCGCAATCGCCCTTTTCTTGGTCGCCATCCAAGCCGTTCATGCAGACTATTATCGTCCACGGCTACCTACAAGCCCGAGCCCTCCTCCCTACGTGGCAAAGCCTAAGCCGCTCCCAACTCCCAGCCCCAAACCTATCCTCTATCATCCTCCTCCCACATACCAACCACCCACGGGATCGTTCGAACAACAATTTCTTGATCCACATAATACTGTCCGAGGCAATCTAGGTACTTTTATATATTAACTAAAAAATTAAGACCATATGTGATCATAGTTAAGACTATGCATGAGCATAAACAACATACACGGTCACTTGGGATCTTTGTAATTTTTGTTGCCATACCCATATATAGTCATATTCATAAGAAACCTATCCGTATTTTGATGTTATCTTAGATAAGAAAAAACATATATATTTTGTTTTGTTTGAGACCTTATATTACATACACGTTCTAAGAAAATGGACTACCCTACAAAACGAACAATTGGATAACATTGTTAACATAATTGTGGGATCAACTTAAATTATTAGTAGTGATTGTATATTTGTATTGATTTGAAAATTTTCATTACCAACAGGTCTGCCTCCATTGGTGTGGGACGTAAAGATCGCAAGCTATGCAACATGGTGGGCTAACCAGAGGCGATACGACTGCTCCTTAACCCACTCGACCGGCCCATACGGTGAGAACTTGTTCTGGGGAAGTGGCTCAGACTTTACATCGACTTTCGCAGTGGAGTCATGGACCGTGGAGGCTAAGTCCTACAACCACATGACCAACACGTGTGAAGGAGATGGTATGTGTGGTCACTACACTCAGATCGTGTGGCGTGAAACCAGGCGCCTTGGTTGCGCTCGAGTTGTCTGCGAAAACGGCGCTGGAGTTTTCATCACTTGCAACTACGACCCTCCGGGTAACTACGTTGGGGAGAAGCCTTACTAACTTGGTCTAACACGTTGTTTTAAATTAATATTAATGTTACGTTGGTGATTTCTTAATCTATGTTTTTATTCTTCTTGACTTTTGTTTCTTTTTAAACTTATCATCCTGTGGATTTTAAGTTGATGGTGTTATGAACATTTTGTTGTTTTCTACTTTTCATTTTGTGATGGTCATGTCCCCAAAATAAACTTTTAATCGGTATACAAAGACCTTCCTTAAATTTCTTAGATCATATAACTAACTATTACGTACTTTAAATATGAATATGAATATGTTAATACATAAACAAGATAATTTTCCGTTTGTACTTGGAATTTCTTACAAAAATCATATCTTTTTTTATATTTTATATATTCTTGTATACTGGGCATTCTTACGGATATATAAATAACCGTTAATGCAATTACAACCATCAATTAAAGTAATCAAGATACATAATCAGTATCATAAACCCCACAAATACATCTATTTTCTAGTAAAATACACAAATACACCCACCTAATCTCCTTTAAAAAGTCATCATAATTTCTAAAAAATAAGATGTCTTTAATTTGGAGAATTTTTAATAGATAAATGATGATCAATTAATAGGGTTTCTGGCCGATGTAGTTACCGGGAGGATCATAGTTGCAAGTCATGAAGATTCCACCATTGTTGCACACCACACGTGCACACCCGACCCTCCTCGTGTTCTTCCACACAATCTGTGTGTAATGGCCACACATCTGACCAGGATCGCACGTGTTGGAGCCGTAATGATAAAACCTCTTCTCGCTGGCCCATGCAACCACCGCATCGGCCGGAGACCAGTTGGCGCCATATCCCCAGTAGATGTTCTCGCCGAGATTAAACTCTCCGTTTGAGAAAGAGTGTCTCAAAGCACAATCTCCCCTTCTTTGATTAGCCCACCCTTGGGCGTAGTTCTGGAGTCTGCGGTCCCATATCAAAGGAGGTTCGAATCTTGCGGCACGGACCAGGTTGTGTCGGAACAAGAACTGCAAGGAGTCGTGGTCACATCCCGGACACAAATTCTTACAGATTCGGAACACCTGACCGAGTGTTGCAGATTTGGTTATTAAAGATTTGGTTATTGATAAAGAAACGACAACATTAAGGGCACCTAAGAGTAATATTACTCGTAAATAGGATGAGCTCATCCTCTCTCTTTTCTGAGATTATATTGTTTTGTAGGTGCTAATGGATTCGGAGGTTCAAGTGTGTTATTTAAATATACAGAGAAAAAGAAGGAAACGATAAACTGTGTTTGGAAATTTATGGATACAAATTCGAGGTTTTTTTAGCGGCTCTGTCTATTTTTTAACCGCGTAATATGGATTACCAATGTGATGAAAGATTTGCTTTGTCTGGCAGATTGCAAATTTTAGAAAGAAAAAAAATGAGATCGCGGATAAATATGGATTGTATTATTGGAGATATATGATAATGTAGATGATATGATTGTGTTATGTGTTGTCCCGTGAACCCTAATGTTGGACGTATTAGATAGGCTGATATGGGTTAATGGTGGGTCGTCACGGAACACTCCAATAAGCCAACATGCATGCCAACCCATATTGGCACTTACAACATTATTTCTGTTAATTTAATCCATGCAAATGCAATAATCGAAAATAATATGGAAGATAAATCAAATAGCTAGGTATGAAAGAAAGAAGAAGGTCGAGAAAAACTATTGAATTTAGCAATCGCATAAGACAAATCGTCAAATCGAAAAAAAAATAAAAATGTGAAAGAGATTCTATTGGTACTTAATTAGTTTTAATGTGAAATAGTCAAATAGATATTCTTTTTTTGTCATCCATGTGCAATATGTATAATCATGAAATAATTGATTTAAATGTGCTTTACTTTTTAAGAGAGAAAACAAATCCAGACAAAATTATTTAGAAAGAGTAAACTTTCCAAAGTAAATTAATTTATAATCCATCATGTCCTATACTATTAGTTGATAAATCTCTACATTTTAGTGTAGATTTTTGCAAGTCTTCCAGAACTAAAGCTTTTTTTATTTATTAACACCATTACCATTAATTCTGTAAGAAGTTAATTTATTTACTCCTGTTAACAACATTAACCTCTTACAGATTTTAATTTGTTTATAAATCCTATATTACTATTTTTTAAATATTTTGACCAAATGTTTCTCTGTGTTACCGCTACTGTTGCTTAGCGCCTCCGCAAAAACCGCAAATGGTAACGCTTCTTCGCCGGAAAAGTTAAGCGACTTGTCATCATCACTTCGATAGTCAGGAAGGGTACTTGCTTCTTATTGCGTCCCTTTACTTCCACATGATCGCGTCCTTCTCCAGATTCCAAATCTCAATCCCCGATTTGATTCCGTCTTCACCGCGATTTCTTCGGCCTAGTCAACACCAGTTCCGTTTCGGATTATTCCTTCGATTTCCCGCTCAACCTAAGAATCTCGATCAAATGGAGTGGATGAACCGCCTTGGAATCGGTTGCTTTGCGGCGAATCGAAGCAAAAGGGAGCTGAAGACGGAGATCGATAACGGCGGAGAGGATTTTTTCGATGCGGATGTTATGGAGTCTGCTGAGAAGCCGGATCATTTGGTTGTCATGGTTAACGGTATCGTTGGCAGGTAGACTAAATCAAAGAGCTTCAAATCGAAATCAGATTACTAAATTATGGGCTAACGACTTTCCTGTTTCGATTTGGATGATGATTCAGTGCGGCGGATTGGAAATATGCGGCGGAGCAGTTCGTGAAGAAGTTCCCGGACAAAGTACTAGTGCACCGTGCGTGTTTCTTTAACCTTTTAGAGAATTGTGGTTTTGAATACTCTGTACTTTTGATTTTGATGAAATAGATGAAGCAGGCAGCGAGAGCAATAGTGCAACGTTGACATTTGATGGTGTTGATAAAATGGGTGAAAGACTAGCTAATGAGGTAGTATTTGGCAGCATTGTTGTTTCTCTTTACCTGGAACTTGAATTTGGCTGGTGATTTTTGTTATTGGTCTTTGATCTCTATGTTTGGAATTTTGTGAAGGTTTTGGCTGTTGTTAAGCATAGAAGTGGGCTGAAGAAGATCTCTTTTGTGGCTCATTCATTAGGTGGTCTTGTTGCAAGGTATGCCGTAGGGAAGCTCTATGAACTGCGTGTCGAAGCCGACTCTTTGGACTCTCCTTCGAAGGAGAGGAGCACAAGAGGAGGCGAAATTGCTGGGTTAGAACCTATGAACTTTATAACTTTCGCAACGCCTCATCTTGGTTCAAGAGGACATAGACAGGTGAATTTGATGTTAGATTGCATGTCTAGGTCATATGTTTCTGTAAGTTTTGCATATATATATAGATAATCCGTTTCTCTGTGACATGCTTACTCTTGTCTTCATTCGCTCAGTTTCCGATTCTTTGTGGCCTTCCGTTTCTTGAAAGGACAGCCTCCCAAACTGCACATTTGGCTGCTGGGAGGACTGGAAAGCATTTGTTTCTGGTGGACAACGATGATGGAAATGCTCCACTTCTTATTCGGATGGCTACAGATTCTGATGACTTAAAATTCATGTAAATTCTTTGGTCTCTGGGTGTTTTCATTGATGACTTGCAGATTGATATGCTCATCATCTCTTCTTATGAACTCAACAGATCAGCTTTACAGTCTTTCAAGCGTCGTGTGGCATATGCAAACGTGAATTTTGATTGTATCCTTCCCTGAGAAAAACATGTTTTCTAAGTAACTATCAATGGTTTTTGATCATTTCTGTCATTTACGAGAGTTTGCCTTAACTAATGAGAAAGCTATGGTTGGATGGAGGACATCTTCAATTCGCCGTCCAAATGAACTCCCAAAGGTATGTGTTTACTTGTTATATTTTGTGCACATCTTTAATGACGTTGTGGGATTTATCAATAACCCTTATTCTGCTCATCTTCCAGCCAAATCTTCTAGCAACTGATCCAAACTATCCACACATTGTATACGTAGAACGTGGAAATGTGGACAATGGTAGTTGCCAGTCAACTTCTACAGTAGTAACAGAGCAAAATACTGATCTTGAAGGTTTTGCTCCATTTCTCACTTGATTATTTTTTTCAATTGCTAGATATAATATTATAATGATATCTCTATCAGATTTTATGGAAGTGTGGCAGATCCTTGCCTCACTATCTATAGCCCATTGGTCTTCTTTATATCAAGCAGCATCACAAACTTCGTCCTGTTATGGTTTTTGTGAAATGTAGAGGAAATGATACATGGACTCAGTCAACTATCTTGGGAAAGAGTAGATGTCAGTTTTCACAATAGCAAGCAACGATACGTTGCTCATAGTACCATCCAGGCAAGTTTAATAATAGGAACTTGAAACTCAAAAGGCAATTTTGTTAAGAGCATTTGACATAATGTTCTTTGTAATGTGTAGGTGAAAACATATTGGTTACATTCTGATGGCAAAGATGTTGTCTTCCACATGATGGATCATTTCTGTCTCTAGCCCCAAACATTTTCAACCGCTGCAATTTAGTCAGCACTGTAAGAAGGCGTATCCCATTACAAACTTCTTCTCTTCTTCTTTTTTGGTTATTTTTATCGTATTTAGTATGATGCTTGATGCGATAAAAATCGTGGTAAAGTTCTTGCCACTTTTTCCTTGATGGTTATTAAAATGTTTTATAATTCTGTCGAACTATGAATCTGTACAGATCTACTCGTTCTTGTAAAAAAAAAATCATCCTTCTGTCACTATCGATTCTGTAAGTTTTTGTTTTGATCTTAAGGTTTGGCACCAATCGTATAAGTCTTTGTTTTGATCGTAAGTTTTGGCGCTAATAGCATATTTGCTATCTCGTTTGTTTTGACACGTTCACATAAACATAAGTAGGAATTGGACAAGAAAACGAAAGGACGTACACACATGACACAACCAATGAGGCAATGCCAATTGCCTATACTAAAAAAAAAACAATTATTCACTTAGTAGCAGTAGTTTCCATCCATTATATGTGTCAGACTATTCACATTGTACTGATCATCCAAAAGACAATAATTTTTTGTCCAACAATAAACGTTAATGCTTCTTCAATTTAGTGATATATCTAGAAATTTTAGAATAAAGGTGCAAAGAGAATAATTCTCAACTTCGGCTCGCCGCAACGGATTAGCTTAATATTCGGCATGCGTCATTGGCACATCACTTGAAGTTTTCACAACACATCTTTTTACCTCTTTCGTAAGCATCATATCTGTACATCTCTCAGAGGTAAAACATTTTGTCTCTCTTCCAATTGAAAACTGACGCAAGGATGCACAATTTATAGAAGACCAAAATTGTATTTAATTTTAGTTGCATTATCTTTTATCGCTTAATTTGTCTGTCAAGTGTCAGTTCCATCTTTTATCACTAGTCCAAAACCATCATCTATTCAAAATTCATAACCCATAAACGGGAAAAATTAGAAGAAAACTAAGACAACCAAAAAAAAAAAACCACGAAATAAATAAAACTCTAATTATATCCCATCCGCTCACGTAAGGTTGGCGTAATTATGAACCGACCCGACACAAAAAGACCGGACGGATCGATTCCGGTTTAAACAATCCAGAGTACTCCGTAACGATTGCTCTGTTTTCAAAAGATGAAGGACGGCTCACCGTAACCTTCGGTGCTCTGCCGTACCACCTGATCACTAGCCTCCTCTTCCTTCTTCTTCGTTATGATCGCCGCAAGTACAGCTTTGATCAGACCGAGTCGCCGGCGTAGCCAAGTAAGTAGGTTTGACATCACCGGCCATGATGACGAGAAACTTCTCCGGCATCGCCATTGGCTTAGACTTGTTAGTGTCATTGTCGGGTTTAGCATCATCTCCGGCCTCGAGATCGCTCTGAGCGGAGCCGGAGAGGCTCCAGTAAGAACAGGCGAGAATGAGAAGAGCGACGGCGATGAGAGCCAACATGGCAGCCAAACCACCGAAGAGATAAGGAACCGGAGAGTGCCACGGAGAGTGAGGCACCACCATGGATGAGCTCCTGTTTATGCTGTCTTGGTAATTATATTGTCGTCCTTCCATTGTCTGCATATGTGTTTAATTTGGGAGAGAATGAAATTTTATATTCTAACTAATAAATTGTGGGAGAAGAAATTATGTTGTGAGGGGGCATTTATAGAGGAGAGTATGTGGTGGATTATTCTTAATACAATGGATTGTGCATGGTTCACTATTGTATGAGGAATCATTTTTATATGTAGTACTCTGCCAATTTAATAGTTCATTACATGTAGTACTTTGTAGAGTGAGTATTGACGAAATCATTTTTTTAGGACATCTCCCATAATGGTGTAAACAGATTGGTTTTAATTTTGATATAGAGATTAGTTTTTCCATCTATATTTACATGAAATTTTTAATCAACAATGTCTTTAAGTTGGTTTTCTTTTTTCCTTTTTTTCCTCATTAAGTTTGTGGTTTTCTTATTTTGCCATAGTTTCTTTTTTTTTAATGTATCCTCTTCAGTACTTTAATAAAGTTTAAATTTTATTGGTGGCTTTTGTAATAGTCTTTAAAATGCAATAATGGATCGAGGTTAAAGTTAGGAATTATTTAATAATCTTGTTACGGCAATTTGCACATTAACCTAACTGTTGAACTAATTAACCTCATTGTTTTGGATAATCAACATTGTGATTTCAGCTGGTTTCTTTGGAACTCTTTTCAGACCAGATTAAGGCCTATTTTTTTTCTTTTCTTTTATAAGGCCATATTAAGGCTTTCTCTGTTGGTTTTACGGGACTGGGAGGATTCCATGTCTTGGACCAGGATCAGCACCATCACTTCTCCTTTTGTTCTTCGAAAAGTTGGTGCTCAAGCCACAATTTACACTATATGGAACCAGAAAAACAACATCATCCATAACCTCAAACATATCCCGCCGTCTGTAATCTTCAAGGCTATAGACAAGGAAGTCATCAACTCTATCAATGAGGCATCGAAGAAAATTCAGAAATCTAATGTGTCTTTGGATCAGATGAAGAAACCTTTTCATCATAAAAATATTTTGCTTCCTTGTTTTTTATTTTATATTTTGTCAAAGAACCAAAAATCTAGGTAAATAACATGTAAATACAAACTCTGTTTATTTTATATGATATTTACTATCTTAGCAAAAAAACAATCCCGCTTATAAACTAAATTAAAAGTAATTAATGGATATGTACGAGAAAACCAAATTTAAACTAATAGAGTCATTGAGTCAATAGTTCAACACTTCAACTGATTGAGTGAATTGTTTTGGGAAAAGATTGATAAGACCATATGCCAAGTTTAAATCTGGATCTAATGCGCAATATACATGTTCTAATCCCTGATTCAAAACAAAACTATGGATCTTGAAAGTACAAATTTTATGATTACCACACACAAAAAAAAAGTCACTATTATATATTATTTTAAGTGTTAAATATATAAATAGACAAAGTTTCTTTTTTCCATAGACCAGACTTCAACTTTTTTTTTTTGTAGAAAATAAATGTATTAAAAACAAACACAAAAAAAAACACATAGGGTAGCCCCACCCAACAAAAAGAAGTTTATGCTTTCCCAAATAGTGAGTTTTGATTTTTGCAAAAACAAATTCCACCTAGGTTCAAAGAACAACTTACCAAAACTATATCTTATTATTATTTTATATGAAGACACGAAACATTTTTTCTTTATATGTATAACTATTAAAAATATAAATAGCATACCAAAAGATTTTTTCTTTTGGATTACTTTGCTTATAATTAGATTAAACTCGAGATTTAATATTATATATGCTAATTTGTATGAATTTCAACTCAAAACTAATTTCAATTTTATAATATAATTATCATTGAGTAGATTTTCCATACTATATATATACTATTATATATATTAATTACTCTATATGTGGAATTCTTAACAATATGTATAAAACACATATAAGAAAAATTCAGTGAAAACAAAAAAAGAAAAAAGAATAATTCAGTGAAGGGTATATAAAAAACTTACTCGTGAAATAAAGTAATAGAATGAGTAGAGCAATTGGAGGGGTGGGGTTCTCAGCGTCAGCTTCCACCATGTCTAAGGAAAAACGGATATTCCATTAGTTTCCAATCACTTTCACTTACGTCTCCATTTCCGCATTCTTAATTCCTCTTATTTTCTTTAATTTCTTCATTTATACTTTTATATCCTTCTTTGATGTGTCCACTAGTTTTACGTTAAGCAATAATATTATAATATATCGTGAACTCGACTTAAAGGAATTTCTAAGGCGGAACTTTTTTAAGCATCCAAACCCCAACAATGTTTGTGCGGTTTATATTCCAACACAATCACTACTCTCTTACATTAATCTATCGAGATAAGTTTTAGTTATTAATCCCCTCACTGTGTAAATGTTTACTCATACTGTCGTATATAACATATTTTGTGGTGGAGATGGAATACATAAGTCGAATGATATTATTAATTATGATGTCAAGATTACTAACTTATCAAGCCAAAGCTTACAGGTATTTATAGTTTAGTTTTCTTTACATATTGGACCTGAACCTAAGTGTGTGGGCTGTATAATTTATTCCCTGATCCGACTTAAATTCTCGGATTTGATTTGTGTTTGTGCATGAATCATAGGGAATCATATTCTCGTTATATAGGCACGTTACATGTGAAGATAATGTATAAAATAAATACATACCTAGGAAGGAACCCATTATAAGTTTCTCGAACAAACAAATTAAGTACGATAATTAAATATTTTGGAGTCCTATTCTTCTTCTTTTCCGTTAAATTATTCTGCCAAAGTGGCTTAGACCAATTAGAATCGGTTTGTTGAAAAGATTGATGTGTGCTTCATGTTTGTGCTCGGTAAACAATCAGAATACTTGCCCTCTTTACTTTAATTTATTTTGCAAAATCCTAAAGAATTGTTTTTGGTGTTGATATAGAATTAACAATGTTTCCAATAATTACCAATCAGAGTACAAAAAAATCAACTCAATTACGCTCGGAAAAAAACACAACACATAGAGTGAAATTTCCATCTACTTTAGAGAGGTGGAAATGTTTACACCACTTCTACATTTTTTCTCTTTCCTCTCTTTTAAGTTTTTGTATTTCCACATTTTTACTCTATTTTACACACTAATTACAGCGTAAAACTGGTTCAATTTTTTAGAGCTTATTTCCGTACAATCTAAAACTCATTTTTCGTTATCAAGATATAAAAAAAATGGATTAGTGAACTTAAGATAGGTATCTAATTAAAATACATATATAGCTTTATAGAGCTATGATCACCTATTAAATTAAAAACTGATAGATAATGCAACAAATATCATTATTGCATGCGTTACAGTTCACACATGTTATTTGAAGTTTGGACATTAAGTCATAACATTTTAATTACAATAAAATAATCAAGATTTGCTCGCAAGAAAAAGAGAAGATATGGTGATAAAAATAAGGTTTATTGAGAGAAAATATGAGAAAAGGGTGTTCTTCTTCTTAACTTTTAAGAGATGAAAGTACAATAATTGTATATATCGTCAACCATGGCGACATGATCAGATACATACATGTTTAAAATAATTTTGCTATGTATAAAAGCTAGTGTCTAAGGAAGTGTTATGCACTAATAGGAGTATATGACGGTATCTAGTGAGAAGAAACAAAGAGTAAAGATACAAAAAACTAGAGTGACTAAATTTCCTATATCTATTCTATAGTTTTTTTTTCAGAATATGTTGTAAAAGTTATGACATGATACATGTGGAAGCTGCAACAAAAAAGTGGAGGAACAAAGAGGGAATAGTAATAAAGCAGGAAGAGTTGTTTCTTTGAGAGAGTACATTTGTGACCGAGGACCAGCCTTTGTGGGACCTAAGAGCTGAGGGTGGTTCAGCTTTTAGTCGAGACGTCCTCATCGCTCAGCACCCTGGCCTGGTCCATCCTCCTCCACTGGTCGGCCTTCACTATTTTCTTTACTAACCCACACACATTTGTTTCACTTATTAGATGTTTTCAGTTTTGGGACTTATCTTGTGAAATTGCAAGTTGTTTTTATTATGTAAAGGGTGGAGAAAGGCCTCGGCCTAACTTGAATCTAACACATTTTTTCAATATTGACTAGATTTGATCCACATCCAAATGGCCTTACTTCTGATTTCCTAAGGTCCATTTCTTCTGTTTAGGCCTGCGCTCTGTTCTTGAAATATATGTGTAGAAATACAAGCTATTTTTTAAATTATGTGTAGAAATTTAGGAAAAAAAACATGAGATACGGATATATTGATGGCCAAAGAAAGTAAAGAGGATGCTTCATTCATATAACAAACTTAAAAATATATGTATAACAAGTTACTAATGATGAAATTTCTGTTTAAAATATTTTCTTTTATACTTGAAGAAATGGTGCCATTTACTCATTTGCATGTACGGTGATATCTACCCTGAACTAAATGCAACCACACCTAACTAAGGTATAAGTAAAATGACGGCTAGTTAGTTATTGGGTTTTTATAGAAACTCCTTAAGATCCATGGCTGTTAACGTCATTAATAGATAATTCGTAAAAATAGTTTGGAAATGTGTGTGCCAAACAAAGGAAGATTCAGAGTTTGAGAAATAGACTTTAAGGTGATTAGCAAATAATACAAAAGGCATCATGAGAGAGTGATAGTCAGCGATCCCGTGACCTTTACCTGCATTTCCCTTTGGCTTTTTTCTTCTCAGTTCTCAACGATACACTATGACACACATGCATATTCATTTGATCGATCTTTACATGTTTTTAATAAATGTGTGTGTATATACGTAACTGTTAGCAAGCTTTATTTATGAGCATATCTATGGATTTTCGTTTCTGGATCCACCTTCTCACTAATAATAACTCCATCTTAATTTCGATTTATTTTCTCTAATGATCTCTTTAATATTTTCCCATGTCAATATATATATATATCCGACTCTCTCTTGTCTGAGTTGTCTCACTGTCGCGTATTTGTTACATCACCGTATGACCACAATTATATTCGATGAGTTCTATGTAACACAAGATTCAAAATGACAGAAAAGACAAAATAATTAACCAAAAGGTCAAAAAACAAATAAGCAAA